TCGAACATAGCTAACTTATTGTACTTGCCTTTATAAGCGATGTGGCAGAACGCAGATTTGTAGATTCTATCAACGAGTTTCGAATATCGTACCTAAAGCAGACTTTCATAACATACAAATTATGAATGAAATCCTAGCTGTTTCAGCTTATTTTTGCTTATTTTTATTTTCAACTTATTAAAAATTGACATTAAGCTCGTTCCATTGCAGCAGATGAAGATTCTGAAAATTCACGCGCTGTGAGGGTATTGCAGAATGCCATCAATGGGGTGAGAACTGATGTTGAAGATCGACGAAAACTTGTCGCAGTGCAGGAAACAAAATGCTTTCATTTCTGACAGCGAGATATGGAATTGGTGACGCAATATGAAAAACTACTGGAGGTGCATGGAACCATTTCTAACAGGTTTGTGAGGACTGCTGACTGTTTCAGTGCATTTGGCAAGATCAAAAATGGAATCTACGAGACTTTTCTTTTTCAGAGAGTATTATTTCTGATTCTCCTTTGATTAATGAATCTTTTTCTCAGAGAATTATTAATGGATTCATATAATAGTTCTTCCACTCATCCACTCGGATTTCACTCTCAACAATAGGTGTATTCCCTCCCAAGGGACGAAGCTGCTCAGTATTCCCAATTACCAAATTATGGGATTTAAGGGATTCCCATAGAAATAACTTTTTAAACTCGACACTCTTCAGTCAAAAAAATGCTTATTTATTGGTAAGGAAATGCCAATGAGCAAGGAGTTTGTTGGCCGGGTTCCACTTTATAATTTGAAGCATATTGAAATTGATTTAACTGGTTGCATTCATTATATATCTTCGATTTTCCCGGAGGTTGGTGAGTCTGTATGGTAATTGGCTTAAAGTTCGATCTCGAATCGAATTTTCAGATCCACAGTTTTATCCGAGTTGAAGAAAATTTTAAAACTTACTATGCTTGCACGAAGTTCTAATATATAATTATATAATTATGTTCAGCAAATGTATGTTTAACAAATGTATGTGCGAAGTTAATTTTGCAAATATTGCAGTAAAATTGCGGCACAAATTCGCAGCTATAAAGAGAAGGAAAGATTATGGAAAAAGGTTCTGCAGTACTTTATTTTATTTTTCATTGTATTTATATGTTTCCTAAAGGCAGTGTAAATGTAAGTCCTTTCACCCTGTCAGCCCTATAGTTTGCTTTTCTTATTTTGTTGGTTTACTGAATATTTAATGCGTGTGTCTGTGCAACAACATGTTAAGAGATATTAAAAAACGATGTGACTGATTATATGTCTAGACTGCAACATATTTTGGATGGCGATTATTCGTACATTGTCCACCAAATAGATATATACTAATCGCTTGCAATTGACATCTGAGAATTGAATTGGCAAATTAGGAATTGAAATGTATGCAAAAAATTTTTAATAAATAATTTTTTAATTAGTTTTGATAAAATTTTTTCGCCAGCTTCATGTGCGGTCTTCATAGTCTATACATATATAGTCATGATTCACTCTAACCGCCTGTCAAAGTTTTTTGACTTTTTAATGCTATCTAATTTTTACGACAGTTTCTGTGACACTCCCTTCATATGACAACATATTTTTTTGCTCTCGCATTCATTAGTCTCGTCATCTTTGCATTATTTTATACTGTCTAATTTTTAATACTTCTTTTTTTTGAAAAGATAGCGCTTTCTTGTAGACTTTTCTTGTATAAAGGTTTCACTTATTATCTTTCTGCTTTATATTTGCCAACTGAACTTTTACAATAAAAAATCTACAATAAATCTTACTTAAAGGAAATTCTAATATATCGCTTGTCCCGTTGTCCTGCATTACTTCTTTATCAGTATTATTATAACATATTTTCGCTAAAATATATATGGGACATTCAGTATTATTCTTCCTGTTCTTCTTTTAACAACTCTCACCATTAAGCTATTTAAGCTGGCTCCACTGGCTATAAGGGTAAACGTTCAAGCTGGGCGATCTGATGCTATCATCAACAGTAAAAGAAGCCACTCCCTTTTCCATCGTCTAAGTTCATATATTGCTGGTCCTATTCAAAATCCTTACAGAGTTTAACGAATACTCTTGTGGTGAATGACGAAGAACGTGTCCTAATCAGCGAAGACGACACTCCGTGATGATACTGTTAAAGTGGTATTAATGTGGATGGATAATGTGAGATTTTATACTCTCTGCGAAGCCGTGAAATGTATCATAGAGATGAGTCCACTTTCATTGGCTATGTCTGACAGCCATATAGTAAGATCCAACAAATCGTAGCTATGTAAATGCGGACTTTCGTTTTTATGGTGATTTCGCGACGACTCCATAAAGGATTCGTCAAGGATAAGAACGCATTTCTAGCTCCCGGCCGTTATCCGGTTTGTAAATTCGTCTTTTGCCAGGCCATTTGGTGTTAGAGTGGATCCAAAGTATTTAAATTCGGGCATTTCCTCAACTGGCAATGAATTTATAAAAAGAGGCATTTTATTAGCTTCTAATACATAAAACGAAAAGTCTTTCGTTTTATTTACATTAACTCTGAGCGAGATTCTCGCTGCAGTTGCTGACAAGTTATTTAGCATTATTTGCATTTCATCATAACTGCATTACTGTCAACAAAAAGGACTACATCATAAGCGTATTCAAGATCTGTTATACGATGCTCTGGACTGATTTGCACACCTCTTGAGTGCAGACCAGCGTCTGTAGAGGGAAGGATGCAACCTTGACGGACACCAATTCTTATTTAGAAGGATCTATCAGTTCCCCATACACACAGACCTACGCCGATGTATGCTGATAAAATTTCTTTACGAGTCAAATGATCTCGGGAACATCGTTTTGTTCCATCACCCCCCGAAGCTCCGTTCTATCAAATGAATCGAAGACAAGTCGCAAAGTCGATGAAATATATAATGGTGTACTGCAGATATTTGAAGCGATGTTCCAGTATCCTTCTTAACGTAATGTCTGGTCAGCACAATCGCCTTGGCCTGAATCCAGCTTGATTAGTGCGCTTCCTGCTGTCCCGTACTGCCACAAGTCTATTCAATATTATGCACGGAAGATAATACATATAAACAAAATTAAACATTATATCCCATTTTATTACATTATTTTCAACCTTACGCGATTATGGCCTCATGCTACTGCGATTATTTGTAGATAACTGAATGAACTGCTTGGGCAAGATAGATTTTTCTGACAATAAGTAGAGAATTATAACTTGCTTTGACAAAGAAAAAGCTTTAATATATCAGTCGGAAGTTAGAAAAATTAAAATTAACTCGTAAAATGTGATTTGAAGAAAAGAAAAAAAATAACGATGATTTGAACAATTAGGCGACAACAAGGCATCAAATATTTTTACCATTATGTCGAGTGGTGCGAGTATTATATATATATATATATATATATAAAACCTGTGGAGAGTATGGATCCTTGCGTCTTTTACCAGAGGCCATGGGGATTGAAAGTTCTGCGCAGTATTTTAGTTGTTTCTAGCAGTGCGCTTTTCTGGGTAGAGATCTCTGATGTTGCTCCTGGAATCTGTTGGAGTCACTTTCCTAATTTAGGGATCACAGTTCCTAGTGCTGCAATTGGAATTACTTTGGCCTTCACTTTCCACACCTTCTCTAGTTCCTAGTATTCTTATATTACTTTTTCTTACATTCCTGTGGTATTGCTATATCTGTCACCAGTGCTGATTTCTGGATTTTTGTTTATACCACTATGATTCTAGTTGATTGGCCAGTATTTGTTTGCCTGCCTGGATGGAGAAGTCCAGCAGGATTTCTTTTTATTATTCACGATTTTCTGAAGAATCTCCCATCTAATTTTGGGGCCATGTGCTGAGAAAATATTCCTGTAGGTAAATATTTGGTTATGCCTTTTAGTGTCAATGTTGTTTTTGTTTATTCTTTGGTGATTGTTAGATGCAGTCTTCTTTGCCATCTTGCCTCATGGTGGTTGCCATGTGACTGTGGGATATTAAGGTGATTATAGCTAGTCTGTATGTTCACTATGGGTCCAGATGACATCTTATCAGTCGTCGCTACTTTTAACCTCTTTACTGCCATCGGGACACGAATTAAATACCAGTGTTCTCATTATAGATTCGCGTTAGATGAATGAGCGAGCCAATGTCTCGTGTGCTTTAAAGAACTTGCATTCATGTCCACTTCTGATTCTGAGTGTGGTTCATATGTAGAGTAGGGAAGACGGTGCATATTACAGTATTTCACCGCCTGGGCATGTGCCTCATTTGATAGCCACTTCTGCAAGCTGTTTTCTGTTGACTTTAAGTGTCCAAGTGTTTTCCACAGTCCAATATATATTAAGCAGTTTTCTGACGTAGAAATTATTTGAGTTATACATATCTGACCTTACAACATTTTTCCCATGTATTAAAATCTTCGTCGTCACAATAACTTTTTTACCATTTTTTGATCAATATATGAAGCATATCATCGTCTTTCATCAAGCTTATTGAATAGATTGCCGGTAAATTGGATCTAATGGAAAATCGCTTATTCCTATAGAAAAGAATGGTACGGCAGGCATATCCTTACAAGACTTTGAAATTCTAGAAATTTCATGCATATGAAAACACTAAAATATTTTTTAACCTGTTCCTCACTATTTATTAACAAACAAAATGTGGAATATTTTCAATACCTTTATTTAACCGTAATCTTTTTACAGACAGTGACTTTCATAATCTTAATTGATATTTTTTGCACCACAAGAAATACCAAGAAAAGAGAATAAAACAACGGAATTCGCAATCACAGAATCTAATGATTATCAATCATCGAAATAATTTCTCATCCTTAAAATAAAATTTCACAAAAACAATTTGGTCATAGGCAAAAACTTAAGGACATCAAGGAAACCCTCCCTTTGAATGCAACAATAAAAAATTTTAATATAAATTCCATGCATAAAAGAACTGTTAAATAAAAAATTGTTAATATTCTTAAAAATTAATTATTACAAGTCTACTTTTTTATAATATAAAATATAAGCATCTTTTGAGCAAACTGATTCAAAACTCAAACGAGATACATGTTCATCATCAAACAATAGCCAATCCATTGTGCAATTATTTTGTGCAATAGTAGTACAATGACCATGATGTAAACGTCCAGCGTGGTTCTAAAAAATTAGCGATTCAGTTCAAAAACCCATTTAAAAGCGATTCCAGTTTAAACTTTTAGAAACTTATTGGCCATCAGATATTTTTAAAAATAAAAAAAATCGAAGATGAATATGGAATGGAAATGAAAGGAGGAATAATTATAACAAAATATGATAGAGCTAGCGAAAAGCCATCAAAATAAATGAAAAAAGCATACTGTCACTGCATATAAACCATAGTAGCCACTTTCAGACCTCGAAAGCTCTTTAAGAGACGGATGTAACAAAGAACTTATATCCAGAGGCGTTGTATCAAATCGAATTAATGTATTGTCTTTTTCCCACTGATCATCAACAAAAGTAAATCGCTTTAGTTGAATTATCTAGAAATTATATTAGGAACAAATCGCAAACGTCAAAGAGTTTTGAAATCTACACTGGGAAAGTAAGAACTTTGGGCCAGTTTAAAACAATTATAAATATCAACAATTGTAAATAAATATACGAACTGCTTACCAAAATTTTAGGCATTTTCCAGATCTTACTTGATCGAGTTGCAACACGCAGCCTCTCACATCGAGGACAAAGCCATTTGCATGAACCACTAAGAATCTATAAAGTATTCTTAAAGGCTTACTGGAACTGCCAGAGTTTCCAGAAAATATGTCTTGACTTAAATGAAAGGTCATGGGAAACAGTGAGCAAACATCTTTTATAAAAGAAAAAGGAACGCACTACTGGATCAAAATGCATTTCGATACACTGAAGGATAGTTGCTCCCCTCTTTTTCGGGATTTCCAACGACAACTGAGTCATTTCTTCAAAAGTCACACTTTGCATCTGGCAAGTATTACAGATGAGATGTGAGACTGTACGACACTGAAAGCAACTGGCTTTTAAATCTTAAATCGTGAAATTATGGAATGATCTTGTTCAGCAAAATAAATAAAGCATACGCATTTTTAATGAAATTAGAAAAGATGGTAAAAAATCACTCCAAATATATCTGTGACCGGTGAACTCCAGAACTGCTTAGATTTTTTAGCATAATCAGCCGCTTCTGCTATCAAATTTGAACCATCATAATTCTGTTCAAATGAAATACGCTTCTTGACCTAAATCATAAAATGATATTTCATAATCGTTAAAAAGTTTAGAGCAAAAAAGTAAACTTAAAAATCGAAGATAAATTCTTTTTAGACCCTATTCGTGTCTTCATGTAAAGCATCCAATAAATATATTAGAAATTCTTGCGGATCATGCTGTTCACGATTTGCTAGTGCAGAATTAACTTCATTTGCAAATGATTCCTGAAAACCAGTTAAATCAGAAAGTTTGACAGATTTTCAAAGAAAGCAAAAAAATAAAATCATTCCCTATTATTTCATGTGCAATAAAATTTTAATTCTTAGGCTATCGATGCAAAGAGAATGCAATTAAAATTGAAATTAAAAAAATAAAAAATGACGAATGTAAACCAAAAACTGTTGCGGTGTAATAGCAGCGAATAAACCACTCCAAACCGAGTCCAAAAGTGCTGAAAATGCAGCTGAAATCACTCCGTACGTGCCCATTTCATTACTCCTCAAAAGATAAAATTATCGAATTTTCAAAAACAAACTGTGAAAAGAGAATTATGAAAGGACCATATAATTCAGGCATTAATAATAAAAATAAAATAATAATAATAAAAAACGTTCATAAAGATAAATAATAATAAAAATCTCTAGATCAAAAAAAGATGGTGTTAATGAGTCATAGCCTTGAATGTCTCTCGAATAAATGACTGGCACAGAATTTTCTTCCTGATTTCTTCTATGGAACCCTTTGGCTATCAAATAAAGCTTATTGGACTCTTGATTGAAGCCTGTAGGCTTTTGAAGAGCATATAAGAAATATCAGCTATTTATAATTCTATTTTTTCCACAATTTCTATAGGAACAAAGTCATAGCCACTATTAATAACTTGATTCATATTGGATGTAATAATTTCATTTAAAGACTGAAATAACTGAAAGATGGAAAATAAAAATATCTATTCAACTGGATTGGCAAAAAAGGAATAAAACTAAATGAATCGAATTAAAGAGATAAGCTAAACCAAACCAAAATAAAAATATATCTCGTTAGTTAGTTCTTTCCTATAATATCCTTATAAAGATTTTGATATTTGGTTATAAAATCCAACTCCAGAACAAACAGCAACAGCAATAATCCAGATGGTGATGGGGATTCACTCGTTCCCATTTTCTAATGAAAATATCCCATCCTAAAAGATAGTGGCGTAGACCAGAGTACTTTTAGAAAAATAAGAAAAAATAAACCTATTCACATAACTGACGAAATGTTCTTTTGTAAAAATATCACGCAAGGCAGAAGTATTAAAAAGTGCTTGCAGTGTTGCATTCATGAAACATGTATTACCGAGATTGATCAAACCAGTGAAACCAGGTAGGGTCTAAAAAAAAAAAATTAACGCAGTAGTATAATTTCCTTTGAATTCCAACGCCTCATAACCACGATGATCTCCTGTCCTCATAATTTCATGACGGAGAATAAAATACGTAATCTGCTTTTTTAATTCCAAAACCATTCACAATAAAATACGTAAATGTTATTAAAAAATTTCGCTTAAACAAATGGCACCAAAAGGAAAAAAGCAAATTTGATATAATGATATCACTCTATGCAACTTTTGCACCCAACGTCCCAATCAATGCTCTCAGACTCAAACCATAATGAATAAACATTCGATAAGGAAAATAAAGAAACAAAAAAGACTGTTAAATTAAAAAAGATTGAAAAATAAAAAATTTACAACAGATCCACGAATAGATTCGAGTTTAATTAAATCAATCATTGAATCGTACAGTACAAACAGGCATTTGGGATAATCACTATAAAAATATATAATTAATAAATTAATTAAATTAAAATTAAATTAAATTAAAAATCCAAGGATTAAAAAACCCAAGGAAATTTTCATAATTTAAATAACATAAACTATTTAAGTAAAAGCGAAAATATTTTGTAATTCCTTGAATCTAGAAATTCATATAATTCAGCCATAAAGGATTCCTGATACAAAGGGACCAATACCAAAAAAAGCGACCAAAAAAAGAAATAATACTGGCTTGACCTCTTTTGCTTGGACGTACAAAACGTAAACAAGTTCTTACTCAATAAAAAAGAAATAACAAACGCGATACAGTAAATTTACCAGATATATGTTAAAGAAAATGTTACCTAGGCATAACCGATGGTTTAAAGCTGCGATCCGGCACTATAGGCCTTTCTTTCACTGATTTCGGAGAACTGAAAGTTAGATCATTTTCTAATCACTCCATAATGGAATTAGATTTATATGATTTCTCCAATAAAATTTTTTTTAAAGGAAAACTTTGAAATTACTAAACAATCCAAATTCAAAATGCTTGATTTTTGCACACAGTATTTAAAAGACATACAAATTTTCGTCAATTTTCGCACCAGCAACTACTTGTGGACTGTTCTGAGGAACTGCTTGTTCAGGTGATGTGAAATCAGTAGGTTTTTCCTATATTACAGACAGAATTTAAAAATGGAATTTTTAAATTAAAATTTAGAAAATTCTCTAGTTTTTAGGAATTTACACATATAACATTTCAATACATTGAAAATTTCACTGGCAAATTGTGCATGATATAGAAGAACAATAAAATGAGGTAAAAGTACGATGGGTCCTATAAAATGCTTATAGAAGCAATATTATTTATTTAAAAAACATTTTTAGAAAATTAAATATTTATACAACGAAAGGTAATGATTAAAAAATATTATGAAAAATTTAATTTAAAAAAGGCAAAAATTTACTCGTAGCTGGGGTTTAGTCGTGCGGTCGATAGATGGAATTTGGGACCGAGAAACCTGAACATCAGACGATGAATTTTCAGCGCCTGTGCTGTTTAACTTTGCGATGACACTATTTTTATCCAAAGGCACATAATCAGTGTGAACATTACTCAGAACACTTAAATCAACAGCGCATGTACTGCCAGTATCGCAACATGAATCATGCTGAGAATGCAAAATTTTTGTCTCTTGCTGACCGCTTACACTTTCTGAAAAACTGATATTGGGGAAAAAATATTACATGCATCCAACTATGTGATTCTACTTTTTTGTGGAAAAAACTGAAATATAATAGAATTAGAAATAAAAAACAAGTATATTAAAACATAGGAAATTGAAGAATTCAAAAACGTAAAAATAAACCAAACCTACCTAAAACTTTTAAGGCAACAGGCATTATTTTCTTAGATTGATTTTCCTTAGAATCCAGAAGCGAAATATTCACGTTCTTAACAGCAGGTAAATTGAATTCATTTTCTGATGATAAGGTACTGGATAACTTCGGTCGCTGCGACGGTATATTTCTTGGAGCTGCTGACAAGCCATCGTGTGGTTGCTGCACCAATTTCCTCTTAACACTGAGCAGCAAATCGGGATACTGTAGGGATTGTACTCCGATATCTACAGAAAAATTATCTGTTTCAAATGATTATTCGAAAAAATGTGCCAGAAAAAAATTAATAAAAAAATTTCATTTTTAAATATTTTAAATATTCATATCAAGCATAATACTTACACAATCAATTAAGTAAAGTGTAAAGAACCTTTTTTGTATTGAGCAACGGCTCTTGCAAATTCACTCTGATCATTAATATCCAAAGAGCGTTTCCTTATGCCCACTTTACTTGAAGCATACATTGGATAATATAGTCTCCAATTCTCAAAACCACCTTGGAGAAAAACGGGTGGGCGCCGCAGACAAAATATATTGTTGTACTTCAAAATATTTAATTGATTTTAAAAATTTACTTCAGTTACTCTCTACATTAATTTCCTTTATATTGTATGGCAAGAAAATAGTTCCCTGCATAAACGATTTTTTTGTATTATCAGCATATTGGAGTTTTCTGCACAAAGATCAACCAAATTTATTAAAACTGATTTTATTCAAAATAATGCCATGAAAATGCCACTTACCGTCAAAAGTGCATTATACAAAATTTGCTCTTTAGAACCAGCTGGAATGTTATCATCTCTTAGATCTGCACTACCACAACCCATCAACACCACTAAATCAACGTCGGACATCCGTTGCAGCAAGGCTCGTTCACCAATCGCCACTGATTTAATTAATGATGAACCTATGCAACTGAAAGTCTTCAAAAATTTAAAATTAAATAAAACTCAGCAAAAAGTTTTCTAAACTGAAATGAAATGAAATGAAAAATGAAAATTTGAACAATGATACAGAAAGCAGTTCCATGAAGAATAAAAAAATTTATCTTATGCAATTACCCAGGAACTATAGCATTAGCTGGAACATGCGCAACTAGAATACGATCACATTTATCATATTTGAGCATAGTTGACTGATCTTCCCTATAATCGATCACTAATACTTGATGCTTTTCCTCGACAAAACGAATCAATTCACGAGGTGCAATAAGCAGTTTTGAAACAAAATCGGATGTTGAGTCATTCGCCGAACCAGAATCTGTAAAAATTGGGAAAACTATCGGCAAAATAATTCAAAAGTAAAGAAAGAGTAAATATAAATTCATCCAAAAAATGCTTTTAAATAAATAATCGACCTTTTTTATTCGTTTCAAATTCTGCCAAATTCTCCTTTGCATTTTCCATACAATCTTCTTCAGCAATCTTTAATACCCCATATCTTCTTTCTAAACTTTCTTCTAAATTCTTCATATGCGATATGCAGATTTTGAAAAGATCATAAAATCGTCGGCCATTCTAAAGATTCCCATAAAATTAAATAAAAATTTAAATATTATAAACATTACTGTAAATATTATATAAAACTTTAATAACATTATAAAATCATATAAGATAATCATAAGACAGCTCTTTTTATGGAATAATTTCAAAGAATTTGAAATAAATTAACAAGTGAATAAAATAATTTTTAAAAATTGTAAATAATAAGTGACTAAGGCATGTTACATAAAATACAGTGATTTGTCCTTGTAAATAAAATATACTCGTCAATGCATTATTTAATAGGATAACCGACAATTATTTACCGTTTAATTTTCAATGTCTTCTAATCTATGATGTTCATTACACTTCCTCTATTTTAATTTTTACTGGACTTTCTTATTGTTTCCAAGTTTGTGACGTACAGTAACATATAATATTCTAAAGTAAACGACTGAAAATAAGGAAAATTTTCAACTTACAGGAGTATTTTTAAAATGTATAAAATCATTTTTGCGAATAATCAATTTCGCAATATTACCCATTCGAGAAAATAGCTGATATGCTTGTTCTTCATCGTCTTTCAATTTCAAAACTGCTTCATCGTATAATCGTTCTATATGAGAGAAAGCTCTAAAAAATTCGCGAAATTATCTTCCAATTCAGTAATTCGTCTATAAACAATCATTTTATGGAACAATGAAAAGCTATCACTTCAGCATCCTTACACCACTATGAATCAAGCAACATCGCCTTTCATATTCGTCAAATTACCATTATCCTTCCCAAACAACTACCTCCCACTACCACCTCCCTCTTCTCTCCTCCAGAATATACTTCCTCGGTAGCTGCAATCATCGTCATATTACCATTTAAGATTTCAAAGTCTGCAATTGCAGGTCGAGAAAAAAGTGCATAGAGACTTGGGTATTAGCGGAGTATAATGAGAGTGGTGTGCTAGAGAGTGCTAAATCTGCGGAGGCTAAGGTGATAGACAATGGATTATAAAAGACTGTTGGGGATGCCAGAAGTGTTAAGTGGGTATTTAACATTTTTCGCCAAATATAACAAACTTCTGGCAACTTCTGACGAGCGGCAATGATGCCGCTTACCCGCCAAAAGGACGGACACCCCTTATCATATTTTCACTACTTTTTGTCATCAAATTATTATAGATTTTAATTTTTGATTTTTTCTGAAATCTCGAATTTTCATTTATAATTTTATTCGTTTGTTTACTTAATATTTTGACAAATTTAGAACTACAAAATTATTTAAATTAACATTTAACAAACGAAAAAACATAATTTGTGCACGTTTGGCGAGAAATAGCCGTGTAAATATTAGCGTCAAGTTCACCTGCCAATTGAAGTGATAAAAAACTATCAAATCTGAGATTAAATGACGCTTCCATACCACCATCGATGCTAAAAAACGCCACGATGAATGCAAATATCAAAAAACACACATAAGCAAAATCGAAAATATTAAACGATAAAGAAAATGGCGCAAGTAACTTTTATGCGGCCATGTTGCACGGCCATAGCAAAACACGGCCATTCTTTTTAATGCCTTTTGTAATAGATTTTCATAAGTGAAGTAAATGCAGCGAAAGTTAGTGAACAGATTGAAAAGTATTTTAGTAAAGTAAACATTAAAGCAAATTTTATTAATCCCAAATTTAAACAAAAATAAAACCAAGGAAATCGATCGGTGATGTTCACCATCTTCTAACAGTTCTCACCATTACTGGTTAGGTTGTCTTCAACGGCTACAAGGGTAAGACGCTTCCAAGCGGCGCGGTCTGATGCCATCGTCGACAGTAATGGAAGCCATTCCTTTTTCCATCATTTAAGTCCATATATCGCTGGCCCACCTATATTCAAAATCCTTCCTGATCGTACCAGTCCATGTCTAGATTGGGCCACCTCATCACACGGTTTAGCGAAGTAAATGTATACTCTTGTAATGGACGACGAAGAATGTGTCCAGCGAAGGCGGCGCTCTGCGATTATATTGTTAATATAAGTGGTATTTGAGCAAAGGTAGAAAAATAATGTAAGATTCCATGTGTTCTGCGAATCCATAAAATATATCTTAGACGTAATATATATCTTAGACATGAAAGGTCAAAGGCAGACAGCTTTTTAATATTTTTCACTCTCATTGGCCATGTTTCGCAGCCATATACCAAGATCGGGCGAATTGTAGACGCGTACTATCGTTTTTATGGTGATTTCGCTTCGCCGCTTCCATAAAGGTTTCACCAATCGAAAGAACGCATTTCCAGCTACCGCTATGCGTTATAATCTCGTCTTTCGCTTGGCCATTTGGTACTGGAATGTATCCAAGATATTTAAAGTCTGGCACTTCCTTAACCGACTATGAATTGATAAAAATATTTTCGTATAAAAATATTTTATCAGTTCCTTGTTTATAAAACGAAAAGTCTTTCGTTTTATATACATAAATCCTGAGTTCGATTCTCACTATACAGTTGTATGCACAGTTGTGACCTATACAGTTGTCGATACATTGTTTAGCATTATTTGTACTTCGCCGTAACTCTCTTTAGTAAAAAGGGCTATGCCATCAGCGTATTCAAAATCTTCAACGATTATGCTCCGGGCTCATTTGTACACTTATTAAAGCAATGTCCATAATCAGGTCTATCGCACAGTTGAATATTTTAGAGGAAAGGATCCAGCCTTGACACACACCAGTTCTTATATTGAAGAGACTATCAGCTCCTCATATCCATAGATCGCTGATGTGCGCTGTTAAAATGCCTTTAAGAGTCGAGTGATCTTCTCTGACGGGTGGTGTTAAATAATGATTGGTGAAAATGTGAATATAAGCAGTCGTGAAGGAATGAGACTTAAAGTCTGAGAACTTCTTGAAGCATAATCTCACATCTCATATAAGCTAGGAAAAAGAAATCTATGAAAAAGAAAAAAAGGAAAAAGAAATGGAAATCTAAAAAATGGGAGATGATATATAAGAGAGATGCATAATGGGAAGCTTAGAGATTTTCAAATTTCAAGATGTCAAGTTATCCAAAAATTATATTAAATTGGAATTCTTTAAATCACATAATTTGGGAATTGGGAATACTGAGCAGCTTCGTCCCTTGGGAGGGAATACACCTATTGTTGAGAGTGAAATCCGAGTGGATGAGTGGAAGAACTATTATATGAATCCATTAATAATTCTCTGAGAAAAAGATTCACTAATCAAAGGAGAATCAGAAATAATACTCTCTGAAAAAGAAAAGTCTCGTAGATTCCATTTTTGATCTTGCCAAATGCACTGAAACAGTCAGCAGTCCTCACAAACCTGTTAGAAATGGTTCCATGCACCTCCAGTAGTTTTTCATATTGCGTCACCAATTCCATATCTCGCTGTCAGAAATGAAAGCATTTTGTTTCCTGCACTGCGACAAGTTTTCGTCGATCTTCAACATCAGTTCTCACCCCATTGATGGCATTCTGCAATACCCTCACAGCGCGTGAATTTTCAGAATCTTCATCTGCTGCAATGGAACGAGCTTAATGTCAATTTTTAATAAGTTGAAAATAAAAATAAGCAAAAATAAGCTGAAACAGCTAGGATTTCATTCATAATTTGTATGTTATGAAAGTCTGCTTTAGGTACGATATTCGAAACTCGTTGATAGAATCTACAAATCTGCGTTCTGCCACATCGCTTATAAAGGCAAGTACAATAAGTTAGCTATGTTCGACAACATAATATTTATTTGATATTAAAAGAATGTTTTAAGTTTTACTTGGATTATTTCAGCATAACAAGACTGCAAATGCAATTTTTCAGTGTTTATTTTACAGAGAGCATCTTCCAGACGGTTGTGCAGCTTGCAGTTCGTATTGTAACCAATTTATATATCGTACATTTGCAGAAAATTGCTTATATAATGCGTGTGCATTATTCATTTTGCGAGTGAAACGAAGAACTGTCATGGACCAATCTTGAAAAGTTTCATAATATAAGCTGTTGTAAATTGACTTAAATAAGATAATCAGATCAATGAACATAAACTTAAAAAGTAATCTTGTAGAATAAGGGAAAAACTGAAACGGAAATATTTTGGAGTTGCCGACACTTTGCCATTTTACCTTATTTCTTGAACCTCAGAATAACACTACCTGACAATCTTTGATTTCACCATGCGAATCAAGAAAAGAAAAAAAAAAAGATGCAACCTTGAAAAAGTTTAGCTAGCTCATCTTGAGAATTTTTTGAATCATAAAGTTTGGCTAACTCATCTTGCTACATTTAAAATCATAAAAGGCTAAATTGAAGGAAATTTCAGATATGAAATGAACTGGAATACAGGATCCGTGCCTTCAAAATACGCCTTTCTTCCAACAGTACCAGAACTGGACTTTCGATGGCGATGCTGGTTGCGGCAGTAGCTGCGATCGTGGCGGTGTTCACGCGACTTGTATCGAAATTATAAGCGATGATTTTTACGAGCTTCTGACTTCCTCTAAAGGGATAATAAAACTGCCAAAAAGATAAATCAAAAAGATTCAAGAAGATGTAAAAGTGAAATTAAGAAATTAGCAAAAACGACCTCGCAATCCTGAGAAATTTTTTTTTCAAAGAAAAACCATGGCTAAGCAAATCAAACTTAGGCTCATTTATAAAATTGAATGCTGAATTAATATTTGAAAATTTAAAAAAATGAAATTAAAAGAGTAGAATCTTAGGAATGGAAACTAACTGATTAACGGTGTCGGTGTCGGCTACCTCTCCTATTGCATTTACGATTATCAGTTTCCATTATATACTCCGTTAAAATACTACAACAATTTACGACAAAAACTTTAAAAATAGTCAATAAATAACATCGATAAATCTGTCGCAAAATATTTCTTTATTTTGCTGCATACCTTTAACTTGATTAGTAGATCCAAAACAAAGGAATATATACATACAACAAGTTTAAGTACAACCTTGCATAGTTTAGATATGTTTTCCAGTTTCTTACAAAAACCACGGCTATAGACTTTTCTTGCTTTTTACCATATTTCGCGAAATACCAAAAGCAAAAGGCTATTAGGGCATCGTAAAAATAGAAAATGGATTCGAACCAGAAGTTAGGAGTGGCACACTAAAAAATAGAGAGCGAATCAGCAAAAAGGTACAAACAAATATACAAGAAGACCAATAAAAATAGCAAAAGGCGCCAATGGAGAAAAATTCAAAAATAATCCAACAATGTCCACGATTGGCTCAGTGAAGAATATAAAAACTCCGCTGGCGGATCTCGATGGAGTGGAAATGGACCAACTGCAAAGTAGCTTTATAGCCTTCGCCATTCCGCGACAATCCCAATTGAGGAAAGCACGGTGCGCTAGCCAGGATTCATCCAGTCCATCGACTGACACTACACTGCCACTGAACTACCAACATACCACTCTAAACTTATGAAAATAGCCTTGTCAATCTTCTCTTCACTGATCTTTTGATTGATTGATAATTAATTTGTTGGCGAGGCAGGCTAGCAACTGGTTCGAATTCATTTCCATTTCTACGATCTCATAGTAGCTTTTTTTGTCTTCGCCTTTTCACAACAGCATATGTATATAATTTAATGGGGTCGTTTCCAATAATGATGCCAGTTGAATAAATAAAACTATCGAGGATCTGAGATTACAACTATCCTCAAATAATGAGAAATATGAAATATGAAAAGCAGTAAGATCTTATTTTGCACTTCACCAGATCTGTCGAAATACTTACAAAGGTCACAGATGAACTTAAGAATGATTTTAATAATTTTAAACCTTCTTTTTTGAGTGGCAACTTTGAGCCTCCAAAAATCTCAACTGAGCAAATATTGGAAAGTACCGATGAATATTTCAAGAAAAAGGAAAAAGAACCATGTTTTGTTGGTATAAATATTTCCTGCCTGAAACCTGCGGATGATGAGACTGTTACTGCCGATAGGCCATTGAGACTGATTACATCAAGGAAGTTCGTCGACATGGAAGGAAGGGGTCACGTAGTCCACGAATATTTAAAATTCGACTCGAAGATAAGTATATGGCCATGTTTTGCGCAATAAGAATGTATGCTCGATCGTTCCCCATGGAAACTTTTTGCGGACAGATTTAACGAAAAGATAACTATTGCTAGACAAACAGTTGCGAAAAGAATATTATATCTGAAACCAGAGCCCCAATCTAAAGAAGAAGAAGAACTCAGAAACCTTCAAATAATAGAACATAGGCAGCTCGCCAATGGTTTGCGACGACAAATAATTTTTCGATTCCAACTTTTGTCGCCATTCTTTATGTGTCAAGAACATTCTTTCTGACATAACACCTGTTAAGGCGTTCCCCAAGATAACTGCATTGCGCAGCCCTTGCTTTTTTTTATTCTATATAAATGATGTCACCAAAGTGGTGCTAAATTCTACCATTTATCTTTATTTTTATGATTGTAAAATTTATTATTCTCATAGTTGAGCAGATAATTTATCTCCACTGCGGGAGGACCTAACAGAATAGCAAAATGGGTATATGACAATCAAATTACCCTTTCTTTTCAAAACTATATCAATTCTAAAGGATTCGATCTTCTTAACCTTTTTATTAATGGTAATATAATCAGAAGAGTCTTACACAATTCCGATCTTGGAATAATCATGGATGAATATCTCGATTTCGCCCTTCACTGCAGAACTATGGCAAAGAAAGATACTAAATTTTATTTTTCATTCATTTATGAACAAAACTGATGGTTAAAGTTTTCTTATCAAAACGCACAAAGCGTTCGTTCGGCCCCTTCTTGACTACAATACAACTTGTTTCTCCCCGAGATATTGCAAATTAAGTAAAATAGTTGAAGGACTCCAGAAACATTTTACATGACGCCTCCCTCCTAATAGCAGTCTTAATTATAAAAGAAAACTTTTACAATACAACCTGGATTTTCTCTCAGTTCATCGAATTAAACAAAAATTTATACTTAATAAGATTCTTATGGTTATATTAAATTAGATTGTTCAAAATATCTTAATTTTAGGCTAAATTTGAATCCAACAGGAACTAATAGGCTAAAATTACTAAAGCCTATGTGTAAAACTATCATGATATTATTTAAAATATCTATTTAAAAAGTTCACATCATGAAGAAAGTGCGAAATCTCGATTTTTACCACCCGACTATATATAAAACAGTTATTTCGAGTTGTGCTAAATTTATTTTCTTCCTCTTCCTCTTCCTCTTTAAATTATTTTTTGTCATATTTTCTTTTCTTTTTTTCTCATTAATTATTATTTATTATTTTAACTGTTGTTATTAATACAAGCATATGGCGTTTGTCACCTTACTTGGCTTTATATAAATCTTCAATAAATATAAATCTTTTATTCCTATGCATAAGACTTGGTGAATTGCCGAAATGAATATTTGGAAGAACATTTTATTTGAACAATAGTCGTAAATGTGGTGGTGAGAAAGCTTATCGGCCGTCAGCAACAGAAACTTTAACTTTAACAATAACCAGACCTTTCTACATATATTATATTTAACCTACTTTTTGCTTATCTATTTTACGTTGAAGCTGGCCAAAAAAAATATTTATAGTTCAATCATTCACCAACCTTACCTAATCACCTAATAAAGTCCATTAACCAGCTGATATGGCCTTATCAATCAAATCAACATACCAGATAATCGTTTAATTACCTCATTCAGTTTTCTATAAATATTTTCACTGATATGGAAAGAACAATTGCCAGATGATTGAAACAATTCTGCTCTCAATTCAAAAAATGTGATGGGACATGATTTTTGCTATTAAAAAAATTAGGTATACAAAAGCCAAATAATTGCCGAGCAAGAAAAGTACGGATTTACATATGTTCAATGGCACCGAATGTTGTGCTTTGATATGTCACTATAATATTTTCCTATTTTCGCAATTTTGTTTGAAAAAATGTTTTTGCAATTATTACTGCACTAAAAAAGCATTTAAAGGCAAAAAAAACAAGTTCTTCAACAGGTAGTCACCAAAGAAATTTCCTTATATGTAAAATTTTTTTGAATGGAAATCCTGTAAATTTTTAAAAAATGTATTTAGTTACCATCCTAAATATTCGTTTTTATTATATATTTTTTATAAAACATGATATAATATGTAAAATTTCCATAACAAATAAAAATTCTAAGGGGGTCGATGGGAAAAAAATTTTTTTTGGAGGATATCGATACAAGAAAAACAGTAAGGAACAGTAACAGTAACAGAAAGGAAAAAGTGGATACCGCCCTGTGGGCATATAAGACTTATGTTAGGATTTAACGGTAGATATTTTAATATTTTCCAATCCTTATAAGCGACTAATTTTTGTCATTTCAACCCTGTATTTGCCGATGTTCGGGCACACCACTGGCGATGTTCGGGCTAGGGAAGAGCAACTGGATAAAAAACACCGGAAAGAGTTGTTGGATTAAAGCCGAGGGAATTTTAGAAAAAGACTGTATTCTATAATTATTAATATAAGCCGAGAGAATTTTACTATATTTTGCAATTTATACATAAAATAATATAATGGTCTTAGGCTAGCGTGTAACTATCGAATTATATCCTAATTTTTAAAGATTTTATGGTTACCCAAGTTTAAAATAAATATGTGACGTTATTAAATTTTGTTACTGGTTACTGATCACGATAAAATTTAAAAAGAAAAGAAAGTACAATAATTAAGATGGGAGTGCTTGACGTTGATCACTCTCTTGAAGTTCAGCTGGATAAGATAGAATGTTTTGATTTTTTATTGTGAGCAGAAAATTGATAAGTTCTCCTTTCTTTGTAACTGGTATGGTTTGAAAGTGATCGCCAATACCACTTAATAACTGAAAATTAAAAATTCTAGAAAAATAATCAAGTCAGCGAAGTTTTTTAATTTTTTCCCAGAATATTTGTATACCTGTTGTTTTGTGTTGTTAGCACAAGTGCGATTGGAAAGACCGAAATGTTTCTTGTAACGACGGAGTGTAGCCGCAGGAAGACGATGAAGAGGAGGCTATAAAATCGAATATAAAATTCAAATAAAAAAAAATTAAAAAACTTCGCTGCTTGAAAACAAGGTAATTCAGAACAAAATAACGAAAAAATTGGCGGATAATTTCAATTTTATAATATTTTAATATTATTAATATTAATATTATTAATATTAAATACAAAATATCAAAACTTCTGTCAAATATTCCATTTATGCCCAGCAGCTTACCATAACTGTATGAATATATGGATTGAATCTGTCAGATACTTTCTGTCTCGATGCATTATGAATGATGTTTCTCATGATTCCAAGTTCGCTCTCACCAGCACTTGGCGCAATATTCATATTCCTACAAAAAAACTATAATTAAATTTCACAAAATGAACAATTAACATAAAACAAAATCACCGTTCAATTAAATTCCAGTCTTCATGATCAGAAGCACTTAAATCACTTTCGTCGTCAACACTTAAAAGTGATTTTTCATCGTCTTCGTCATCTTCACCCTTATTACTCTAAAAAAGAATTAAAATTAATGATTTCGACTGATTTTGTAAGATATGTTTTTATAGGGCTCTTTTCTTGAATTATTCTAAGTTTTCTCCTAAATCATATTGTTTCGCAATTCCAAAATAAAATAACTTTGGTACATGGCCAGAAGACGCAAGCTGTTTAAAAGTAGACTACTATATATGCTCATAAGATTTTCAACGTTATAAATACTTCATTTCATAAACCTTTAACAAAGGATCTTCGTTGATTTCCAATAATTCATCAGCAGTAAATGATGTCTGCTGCTCATAAACTGAAAGATCCCGACTGCTCAACGATTCACCTAATTTCAGAGGTTTTTCGTGACGAATCATTCGACGATGGTATAAACAAATATAATAATGATTCATCTGCAACGAACAACGAATTTTACGTGGAAAAAAATAGAGATATAACGAAAGAAAATGAGAAAGAAAATAGAATTAAAAATTGTTCATACTAGGAAAAACGGGGCAAAAAACCACTAGCAAAATAGCAAAACATCAAGGAGCACTTAACAAACTATTATATAAAAACGGTGGAATAAAGAAACCAACTGCTTTATTATAAAAAAGTGGCAGCCGTTTTTGAATACTAAGTTCACGGAGTTTACGATTAAGCCAAATTCCAACCATACGTCTATGACATGACTGATAATCACCATTGGGTAAACGCTCGGCTATACAACATGTATTCATTCGTCTGAAAGCTTCAATTTGTTGATACTCCGCCAATTCTTCAAGTGACATAGCACCTAAAAAAACTGACTGGAAATATTGGAAATAAAATATCAATTTAGCCTAATGATTACGCAATTAGCGCAAAATTATTGGGAATTATTACTTGAAATTTAAGAACCTCCTAACAGCAATTACTGGTTAGATTGGCTCTGCTGGCTACAACAGTAAGATATCTCCAAGCTGTCCGACATCCCCGCTAACGATACTAGAAGCCATTCCTTTTTCCACCGTTCTAAATCCATATATCGCCGCTCCACCTATACGTTCAAAATCCTGACTGTATCACCTTAGGCCTTGACTGGCCCTAGCTTTTGACGTCATCCATCACAGGGTTTGATGAGTAACGAAATATATGTCAACTCGTGTGGTGGACGACAAAGAATATGCCCTAACCAGCGAAGATGTTCTTTGATTAATGGAAATATTACTTCATAGAAGGTTGATGCAGTTGTATGAAATTTTGTCCGCTCCGCGAACCTGCAAAATGTATCTTAGACATGAGAAGTCAAAGGTACATAGCTTTTTAATATCCTGCAATCGCTTAAAATGGGTGCAAGATATTTAAAGTCTAGCCCTAACATACCGATGGATTGATCTGGAATGACTGATTTGCATGCCTCTTGAGTGTCGACAAACGATGTCCATTATGTCCATTATGTCAATTGAATATTGTAATTCCCATATGTATAAGCCTTTGCTGATGTACGTTGATAAAATGCTTTTATGAAGTGAATGATCTGGAACACCATCACATTCCATTATCCTCAAAGCACTATCCTGTCAATTAAATCGAATGCAGCTGCAAAATCGATGAAACAAGTGGCGGAGGGTTGCAGATATTTGAAGCGATGTTCCAGTACCCTCCTTAACGTAATATCTGATTAACACAACTGCATCCGGCTTGAATCCAGCTTGATTAAGACGCATCCTGCTTTCCCGCATTGCCGTAAGCTTATTAAGTATTGAGTAAGGGAAGCAAAAATTTTCGCTGAGACGTCTAGGCTAATTCCTCGATAATTGTCGCAATATATCCAGTTATTTTTAGAATTACTTTGTTGCATTTATCTGCTAATATTTTTCTTCCATACCAGAAAGTACATTTGTGCGTTATGAAGGACGATGGATAAAATTTGAAGAGTTCGGCTCGAAAACCATTTTCTCCGGGAAATTTATTGTTCGTGTTGGCACTGTTTTCAAATAGTTGGACAATTGCTTCCGATACCCATCTAGCTCACTCCCTACTAGTGTGCTTTAGCATGGAAGTGGCTAACTTTCGGAGACATTCCTTTAGTTTGGACTAGTGTTCGTTCGCCGTTCCATAAGCCATTGATATTTATACCACTGAGGTGCTTCAATAATGAGGTTTGAAATGCGACTATTCCCTAATCTTTTAGGATGAGGTAGTTGCCGGAAGATCTTGGGAGACGGCTTTCCTTTCGGTCGATCGGTCGATTTATATGAATCATGGCTCGAACCATAACATGTTCTGGTCCATGAAGATTACCAGTTTCAGCGCCCCGTAACGAGTACTTTAGTGTGAAATTCTCCCAACTAAGGTACAAAGTACGACGACTAAGGTACATCAATCTGGCTGGAGCTTGGTTATCCTGAGAGTTTTACGTGACTAGATGTCTTCTACGATGCCGGAAGCAAAAAGACATTTCGGCAAAGCAAAGAAAGGGCTCTCTTCGAAGCCATATTTGTAAATTACAGAATTCATCATAACGACATCATGACCTACGCGCACATTCTAGTCACCCTCCGATTTTGACCAAGTCACTTTTCGGCAGAAATCTTGTTAGCAACTGAATTTCCGCAAAAACTTGTCGTGGTTCATCTGCGCATAAACTTGGAGGCATATACACTGATAACTGAAACACTGCAGAATTTTCCGTTACTTCTATTCTATCGAGCTTTTTCAGATATGATAATCCCTACCCCATTCTGCTCCGCGTTATCCGAAACAACACAGTGGTACAGCCAGTACATCTGCTTGGAGCCAGATTTAATAACTACACGGGACTCGAAGTGAAGAAGACAGACACACAACAAGTAGGCGATATCCACACGGTATTTAGAAAGTGATGGTGATAGCTTCCATCGCAAAGTTCATAAGCGTTCTAACGTTCAGAGCAGATATAGCCAACATCTCGCTGCTCGTGCGGAATGCTAACGGACTCTTGTTTTTCCGAACAGATTTCGAGCAATTACCGAGCACATCATTCTCAAGTCTTAGGGATCGTTTTACTACGCCTTGATTGTCTAATTATTGCATGTCATCGTCGGGTTGAGACACCGTGTTAGAAAGAAGTGATCCTTTCACCATCTGCAGCACTCGGACTTTTGATATCGTGACAGGTTTACTGCTGTCAAAGACAGAGGTGAAGACAGAGATTAAGAAAGAATGGAAAATAAATAAAACAAAATAAACTTTAAAAAAGACCAATATTACTGCAGGAATGAGATTAGTCGAAACCTTTAGAAGTTCCGAGAAAAAATATAGGAACAAAAAATAACAATAAATGGCATTTAAACATTTAAGAACAAATTGAGAATACTCTGGAAAAAAACGATGGAAATTTTAAAATTGAAAAAATTTTGCACGGAAACTTTCGAAACAGTACAAATTATAAATATGAAAAGAAATTTAGCTCCAACTGAACCTTTGGATTTCCAGAAATAACACCGATTTCACAATATGAAATTCTTGGCTTACAATCCGATAAATTTCAAATAATCGGTTACTAAAACGCAGATTTCTTCAGGGAAATCCTGCACACCACCTTTCAATAGTTTCTAAAGGTGCTTTACAATCTTCTAATTTGCACAGTTTCTGAGTTTGGTTGGCTTTGCCAGGTTTCTCATCGCTAGGTTAAGACTTCGTCGCCAGTTATCGCCATGGAGATACAAGCCCGAACTCAACGAACGAAAGGCTTATTACTCGAAGAGAAGCGGAATCAAACTTGATCTGCTGGTCCTCTGACCAAGAAACTACATACCACTAATTCACCACGCTCCTTGACAATTGTTTATAACTTTATTGACATTTAGCGCAATTGTCATTATATAAGAAACTAACAAACCAAGTTTAAAATATCGTATGTAAATCAAAAAGCTTCGGCCTCCATGTTTTAGACTTGCAAAGCATATTTTAACTGCAAAAATAAATGTCGCCTGAAGCATTTCCGTCAAAATTATTCTATTCGTCATTCGGCAAGCATCTGTTTGTAAAGATTTAAAATTAGAATCGAAACCTTTAAAAACTGAAAAAAACTGTTCGTAAAATCGGTCTGCACTTATAAGAACTCTACGGAAGGGTACTTCGAAAAAAAGGCCCGGTCCAATCAAATGTCAAATCATATAGTGCAGCTATGCGCATTTCAACGGGCTCAGCCCAACTTTTTCGCTATTTATTGTAATCAGCCAATTTCTACACAACTTACGGCAAAACCTTTTATTAATCGATGAAACTAACAGAGTCTAGCAGAGTATTGATATAAAAACAACAGAATTTAAAGTTATTCAATGGTTAACTGATAAGAAGGAATGGATTGTGGTGGGGTTTGAGGAGAGTGCCAATGGAACACAATGTTTCAGAGATCTGTAATCGAGTATAGTAGGTTTTTAGAATGTCAGTGGTTCGTTAGAAAATGGCAGGCTTACCAATCTCTGTATTATTATAATTTGTTAATGTGGTCGTGACAAAAGTGAATTGCGAGGTTTTTCAGATGGTCTAGGGAAAAATGAAGCTGGGTGACACGTTTCATAGCCACAAGTATTACGAGTAGCTACAACCAAGTCTGAAAGGGTTAAGATGGTAGGAAGTTTTCCAAAATGATATTGCTAATAGGTTATGGACAGAATATTTGAAAAGATTTTTAATAAAGTTTGGAAAGATTTTTCATAAAATACGTCGTTTTCAGGAAGATCAAACCTCTTAGACATAGCGGACAGAGGGTTCTTGGAGATTTCGAAGATTTCGAAGTATTAATGAGTTAGAACGAAGAGGTTTAAAGACATTTTGGCGTAAGAGTATGCTTGCTATGTTATCGTGAAAAAGGGGCCGAAATTATTGTAAGAAATTCAGAAAATTTTTTTTTCTTTTTTTCCTAAGGACACTATTTCTGATTAGGCTCGTTTATTGGACCAAACAATTTTTTACCACTTAGTGATAGAGAGATATAAATGAATAGTTAGTATTACTCTCATACAGACAGGTTCATACTAGGAGTAGAATCATTGCAACTGCTCTCTAAAATGAGAGCAATAAGTATTTTAATTTCTGCTTCGAAAAAAAAACCATAGTGTGACTTAATGTGTTAGAAATATAATAAAAAGTGACAAAGGTTCGGCTCTTGCCAGCAACAGGAGTAAACCCGTCATTAAAAAGTCTGGCTAGTATTGGCGACCCACCTGCATTTCTGTCGCCAAATAATTCCTCCTAAAGTTTCTGACCGAAAAATTCTTAACCAGCCAGTGGAGCGGACCTAACCAGCGAGATCAGTGTCTACACTAACCACTTTTTTTAGAAACCATAGAAAAGTACAAATTTGTTATCAAAAAATTATTTAGCTATTTAAATTTTCGCATCGTTTTTTTTAAGACCTGAAAATTTTTAAGGAATTTTCGCATTTATTCAGTCATTTCCATTTTAATCAATTTAATCAATTTATGATGCCAAACTGCCAAATTAGAAATGGAGCATGTCGCTAGAAAAACAATAATGATAAAACAAAAATAAAATAACAATACAGAAACTGCTTAAAGCTAAGCATTGAAATAAAAATTCATTTCAATATTTTTGATTTTACTTGTGTTCTAGTCGAACTAAAACGGCTAGACATTCTCTAAGCTTGATTACAGGCCAGAAGTAGGGAAACTTCGCAGATTTTTTGAAATTTATTCTCCTGAAAAAAAAGAACCATTGTCAGTTTCAGAAAAACCAAACTATGTTATTGAAAAAATAGCAGAATGGCATGGAATCATGGAATTACAGAATCGAGAAAATTACCACAATACGCTGCCAGCAAATACCTATTTTTATTCACTATGATTAGCACTAATAAAGAACAATAAGTACTAATAAGTACTTCTTCTTTTAGCTGCTCCCACCATTACTGATTAAGTTGGTTCCGACGTTTCCAAGCTGCTCGATCCAATGCCATAGCTGACAATTACAGAAACCATTTCTTTTTTCACCGTCTAAGACCGTATATCGCTAGTCCTCTTATACATTCAAAAGCTTCCCTGACTGTATCAGTCAAGGTCTGATTGAAGTTTAATGTTTAACAAATTACGAAATATATGTCGACTCTTGTGGTAGGCGATGGAGAACGCCCTAACCAGCAAAGGCGACGCGACGCTCTGCGATGGTACTGTGGTATTTGAGCGAAGGTGGATGGATAATATGAGATTTTATTCGCTCAGAAAATCCGTAAAATATATTTTAGACATGAAAGATTAAGGTAGATAGCTTCTTAATATCCTTCACTATCATTAGCGATGTCTCCCACCTATACAGCAAGACCGAGCGAATTGCAGCTATATGGATGTGATCTTTCGTTTTTATGGTGACTTCGTGACGGCTCCATAAAGGTTTCGTCAACATGAAGAACGCATTTCTAACTGCCGTTATCCATGTTGGAAAAGCTAATAGAAATGGCACATAACCAGGAAGCAGCAAAATCTTTCTGTTAATAATTTTGCATCATCTTTTACTCCCAATATCTAATAGAAAACTACTGAAGTGATAGGCCCGACCACTAATTACAATTATAAAATCAAAAAAAAAGGAAATAGAAATGAATACTTACTGAAAGGCTTTCACAGTATATAGTAAACGATGAGAGGAAGAAAAATTGCTTTTGACAGTTTCAATGATACTTTTCTGAGAATAGGTTCCAAGTAACAGAAAATCAAACCGCTTTAAATCGTCAATAGTGAGATTTTCTGTTTTGTTATATCTATAGAATAACAAAAGCAAGAAATTAATCAAGTCTCCGAATAATTTTAGTACCACAACACATCTCATCAAAGCACGACCGAAATATATTTAAAAATTAAATGCAACTAACTGCCATTTTAAAAATTTTTGAAATAGAATAATTAGATTTAACATTTAAATGCAACTAACTCCCATTTCTCGTATAGATGAAGAAATCGATTGACTCCAGTTTGTGCTGAGAAATTATCGATGTATACCGTCACTGGTTTGTTCCTATCGAATCGCTGCATGAACTATAAATAAAATTCAATTAATTGAATAAAATAAAAAAATTTCTATTAAATAACTTTACTACTGGAAGGATTATTCAATTGCTTAATAAACGATAAATCAGAGGAGTAACCTTTGAAGTTTGTATGTAACGAAGTATGATAATTTTTAAACTGATTATGCAGAATTCAAAAAGTTATGCTGCTGAAAATTTCAAAATCATTCAAGCACCTGTAAATAGCCAAGCGCATCTCCTCCAGGGTAATTATAAGCACTGGCATATAGGAACATTGCAGTGACCAGCGAATTTGCGACCAAATGAAAAATTACTCCTAAGGAGATCAAATAACGAAACCAATTTTTGTTTCGATTAACCCATCTAAAAATAGTTAAAATTAAGACTATCAACGACTAAAATACAAAATCTAAAATTTTCACTACATTCAATAAATAATGAAAATAAATGACAAACGATAAATGCTTTGTAGCATCATAATTATAATAATTATAGCGTGGAGATAAAATTCCTGAAAATCATTGAATAATACTGAAAACCACAAAAATTCAAAGAGAATAACTTACAATCTTGCACAAAAAATAGCTGCCGCAAGATTCAGAATAGGAAATGTATAAATAATGAATCGTAATTCTTTGTGAGGAAGGAAAGAATAAAGTATTATATAACTAATTATTGGAAGAACGTATTTGAATAAACGTCGTTCTAAAAACTTTTTCCTCGTATTTCATAATACAAATTAATTTTCATACTTTGTCGCATTTTCAAATGCTGAAGAAAAAGAAAATATATTCGAATAAATCTCCCAAGATTCACAGTCTAAGAACTTTTCGTATTAACACCGCCTTTTTGAACAAAGCAAGACAAGAATTGGAAAGTAAGATAGTTAAAGTGGTATGTTGTTTTGGCTGAAGCCGAACATCATGGGTTTGTTTCTTAATAAACCTCGATGGGAATGAAATTGTTAAAGCTGGAATAGGATGAAAAAGAAATCCAATTACTTCTACGGACATAAGTGATTCTATGGGGTCACCCTGTAATCAATTCGATCAGCCAAGTAAGTAAAAATTATTAGAACAGAAAAAAACCCAGAATCTACCATATGAAAAGTATTGTAAAAGCTGGCGTTCGATATTAAAGGTCAAAATCACTTCGTTTGTTTCAAATATAACAACGAAAATTCACCAATTATCATTCCCAATGGAACAAAGATAAGTGAGGTAATAAGGGCGCGAGGAAGAACAGAATAAAAGTACCAGAAGAAAGGTAAAACCTGAAAATTTTCATCAACAAGTAAACCATTTTTTAAAACAAAAAAGGTTAAAAAAATTTAGAAAACTTAGAAATTTAAAAAAAGCAACTAGAAACTATGCAACTGACTCCATATTCATGACTTTTATTCAAGATGATATTGAACCAAGCAACTTCACCTTCAGGCCACAAAAAACGGCTCCACAGTAATGAATCTATTGGCACAGTTATGCCTATAATTATACAATTCAAAATAAAAGCAATGAAAATTCTTTCTAGAAAATTGAAACAGGAAGATCTCTCGAAAGAAATAGAGAGAACTAAAATACTAACCGATAAATACTGAAACAAAAAACTAAATTTTTGAATAGAATAGGAACTGACATAATGTAACTATGGTTGAAATAATTCCAATAAATGCTCCTCCATCGAAACAAAATATGGGTAGCTGCCTACGAAGAACTGGTACAATAAAAACAGTACCAAAAAGGAGAATAAGTTCGCATCGAAAAACGACAGTGAAAACCGTTGCAACCTGAACCGCTCGTAGCAGATCATTATCTAACCAAAGCTGGTAGACGAAAAGCACTTCAAATAATAAAGATTTATAGTTTTCATGATGCAAATGTTTATTTCTTTAGGGTCAGATATTGAATAGCATAGAGAGAGACGATTTCCTTCTCCGGTAGAAACGGCTCAATATTAGAGCACAATCTATGTAATCATAGATGTTATCATAATGATGGATGAAGTTGGGATATTTATCTGTAACCTTATTATCTTCAGGGAACTGTAAAACGCCTTTGTTAAAGACTCATCCAATAAGCCACACTCAAATGCAACAATTTTACTTAGCAGTATCAGTCAATGGGACTATCAAACCTATCAGTCATATCTCAAACAATCACCAAGTTTCAATGTAGAAAGAGAAAAGAAAGAAATATAGAATTCGGCGAAAAAAAAACGATTATGATTGACCATTAGCCATATTATTCAGAGATTTTTTTCAAAATCACTTCCAATAAAGTTTAAGTTTTTCAAATTATTTATTTAAAATTTTAAAGTTCTTCTTACATAAGTTAAGAAAAATTAAAAAAAAATTAAATTAAAAACTGAACTAAAACAAACACAAACCTCCAATTAAGGCAAATGTATTCGGTAAAGACCTGGAAGAATAAAATAGGAAATGAAATTGTGAAGCAACGATCAACCTGAAAACACACAATAATTAACATTATAAAATTTCACTTATAAAAATCGAAAAATATATATTAAATGACTTTAGATCAATAGTAAATAAAAGAAAAAAACCTCAAAAAACAAGCTGTTTCACATCCGAAATGCTTTTGGACGCTACGTGTGAAATTACAGAAACTTAACAAGACGATGCAGCCGAGGACAAGTCGAACTGTAAATCTGAGTAAATTAAACAATTTTTTATTATTAACGATCAAAGGTGACAACAAATACAAATATACCTGCAAGCAAAACCCAATACTTCGAGATTTCATACCATTCAAACAACTTGATGAACGGCAAAATAACAGAACTGATAGCTATTGCACCAGCAAAAGTTCTCGGCACTACGCCTGGGAACTGCAGGTGGTCGTACTAAAATGGTACTTGGAATTGAAAAAATGGGAATCACGAACAATATTGAAATTCTCCACATAATGAAACTTGAGATCACTAACAATTTGCTATAAAAGCGTATAGCACTTACATTCGAAATGTTAAAACGGTGATACAGAATATCATGCACTGCTTGAATGTTGAAACTTTCTTCAACTTTGGTAAATGGTGCTATAATTAAATGCACCAACATCACAATTAATATTAACCATTCTGTGTTATATACGAAATTCATAATCTATAACCAAAAGTATCATCAATACAAATTGCTTAACTTTATATCAATATTTTCCTCATATTTTTCATTGGACGTTTTCACAATTTTTAGCCAATTTATTCTTAAAAGTCGACTAATGGGAAAAAAGAAAACCGATTCCAGCAACGACTGGCATCAACAAACAAAAACAATAACAGTAGCGATGATGAATCCACTTTTACTTCGTTATTAATATGTAAAAAGTTTAAAAAATAAAATTGAAAATAAAATTAATAATTAACAAATCGCCTTCACGAATAAAAAAATTTTTTCTAACAATCTTTATACCAAAACCTGGAAAATGTTGAGCAAAAAAATATGATGCCAGCATTAAAAATTCAAGCCAAATGATAAAAAAAATATAAATTATATTGCAATCGGACATCACACTGCTTGGAAATGGTTGTGGCCAGCTGAGCCAGCCTAACCAGTAATAGTGCGAATTAGAAGAAGAAGATCGGACTTATATAAAAAATAAACAGAGCTGAACTAATTAGGAGCTCAAAATCCTAAATTCAGAGAATCCTATCGTTTTTCACTTTCATTCCTTGTTTGTTTGTGTGCGTTGTATTAACAATTTTAATTGAACAATTCTGTCATCCATTGAATGTATGGTATTCTCCACCTATAAAATCAAAAGCTTGAAAGAATTTCACATTCTCAAATTCATAAACTTTTCATAAAGTTTAGCACTCATTCGTACTCGTAAACAATTTAAATTTATTGAAATCAGAATTGATTTCAGAATCAATCAGAAATCAGAATCAATAGAAATCGATTGAAATATTACCTTAATCCTCTTCTGCTTCAATTTCTCAGCTGCATTTTTCTTTAAATCACTTTTTTCGATAAATTTTTCATAGAACTTTGCTTTTGCATGGAATTTATTCCTTATTTCTTCAGCTTTCTGCAACTGCCTATGAAGACGATCTTGAAAGTGCAAGAAAAGATTATCCTGCAAGTAGTAGCAAGAACGATGTATGAAATAGGACAGCATAAAAATCAGCACAAAAAAATAAGTATCTGAAAAATAAGTATCTAACTGCATCTGATAATTCTAAGCAAGTTATAATTCTAAACAAAAAAAAATGTAGTGGACTTCTAGAATTCAAAGAAAAGATTATTATGAAGAAAATAAACTATATCTCCAAAAAACCTTAACGATGATTCCAAGTGTGGCTTTATAACCAACAACAGCTACAGGCAATAAGCCATTTGATATATCAGTACGAAAAGGTCGCTGATATGCAATAGAAGCATTGCACAAATCCACAATAACATCGTTCAAATCAGTGATACTGCACTCATCCATGAAAACAGCCACTGAAATTGGCTTCCATTGGCTCATATTCTACTAATCACTAAGGCACTGAGGATGAAACTTTAAGCCCCTTTAATCAAAAAGACATAATCATTTGCATACAAGTTCCATTCATTTAAAAATTTCGATAAAAATCTACCCTTCAATCTTTCATTTTTTGAAAATTCGAATTCATCACGAATAGATCTAATAGCCTTGACAACCGCCAATGCAACGGCCATATTTGATTCAAGCTTCATATCGACACAGCCATCAACTTCATTACCCTCCTAAAAATAAGTATATTATATACATATAGTCAAAGAAACAAGACAGCCAATTGTTGATACTTTAAAGACGAAGCTTTCATGCAACAGTTTTTGGTGTGTCTTGATATGATCAAAAAGAAATTCGCTGACGAAAGGCATAAACAATGAGAGAAGTAATAGTGATTTCTCAACCACTTCGCGTAGAACCTGCCCAATTTCACATAACCGCTGCTCATCTTTGGTCCACAACGCCTTTTTTGTTGTTTCCTACAACAAATTGCTAAATTCAAAAATACAAAATTACTAAAGCTTCTAGAGATATCAACAGAAATAGCACCAGATAAACATCGCACAGATCGCTTAATATGAAAGTATAAACAGCTGAAAATGCAAGATGGGGAGCGGACGACAGTGAACATCGAACTGCATTAAATGTGGTAGCCAAACGACTTTTAATCCATTTATCCTAAAATTTTAACATGAAATCAATTAATATGAATTATAATAAATATAAATTATTTATTCATCGTTGTAAATCTAAAGCTTATTTGAATTATATTACACTACCGAAAAGATTTTAAAATATCAGTCTGAATTATCTCCTTAAATGAAAGTCAAATAAAAATTAACCACATTATAAAACTACAAAATAACTTATTTAAATCTAACAAGAAAGAAACTAATCCTTCTCAATCTTTTTTTAAAAAAGTAATGGTAGATAATGGTAATTATAATAATAATGGTAAATAAAGGTAAAATAACGGTAATTGAAAATAAATTATCAATGAAAAAATAATCTGACCGTTAGCAGACTTAATCCTTTAGTGTTGGTAACTTGAGGAGCCAAAAACCAAACTTTTTCAGCATATAAGCACAGATTCCACAATTTATTACAAAACCTGCAATAATCTGAATCATTGATGGCGATATGAAGGAATTATCAAGTCGACGAAACCAAAAAGTTCTACCTGAGACCTTCTTTAGATTTTTCAACAATATCGACGTTAACTTCAAGACCAGTAACATTATGTCGAAGAAGAGCAAATCGCAGCGCATCTGGACCACATTTTTCAATGCCATATGGGAACTGTGATCTCAGTTCGGCCTCAGCGAATTCTAAATTATAAGAGAATATTAAATGAATTCTAAATTATAAGAGAATATTAAGGGAAAAGAATGTTTAATTTTTCTGCTAATAAATAACCGGCTGGCTTTAGTTTATTTTAATAGAAAAAAATTCAAAATCCTCAGTAAAAATAAAAATTCTCAAAAAATGAGCAAAAATTCGATGATGTATTTTTGCATTGACTTACCTTTTTCAGAATTAGATAATACTGAATGATTTAGTCGTTCGACCATTTTATCAAGTGATATTCCATTAATCACATCATTTGGATCTATCACATTTCCTCGTGACTTGCTCATTTTTTTACCACTACTATCACGTATAAGTCCATGAAGAATAATATTTTCGAAAGGGAAACGACCAACTAAACTAAAAAAAGAATGGCAGAATTAGTCATTATTTATAATGGTCAACAATATATATATAACAGGAATTATCAAATAAGCAATCATAGTCGAAATTTTTTTTCTAAAAGCACTCATCATTTGCGCTCCACTCTCTCTCTCTCCACTGGCTTGTCGGATTAACCAAATTTTTTCCGGGGATTACTTAGCGATAGGAACATAGGTGGGTCCTCAGCATTATCTAAATTTTTGGAAAGATAGGATTGCTCCAGGAGTAGAGCGCCAGCATTGGCACTCTGAAATAAAAGCATAAATATCTCTTATAATAATCTTATAAAAAATCCAACAGAGAAAGAAAGAAAAAAACTAACCAGTGGCTAATAGTCAACATTCTAGCAACCCAGAAGCCTAAAATATCGTGCCCAGTTTCCAAAAGTGAAAGAGGTTTGAACATGGAATTTTCAGGCCATCCTGTAAGAAAATTTCAATCAGATAAATTGCCTCAAAATTTTAAGAGCCTGTTTTTTTAAAGAAATACCAAATGAGACGAGTGGTATTAGTGAAGAGGCGAACCATGTATCCAACACATCTTTTTCTTGCTTAAGCGAAAACTCCTTTCCATTGGAAAACTGTTTCTTAACCAATTTTAAGGCAGCCTCCTCCTTAGTGGGCGCCACAATCCAATCACTAAAATTTTTAAACTAAATGGCATCTCAGCCCTGCCTATGTAGTCAGCCTAACTAGCAATGAGTAAAAATTAAACGATTTCCACATTTTTAATGAATCTTTATATGAAATTATAAAAAAAATAAATAAATATATCTAAAAACGCATTCCAGAATGAGGTGTTTTTAATATGTAGAATTTTAAAACCTATAAAAAAGCATTGACTAACTTCATTTACTAACTACCTACCTATACTGGACCAAAACTGGATAAATCAAAAAAAATAAAACAAGTACTCCTTTAAAAAGGTACATTTTTCTAGCATCCTATGACTCAAACATTAAACCAGTACAGAACCTTTCCTTATCAATTCGATAGGCAGGGATACGGTGACCCCAATCCAATTGACGACTTAGACACCAAGGCTCTCTCCTATTTAACCATTCTTCCAAATGAGATTGAAAAAAAATCGGAGAAATATTTACCTAAAAAACATTATTTAGCATGCTAGAAATGTTAACATAAACAAATTTTTCAAAACAACTTCCAGCGAAAAGATTTTCTTCCAAATTTTCCTTCAACTGCTAATTAGAACGGTGAACTGATGAAAATAAAAGAAAAATGAATAAAATCTTGAATCAACCTATTTCAATAAAACGATCAAATAAATAATCAAGAAAAGAAAAGGCAACAAAATGCAACACTTTTTGTTCTGATAATGCTCGTAAGATGTCGTCGTTTATCTGGTCACAATGCATGAACCATTGTTCTTTGATCATAGGTTCAATAACATCTCCTGTTCGACTACATAGTTTAATATTGAAACCAGATAGATGAATTTCGCCACCATATAACCCTAGTTCAGCCAATCGATTAAGCACCTAAACAAACTGCGATATAAACTGCAAACTGCAATATAAAAATGATATATGTGATAAGGAAATCACTGCAAAGGATAAAGAAATAAAGGAAAAGATACTTATTCAGACTTGGGATTTCAACAAATTTAAGACAATGGAATTAGAGCAGAAAACATGCAAAGAATATGGGATTAAATCGGCAAATATAAAATACAAACTCATCAGAATATAAACTGTTTTTTTATAAATGAATACATGAATACCATATCCCGAGCATCAAAGCGATTAATGCCATCGAATTCCGCAGCATTTTTTAAAGTGCCATTATCGTTGATACAACAATAATTGAATGATTCTTTATCAATTACATCGCTGTTTCTTTTCGCTATTTCAAAATCAGTGAAGGAATGCGCAGGAGTGATTTTTAACAATCCTAAAAAAAACACAAAGCCTCAATTTAAACAAAATCCGACAAAAGAAAGAAAAGTACAAAGAAAAACTTTTGAACAAGAAGACTACCTGTGCCTTTATTAGGTAAAACAGCTTCGTCGCCTATAATCGGAAGGATTCTGTCCGGGAACAGAGGATGATAAACATACTTCCCTATCAAGTATGAATGTCTCTCATCATTCGGATGCACAGCGAGAGCAACATCGGCAAAAACTGTTTCAGGACGAGCTGTAGCAACTTCTATCCAATTTCTAAAAAAATGAACAATAAAAATTACTTGTTCGTTGTCCGTTATGACACAAAGTATAAACCACATAAGGCGTACTTATTACCAACACAACCAACCACACGATAACGAATAAGATGCATTACACCGACACGAAGACGCCTTTGATTCGAAGTAACTGAAGGAATTTCGATGGATTGGACATTCGATAAATTTATGGTATCCACCTCCTAAATAAACAAATATCTAAAGATTAGCATCAACACAAATTATGAATAGTTTCAAAGTTAGTCAATAGTTTTAGTAGCTATTTACACATGACTGACTTAACAATATCAAAATTACTCAGAATTTACAATTATAATTTACAATTTAAAAGCAACCTGATCAGATATTGTGCTTTTTAGGGTAGGACACCAATTTACAATGCGTCGATCACGAAAAATGAGACCATCATTATAAAGCTGACAAAATGCATGATTTACAGCTTTACCAAATTTCTTAAAAACGTTCGGTTTTTTTTAAAAAAAAACTAACTAATACAAAATATTTATTTATCGTAAATTTCATATTCGCCTCAAAATTTTCTCCTAAAATTATATAAATAATTGCAATAGCTAGAACATTACTTCATCCATTGTGAAATACTGTCGCGACCAATCCAATGTGGCTCCAAGCATTTTAAGCTGAATTTTCATAGCCGATATGTGACTAAAATGAATTAAATTAATTTTTTCTCTGAAGTGTACACACAAATAAACAATTTTGTTTTTTTGTAATAAGTTTTCGTTTGGGAATTTTATGATGAAATAACCAAAACAATTATTAAAAATAAAGTCTTTTTCTTAGAACCTTATATCCAATAAGTGGAGATTTATCATAATTGATCGATCTCATCGGAAATAATGGAATTCAATGGAAAATTGAAAATAAACATTGACTAAACTAAAAATAAATATTAACCAGCTATACAGAAAGCAAAGGAATAAAAATACGCTTTTCGAATTTCATCACTTACTCGTTTTTCCACTTATCACATAAACTGAGAAATTCTTCTTTAGAAATTTGATGTCGGCGCAATTTTCTTTCTTTCCACAGCTGTTTTTCAACAACAACTTGTGTCGCAATACCAGCATGATCAAAACCAGGGATCCATACCGCCTGAAAAACTAAATTTACAAAGTAGTACAAAAAATGATGAAAAAATTTTAAAAGTTTTTTCACTAGAAATCAAAAAATTTCTAATTTAATATATTTAAAGTATAATGGGTAAATGCGTCGTTGTCCAACTTCGACTTCGACTACTACTGCAGGAGTGAAATCTTTCAAAAATCCAGGTGGTATTGGCGATTCACCTGTTCTACCGCAAAGTGACTCTCAAAAATTTATCTGGTCCAACAAACCCGCTGAGCAAATCTAATCGCCCCCAAAAATGGTGGGCGATATCAGAAAAAAAAGGAGAGTTAATTCGAACCAAAATAGAAACAATACCGTAGGCAATACCAGTGGGTTGCTCAATTCGGAGAGTCGATGGTGATGAAATTCTACTCCTCCTAGACCTGTTAAAAAATTTGGGTGGTGCTGACCTGTACTTTCCCCCGGGATGTTTGTCTAGTGCGATAAGCCAGCGGAGCGAGTTTAAGTAGTAATGCTCTTAAAAAAAAAGTAAGAACCAATAACAATATGAGATTAAAAAAAAGAGAAAAAAAAAGTTGCAGATAAATAATAAAATAAAATTTTAAGAAAACTAACTTTTCTGCCATAAATCCTGTGATATCTACATAAAGCATCTTGAATGGTAACTGTTAAAGCGTGACCCAAATGTAAAATACCAGTCACATTTGGAGGTGGCAATATTATTCTGCAATCAGAATCGTAAAAATTAACATAATATGATACTACAAAATATCAAATGATAACAGAAGTAAATGTAAGTATAAAAAAACAATTCATTCCCTGAAAATTGAAATCAACAAATTCTATTCGAAAAAAAATGCCATTAGTTGAAAAAAAAGGGATAAAAAATCAAAGTGTTTATTAAATGTGACCAACAAATTCGGAATCATTTCATTATCATTTATTCCTTTATATTTTTAATAACAATATTTTCAGAAATAATTTTAATTAATTTAAATAGTGTGCGATCAACAATTCACATGAAAATTCATTCATTTTTATATGTATACGAACGTAAGCGAGCCACGCTTAATTATTAAATAGTCTCAGGTATATCAAAGAAATTGTAAAACTGGCGAGGAAATAGCGCTTTGATTAATTATTGTCGATGATAAGGCGAGACGATGGAAAAGAGAAAAAAGAAAAGAGGAACAAGATTTACTGGCAACGCCAATCATTTAAGTAAAGTTTCTAAAAAATATACCTGAATTCTTCATCTGAACTGCGATTTGCCGATGCATGCTCAACGTATTTTTCATAATTTGCACAAACTGCCGTTAAATCGAATGAATTCCTTAGAATATTTTTCAGAAAATTTCCTCTATTAAGTTTATAATTTAACCTGAGTAACTAAATATGCGTTTATATCTGCAAAAAAAGATGCTTTGCTTCATCTCACCCTCTCACTCCTCATTATAGTCCCCTCCTCCAAATTAATCCATTTCGTCAAGCCCGCCATGTTCACTACCACCACTCGTGTTACGCTCGCTTAACACCTTCTCGAAACCTGTTATACCCTCTTAACTCTTTCCATTGACGTTGAACTCAATGGCTCTCTTAATTTAACCCGCTTAATTTTCTATATTGTAAATCACCTACGCTAATTTCCTTTATGTTTGCCTATATTCCTCTTTCCTCAATTTTTTGTCCGTTACTGCCAGAAAGGAAATTGAAAGTAATAAAAACGAAATGAGAATCACTTACGAATTCATACATCGAAATTGACTGAGATTTATTCGTCGAATTCGCATAACGAATTTTTCATAAAAATCCGAATAAAATTTTAGAAAAACAGAAAATTTCAATTAAAAGAATACTTTCTCATTTGTTTATAATTATTTCGTCGCAAACCGAATGATTTTTGGCTTAAATTTGCTTCATTACGCAAATTAAAGAGCACTTCTACGAATTGTTCTTCTCAGTTATGAAATTGCAAAACAAAAAAAATTTTAGATTTGAATTTCCCCAATGCGTCGATGCGTTTCAAACCTGAATTTACCCACTGGGCTATTGCTAAGCATATTTTTACAAATAAATTTTATACCACTTATATCTCAAACTTATATCAACCAACGTGAAATAAGAACTGATATTCAACTGCCGTTTAGTAGTTAAGAGCCGAAAGTTAGTAGCAAGAAAATATCTAAAAAATCGAGGGAGTTGGTGTGGGTTAGTTGAGGTTCGAGGGATGTGGTCAGGATTTGTTCTTAATGTTTTTGAAGTAAAGCAGTGATGGCTATGGTCATAATGCACTTCTTGTCATACTTTCATTGCAGATATTCAATTCCGACGAAGAAATAATAACGCGTGGAGAAGGTGGAAAGAATTATGAAATTGTAGAGGACGAAGTAAAGTCACAGATTATCGCAGGTTTTGCTTTGAAAAGAGAGACAGTAAAAGAGACCTTTTTTACACCAATTTATTTGCAACAGTAAAACGATGACTTTTTTAAAGATCACACTCACCACTGCTGGTCCTCTGGCTTGTCGAAGCAGACAGATCCAGGCAGCTCAATCCCTCGCCGGCTGAAATACTGGTGACTCGCCAGTGCAGCCCGGACTTTTTAAGTTTGCTCCAGCAGGGCATAGGCGCTTCAAATTTATGAAGAATTGATCCATTCCACTCTCCTTTGCTTTCTCCTTGCAGCATGACAAAGTGTGGTGTGTCACCCGAATGAACTCAGTTGTCTCGATCGTCGTTTGCATTCAGCTTACCATTCGGCTCCCAAATGCGACGATGCATTTTAGAATTTACCCACTGGGCCATTGCGAAGCATACCGACGCACCAAGATGATGGTATACGACAAGTTAGACAGTGGAGAAACAAGCAGAATGAAAAGAGAAATAGGGAAAATTGAAAAGGTAGAGACTCAGGCTTGTTCCGTATTTTTATGGACTTTTTGACTGAAGAAAAAACCAGTTCGTTCTTCCTAGCAGAAGCACTCATCGTTTCAGCACTGCGAAGTTCAAGAATATTTTCCAGCAATTTTTAACTTAATTCTTAGAAAAAGGTGATTTATAATAATATTAAATATCCTGTTTAAAATATCATTACAATATTAAATTGGCTATAAAGTAATTTAATTCAATAGTAATTTTTTTAGTTATATAAGTCAGAGACGCTAATATTTCTATGAAATGTTGCTTCAAGCGAAAGCATGCAGCATAGATTCGATTCCGGTCTATTAACGGCAGTAATTCTGTTAAAAAGTGAAATCCAGCTGTCTTCTGGAAATTATTGAAACCAGTAATTATTGAATGAATTTCTGCTTGATCTATGTTACTTATAAGATAATAAGATTTATTGAATTGCAAATCGACATCAAATAACTTGAAAAGTGAGAAAAATGATAAAATTTCGAATTAAGCCGAAGATAAAATGATAAAGGTATGACAGAGCAAATGCAATATAAATTCTTGCGACTTTTACTTCATTTTAAATAGAATTCTTAAGGTAATAAAAAATTTTTTAGTATATCCGTGTAGAATATCTGGGAATAAGAAATGTGAAATACATTGTTCCAAAGTCCAGCACCGACGAATTCAACCAAGGAAGCTTAAAATACCTCCAAAGCCTCCAAAGCCCCCAAAGCCACCTGGGCCATAACCTCCATATCCACCGTAACCTCTGAATGGATAACCTCCATAACCTCCGTATCCGCCGCGATAACCTTAAAAGACAAAATAAATTCGATTATGAGTCATATGTAGAATTGTAAAATTATTTTATGGTCCAGCAATATGGTTTTTCGTTTTATTTACCTAAAACTATATTTTAAGTTTCGGTGAATATGTTTTTTTCGGTCGTTTTTTGATTATTTATTGTTTAAGTAGTGCTTATAAATCAATGTATTTTAAAAATATTAAGCGATTACTTTTAGAAAAAACCCAAAATAAAAAACCTTAACCTCCACCATAACCACCGAACATTTGGCTTTCTGTTAGAATAATAAACAGCGAAACGAAAAACAGAATCAAAATTTTTTCCATCAATTGTTTTTATCTGAAAGTTTGCAATTTTTTATAATTCAGGATGAGAAAATGGAGAACAATATTATCCAACAAAGAAATATGCAAATTCGACATAGTGATTGCGGTTCAGTTTTTCGTAATCACAGGGACAAGTTTGGCATTAAAGTTTGGCAAAGGTGGAATTATCGTTAATAAATGCGGATGGCTTTGAATAACCATCTGTATTTCTCTTATCAAATGAATCAATGACAGAAATTTCTAAGTTTTCTAACAGATAACAGAGCTTAGATGATCATCGCTAACCATTTATATTTAATCGCTCAAATTTATCGTTGCAAATGAGCAATAGATTGTAGCGAACGAGCCTGTAAGTGCTTAACTGCTTAAAGGCTCCAAATTTTTAAAGTCTTATGAATTTATTTACAATAATAAGAGGAAGAAAAAATATAGATGGGTGAAAATAATAGAATAATTTCGACATTTCTCATCACGCCAATCTTAAAATAATAGTATATTAGTGTTTTTACTGTATTGTTTAAGAGTATCAATTTATATGAATTGCCCGCCTGTTGCTGGTTATTTTTATTAAGCGAATTCCCAAATAAATATCAAATGACTTGTCTGATATAATTTATGAAAAACAAGTTCGCCTACAAAACAAAAATTTTGTTTATAATTTTTGAAAGATACCTCCAGTCTTCTCGACCTGTTGAATCTCTAAGACGGAGACAAAAGACTTAGAAGGTTTTAGCAATAGTAACGGATTTCGAATGGGAGAGAGGATAATGTAAAAGCAGAAGCCGTTTTTTTCATTTATCTTTGGATAAAATCCATTTTTATTTTCCAGAAATTTAGTGGAATTTTTCTTGGAAGATTTACCAGTACGATGAAAAAAAATACGGCTTAACACAGTTCATTGCATTCGATGTCTTTCACTGGATGTCCATCCTTCGAGTAAGGAATAGAAGTGAAGTATACGCGGTTCTATTCCAGCGTCAAGGGCATCACTCCTGTGGTTGATTAAAAAAGCCAAGCGAGAAATGATTTGCAAAAGTTTTATGAAGAAATACTGTTTATTCCGAAATAATTACCCTCTTTGAACAAAATATTAAAACGTTTATTTAATGATATAAATAGCTGACCGGTGGTTTCAATTTGATACAGCACAATTTATTAGTATTTGAGAATTAAATAACACTCAAAAAATTATAAAATTTTTAGCAAAAGTACAAAAAATCTCAAATCTACAAAGCATTTGATTGAATTAGTGCGGAGGCACTGGTCAACGCTAACTTCTTTTTGTATTTTTAGAATCAAAAACAAACGTATTTCGATTAAATAAAATCAAACCATCACAAACCACATACTAATACTAAACGTTTTGATGGCAGTGAAGCATTTAATTTATGCCGTAAAAACGATAACCACCAACTCCATTTATACCAAAGAATCGATGGCCAGCAAAGCCGCCAAATCCTTTTAGATAACTGTTGAATGCTCGGCGACAGGCACCTCACCTCCATACAAACTCTGCCATAAATGCCCACAAGCACTTTCATCCTTTTTATTTTCTATACTCAAATAAGATTTTTTTCCAAAATAAAAGATTGCCAAATTTTGTTCATAATTTCAATTCGTTCTTGTAAGAGAGTTTAATAACTTCGATAGCGAAAATGTGCTTCTGAAACTGCAACGAATACGGCCAATCCAATGATTATTGTTAGTTTATCATTCACAGTTACAGTTAAATTTTGAATTTGAAAAGAGAGAGAAAGTACGCAGCAATGTAATGCCATTATTTTTCTTATTAATAGATTTCAAAAAGCTTTTGGGGCAAATTTCGTGCATTAGAAGTTGGAATAGTCTTTAGACGTTTCTTTAGAATTTGAATAAAATATAGGGCATTGTATATAAACAGTATTTATTTATTATAAATACTATTTATTATGTATTTATTAATAGTATTTATTTATTATCATCTAAACTTGTGATGCCTATAAATTTACTTTAAGCTCTAACTTTCGCTAAATTTTTCAAAAAGTATGGTTAGCAATCATTATTATAGATTATTACGATTTCTATCTTCTTCACCAAAAAATATTTCAGGATTTGTATAAATCTTTCGAAGGCCTCATAATTAGCTTTTTTTAAAAGAAATTCCAAGAAGTTTTAAAGCAATTTTGTAGTTCTTAGGCCGGTCGAAAGCTTGCAATCTGCTATACTCTTTCACATTTCTAATATGTTATTATCTGTCGCCGAATGGCGAAAAAAGCTGCAAATATGAGTAGGCATCGCACCTGCTATACCTAGCAAAAGAATTAATGAAATAAGGGGAGAAAAGAGTTGGAGAAGGTATTAGAAAACATCCCATAATAATAGTAGCTCATAAGTGAGAGGCACAATGAAGCTTTCATCATGAGAGGATTAAAAACCATAAATCTTCTCGCCCATCTCAAATTAAATATAAGATCATTTTATATAAGATCCTTCCAAAAGACCATTTTTGGGCATTTTTAAGTTTCTGTTAGGGAAACGAGTTTGGGGCAACGGGTGAACTGGGCATTTATATTTATTTGGTTTTTCCTTACTATATTGTTTTCTTTGTAGTAGGATAATAGGTTCGTTTTGCTTTCTAGTATATGCGTGGTCACTAATAAAGGTTTAATTACCCAAGTTTGACGGTTCGCAACGAGATAATTAAGAAGAGAACGCTGGTCGAGTTTACAACATTGTTGAGAAATAAAAGTCCCACGTGGCAGGAAACTTATTAAATCTATACAGAAAAAGCACGGTAGAGCGGATTCCCGAAAGAATTTTGTAAAGATAGAAATTGGAAATGGGAAACACCGTGCTCCCAACGAAAATTCGTATTGCTAAGAGTTTTTTTTCTGAACACTATCAATTTTTTTCGTAAATCTGCTGAAACAAAGAAGATAATTATGGAATATTTATTAGTGAATATAATATTGACCACTGGTTTCAATGATTACTCTGACGCTATTCTATTTTTATTGACATTAAACAAACAGATAAAAAGTACAAAAAGGTCATGAACTGTTCCTATACGCAAAAATATAGAAGATCAATGTCTGATCAATGTCAATACTTATAATTTTTTGAAAGCATCAAAAAACCTTGGCAAAGAATGTTGCTTTTAAATTTTAAAATAATTTTATATAAAAGCTGGAAAATCTGCCACAAAAGATTAAATGTAAATGAATGTGTGAATTCAAATGAATTTAAAAGCGACTAACAATGAAAACTGACAATTTTTCATTAAATTTTTTTCCAAATTCTATAACTAAAAAATAACTAAGAAATTTCGCATCAATATTTCCAAACATCTTGATCCTTTGGTATTCTCGAAATTCGATTAGCGAACAGTTTACTATGACCTTTCATTAATTTTGCCCTTTCATATGCAGACTGATCCCAACAATATCCTAAAATGAAAACAGTTGAAAAAGAAACAAAACTCACTTTACAAGTTTTCATTCATGTAGTTTTTATCAAAAGTCCTAAATATTCGAAATTTGCTCAAGTATTCGCTAAAGTTGAACGGTTTTAAACTAAACTTCCCAAATTCTGAGCAGAAAACACGAAGGTAACGCCATGTAAAGTTGTACCACCCTTTATTATAATATATCAATTAAATATGGGCGGTACCAATGTGGCACTTTCTGGTACCAAGAATAGAGAATAGCTTGGATTCGAATCGCTTCACTTCGATGGACGATCAATGTCACAGAAAAGTTGTAAAAGAGCTCAATGAGTTGTTGCTGAGTTCGGAACGCTGACACTTAGGTCGCCTGGCAGGAGTGAACCTGATCTTCAAGAATTCGAGTAACGCTGTCACCTGTACTACTATCGCCAAGTGATACGACAAGTCAACGGAACGAGTCTAATCAGAAATGCGCTCTTTGAAAAAAAAAATTAGTTAAATAACACTGACACCCAATAATTCGCTTAGATTGTGTATACTTTACTATACAATTGTCATATAGCTTTTTTTCGAAAGGCAATTCAGGGTTCAATAATTCTACAATTACCTTTAAGAAGAGGTTAAACCATATGCTTTTACTTCTTCTCCTAAATTTTAGCAAAACAGGAAAAGAAAGGAATTAGAATTAGCATACCAATGTAAAAAGCAATAGGCAAAAGTAAAAAGCACTGCAATTTTCGTTCCCAAATTGTTTTCTTGAAGAAATAACTGAACGTGAATGTGCCCATTTCTACTATATCTGAAAACTACAAAAAAAATTTTTTACAGAACGCACCTTCAAATAAAAAACATATTAATCGTCATCACGGTGGGTGTCCTTGATTAACTCTAAGAGTAACGATTTCCGGTCGTTTTTCTTCCACTCTCGTGTGTGATTCCAATCCAGCAATATTATACTTAGAACAGTAAAAGGTGCGATATATAATGAGAACCGCTTACGAAAATGATAAAAAAAATCTTTCGCCATCTATCTACAAGCTTGATTTTAAACAGTAGTAACGAACGGCACAGAACGAAAGAAAAGGCGATAAGATAAAGTAATTTAGGCACATTATTAAGCAGAAAACGTGATGCTGAAAATTCTATATTCGAATGACTCTCAAGCGAAAATGACCCACTCCAACAGTTCGTGGGAAAAACGGGGAAGCGGAGAGAGAAGCTCCAGGCGATTCCGTAACACCCACCTACCAATTAATAGCACCACCTCTATTTTCTTTTACTGCCTCAGCAAAAACAAACCAACTACGGAACAAAAATACCGTGGAAAACAAATGAAGCCGAGTTTTAACATCGAACTGCGTCTGATTGTTAGTACCATCTCACTTAAGCAAAGAATTTATTGGATGGATTTAATTTATTGATTCACTAGAATTTAAAAGCATCGTTTAATTTCTTGATTTGTTTCCTCCGAAAACTTAAATTACATAAAATTAAATAAAATTACAAAAATACATTCAATGCTATTTTGCAGTCGAACTGCTATGTTTCAATTCAATTCGTTTAATATTTGTGGTCGCGGCCCGTCTCATAAAGTGTGGCTCGGGAAAGCAAAATAGGAGCAAAATTTTTCTTAGTCTAGGAGAGTTTCTTGTAATGAATGAGTTTCTTTTTCTCAGGTTTCTCAGAAATTTCCTCAGGTCGCTTCATTTTTTTACGGTTTTAGATTTTTTAAAATTTCGTTCTTTTCATAATATTTAACTGTCCTTTTATTTTGGTTCGTCGGAATACTAAGCAAGTGAGAAAGTGAGTTTCCTCGTTCTCTGATCGTTCGCTCCGTTATTGGCCAAGAGTGGTGCGGCCGACTGCAGCGGTGGGGCTCTTTCTGGTTTTAAGTGAGTGGGACTTCTTTTCTGCACATTTCTGCACCGTTTTATTCGGTTATCGAAGATTATTTAAAGTTTTTGCTCAGAATCGCTGCGCTTTTTGATGTTATAATAGGTTAAAGGGAATCTGTAAAATTGTATTTTAAAGATAAGTCTTTAAATTAACTCGGCCTTCTTTGCGGTCATCGAATGACCGCAATCACTATTGAATTGATATTTGTTTTTCAGTTAAAATATCGCTGATGAGTCATGAAACTCCATCTGGTTGGGATGATTTAGAACCTTTTTGTCAGTCGTATGGGTTGTATTTGAAGCCCTTTGCTCGTCTGAATATTTCAATATGTTTGCCGAAATTGAAACAACCTGGTCAGTCGATTTCAAACTGGGACCTCATGGAGAAAATTAGAAAAGCTATCAAGCCAATTGAAGTGAATACTTGTCTTTTTTATCGTTTTGAAATTAAATATTCAATAAGCAGTGATTAGGTTTTTTAAATCACGTTTTTCCTGTTTGTGGAAGTCAGTGTGCAACATTCCTCAACAGGTTACGTTGATGTTATGAGAAAGCGCATATAATACAAGAAAAAATGAGGAATACATGATATTATTAAGCAAAATATAATAGTTTAGGAAATAAAATGGTGTAAAATAAAATTTTAACTGGAATAGGAAATTAAATTTGATCTTGTGAAATTTGCTTTACCAAACGTTGAAAAATAAATCTGCGATAACTTTATTCAATGATGTATTTTCAGCTAATTTCGATCAAAGTCACGACAAGTACGCTTGATTTAGTTCGCTTCGAAGCAGAATCACCTAGTCGGAAAGCTTTGTCGAAAGTAATGCATTAAAATTTCTTCTTATTTGATTAGACATTGTCATCTGTGTATTATCAATATATTTATTTACATTATTTTTTTTCTTTATAAAGGTTAATGTATTAATGTATTTTGGAATTATTCAAGTATTACCGAACAATAATTTAACAGCATAAATATCTGCCATTCTTCATTTAAGGTAATCAAGTCGCTTGATGGATATTCGTTAAAGGTTTTTGGTTTTATTGAAGCGTTGAAAGTTCGTGCAGGTGAAGCAAAATCAAATTTTCCGACTAGATATGATTGGGATGAGTTTTTTCGAAATGCAAAAGGAATGGATGAACTGAAACCTGGAGAGCGACCAGATACAATTTATCTTGCTAAACTACCTGTTCACTGGTTCAAAGTTGGATTTATCTGCTAATTTTTTTTATTCTGCACTATTCTTTTTTAGCATTTTGCACGTTTTTAAATTTGTTTTATCTATTGTATAAATATTTTTACACTCACGTGAATTTGTTCAACATTTTTTTCTGCACTGTCATTGTGAGTACTATTTTAAATAAATTTTTTTAACGAACAAATTTAGTTTTATTTCGTAAAAGTTTCATGGTTGGTTAATTTGAGACGGTTATTTTATCTGTTTTTTTGCCTGTTTTTTCATCATCAATTTTTTCTGAAAGTTTTTTTTTAGAAGAAGCAAACCGATGACCTTCCGAGTGAAGATATATTAAAAAAAATTTTTCAACAGTTTGGATCTGTACGATGTGTAGATATTCCAATTTGTGACCCATACAGAAAAAAAATGTCCCCATCTATATCAGGTATTCGAAATAGTGGATTCACTTTCGGAGAGGTTGGTTCTAAAATTTATTATTTTTGTGGTAGTACTAGAGTATGCGGAAAATTCAAGTTTTTGATCATTTCTGCCCTATATTTTTTCTCAATAATTAATTAATTTATTTTTTTTTTACTGGTTTTGCTACTTTTGAATTTAGGAAGTGTTATTCGAAGCATATATTCAATTTTCTGAATATATTTCATTTGTGAGAGCAATGGATGGCTTGCGCAATATGAAATTGGTGAAGAGGATGGATGATGATAATTTGTTTGAAACTTCTATACAAGTAGGCATGGTGTACTTTTTGAATGATTTTTTGTTTTTTTCTTCAATTCTTGGTAGATAAATGTTATAAATTCAATTTTTCAGGCTTTTAAACAAATATATTAATATTAATAAAATATTACTTTCTATTTTTTAAATGAAATATATAGAAAGAACCATTAGAGAACAAAGAGCTTTGTGTTCATTGTGTATTGAAAGTTCTTAATTTCATTCTTATGTGTTGCATTTCTGACTGTATTGCATCAGCAGTTTTACTTATATAGGTCGATTTTGATAAATCGAGGCACCTTTCGGATGAATCGATTCGAGAACGGGCGGTTGAACGTGAAAAATTAATTAAACTGGAACGTGACAGGCTTTTTGAACTGCAGAAGAAGGAGTTTGTAATTTTATTGATCACTTCCTCCAATACATGCTGAAGTATTATGTCAATTTATTTATTGATTTGTGTGGTACTCCTCTATTTTAATTGCTATCGATAATTTTTTTTAGACAAGAAGAAAATGCAAGAAAATTAGCAGAGGAGCAAATGAGGGAAAAGCGGCGGTTGGAAAGAGAAGAAAAACGTCGATTGAAAGTATGTATATTTTTTTGATTTTTTTGTCATATTTTTTCCAACAAATCGTTTTCCATTGATTTCATTTGTACTTTATTTTTAAAAATATTGCTTATAGCGCCAAGAAGAAAAAAGATTGATGGAAGAACGCAGAATGCAAGAAATTGCATTTGAGCAGCGTAAATTGTTGGAACAAAAGCGATGCATGGAATCGAAGAGACTTTTGGTAGATCTTGGCCGTCGCATTCAGGTAACCTTGAAATTAAGTTTTTTTGTTGCTTTCTTCATGTTAAGGATTTATTTGTTATAATTTTAGGCTAGACTAATAGAACGAAGAAAAAATGAAGTGTGTAAAATAGTCCAAAAGGGAACATGTGAAACTGACCATCATGAAACAAATGTGGAAGCGGATCTAAGGCAGTCTTTGTTGCAAGAACAAGAAATTCGTTTACGGAAGCGAGTTAGTTTGTTTTTTCTTTTTTTTTTCTATAAATAAATGCACTGCTGCTCAGATGCTGCTAATTAATTTTTTCTTTATTTTTATGAAAATTATTGGCTTTAATTAGAGGGTGCTTTTTTATTTTTTATGTAAATATGCTAATTATATATATATATAATGATTATAATTTTTCAAGTCGTTTTCCACTGATTGTATATTATGGTAAAATTCATGTTGTTTGACCAGTATTATTTTAATGCTTCACCAATGAAATAATATACAGAGATGAAAATTTTCTCGATTTAGATAACTTGGGTCTTCAGATTGAAGCAAAAATGATGTTGAGGCTCGAAAAAGGTTCCCGGCAAAGAAATGGAAGTGCCTTGGAGGAGAATTATGAGAATCAAAAAAAGTTGAGGAGGCAAGAATAAAATAATATTATGGTTAGTATTTTTGAAAATAAGTCATGTTGCAATAAGTTTATGGTGAAATTCCACTCGAAAAAATAATGCGTCTTTTTCAAATCAAGATCTAACGGCACTAAGATTTCAAATTTATAATTTTCATTTGGAATTTTCTAAATAAACTTTGCCCTATGGATCTTTCACCATCTATATTAGATCTGCTGCAAGTTGTGAAGGAAGCAACCAGAGTATGATTAGGGATGATTTTGCTTTTATTTAATTACATTAAGCAGAAACAAAAAAGAGATATTATTGGAAAAAATTGAAGTAATCATTAAATATTGTATTAATATTGTATTTAAAAAAATTATATGAAAAGATTTTATAAAATAAACATTAAGCAGAATAACAGGGTAAGGTAGGCAAATGGCAGGCAAATTATCAAATTATCTTCCAATCCTCATTTTTTGTTGTTAATGTTAATTTTTTTCTTATTAATTATCTTAAATTAATAAATTAATTATTTTTTCAATTATTATTTTAGTTCAATTTCAACCCTTATACTAGAATTATAGATAAAAAACATCACTGAAATTTCCAAGTTACTTGTTCGGGATTTTTAAAAATAATTGATGAAGAATTTTATCATCATCGATATTTGCATAAGGTTCTCCTTTCCCAAAATAATTGCGAGCCAATATTATAATGGAGTTTTCGAAATCCAACATTTGTATCGGATAAATTCTATATTATACATAACTGTTTAGGAATTAGCTTAGAAACTCTTACAAAAAGAACTTTTAGTTGCTCATTACTCACTATTATTAAAATAAAATGGAAAGTGTAAGGAAATGAGAATTTCATTTAAAATTTATCTCTTATTAATTAAGCAGAGAAGAAAATTTGCCTGATCAATATGGGTTTAATTGCGAATAAAATTTGTGTGAAAGAGGTAAATTTTTGGAGAAAGAGGAGCTATGTGACCATGAAGAGAAGAGAAAACTGGAAGTGTCGCCAAAATGCGATTGGTACGATCGAGGCGATGGGTGACTGGAAGGCGAAAAGCATAGGGGTGTCAGTATAGCAGATAGAATGAGTATGAAATGTATGGGAGCATTTGGAAGGTGTATGGAAAATTATGCATGAGACGGGTTCTGATCATTACTTATTTGTAAAAGCGAGTAGAAATGCATCGAATATGATGATGAAAACTGGAAGTATCGCCAAAGCGCAAATTTTTCGCGAAAGCAGAGTATAGCACCCACTGTTAATGACGAGCATCATTTTAAAATATTTTACCATCTTAAATTAGCTAATTTATAATTTAACCATTAAACTTTTAGGTGAATGCTATAGTAGTAAAGTAATAATATTTTACTGCATGAAGTTTATAAGATTTCTTTTTTTTATTCCGAATAATCAACTCAAATCCTTCGGTTGATTTAACACTTGTTACAAAATGTGTAATCGATTTGAATTATTTATTTGAATAGGGGGGACATGAACGTAAATCCAATATCAACAAATTTTTTCCTGGTCGTTAAAGAAATATGTGTTCCAGCAACATGTGGTGTAAGTTTTATTTATATTTTCATTCTGATTAGTTTGCTTTGATCTTATTTTACTTATAATACCATTTAATTTATAATTCATAATAATTTGTATCTAAATATATTTATTACAATTATGCTGTTTTCTTATTTGTTAATTTTTGTAACCCATAAATAATCAATCAAATCATGACCAAAAATTAGTGAATGAGATCTTAAGTGCCATCGTATTCTGCTTTGTTCTATCATCCGCACAATTAAGTAATTTTATCGCACTGCACTTAGAATATTTGTGTGTATTATCTTTACGGATATTATTTCAAATAAAATATTCTCCCCGATATGTACAGCTACAGACATAACGCTTATCTTGTTTATTTTACTTACTCTTTTATTTTACTCTTTTTATGACATTTCCATTATTATTCATCATTTATAACAGTTAATAGTTTGAGAAAATTACAGCATACTTCTCTTCCATTAAGAATACCAGAAAATTAAGAGAAATTTGAATAAGAGTCGGATTTTATATGTAGTAACAAATTGTCTGAAAAGAGTTAAAATTATTTGAGATATTATACTTCAAGAGAAAAGAAAATATAGAAAAAAACTTCTTCCGATCCCTGTATAAATTTCCAAGTCAGGATTGTTGGTTAGTTTGATGAGCAACATGGGAGGAAGGGAATGGAGAAGGAAAATGCTCCTCGGTCAGATTCGGGGATGCTTTTATGGGTTTTTCGTCATCGTCGTCGTTTTTTTGATCTCCTTGTTGCTGATTCGTGATTACCTCTTTCCTTTCGCCATTCAAATGTAATACCTTCGTTATTCAATTGTAGTCTGCATATGAAAATGCATTTTTATAATAAACGGTTTACTGATTACTCAATTTTGGATTTGAAGATCTCGCACATATCTTCGGCATCAAATTCGCAGCGAAAACAGAATGTGGTCAAAGATCTCTGGCAGGACATATTTTTGAATGCGGAAAGAAATGAACCTTTTGAACTATGTCGAGGAAATTTATTTTTTCTGTTTGATCTGTTCATCCCTTTTTCATTTAAAATATCGCCATTATCATTCAAATTGCTTTCTACTCTTTTAAATATTTTTTTTCATTTTTATATTATCGTCCGAATATTATTTAAATCATTTTGTTGTTTAAGATATCATATAAACCACAGCTTTTTATACTTCGAAATACTATTTAAATGCTTTTTTTATTATTTGATTTGGGTTTTTTTTTTCAATTTTAGCTCAGAAGGCCGTCGTTTATTTTCATAATCTTTCTTGTGTTCGGGTCCTACATCCTTTTTGTTCTTTTTCTCTACAAAGATTTTATGAGTTCATATGATAAAGCATGTATATAAAAGCCTTTAATAGAAGCAGAAACCCATCTTGCTTTACATTTTTTCTTTTTTTAATTTAATTTCTGCGACAGTTCACCACTGAGTGCCATTTTATTTCATTAGACATGTATTAGGATCAGTTGGGCGTTGTCAGTAGTCCAATTCCAGCTTATCTTTTTCCCCAGAAAATTATAATATTACGAAACATATCAAAATTACTCACCATCACCAAAGAAATATAATTCAACTCACTGTCAGCAAATCGTAAAGGAATTTTTATCTTCATTTTAATTTCTCGTCTAGTTGCAGCTGCTTTACACCGTCCACCTTCATTATTGTCGCAAATTGCGATTTTTTGTATTTTCAATTTTCTGACTATAATTTTTTTAAATCTTTTATTTTTTGTGTTTCAGGCTTTTGTTCACGCATAATTAATATGCAACGATGTACGTTATTTTCCAAGATCTAATGAGGGCGATTTGATTATTCGAAAAAATTTGCACACTCATCCATAAAAATTAATTTAGATTTGTTAAAAATTAGTTGCAAAACCTGATGACGATATTAATTTAGACGATATTAATTTGTTTTACATATTACAATTATGAATTTGATTATAGTGAAAAACAATAGATTGACATTACATTTTTGAAATTAAATTAAGGTCCCATGAATTTTTTTTTTGGCATTAATTATTGGAATGAATTACCTGGAGGGTAAAACTAAAACTAGATTTCTGAGGGAAGCAGAGTGGTATATTTTTCGAATGGTCTATCATCATCGGTCTAATTCGCATTCTTTGACCCATCATTAAGAATGAAATCCAGGTGCTGTCGAGGATCTACTTTTTTCCCCAAAATAACTCTAGCGATTGGGTCTCATCCTGCTAATCTTTGATGCCAATCAAGGCAGAAAAGCGCGATTAGAAGAATAATTATCGTATTTGTTCAGCTGTAGCATACTTAAGAAGATAATGCAACAAGAGAAAAATTAGACTGAAATTATAAATCAGTCTTCCTCGCACCATTTTTTTAATTCATCATCTTTTTTTGGAGTATGGAAGAGAAAAATAATGAATACAATAAGGAAAGAAATATCGTTTTTGTTGGTGCCACTGAAGGAAAGATTATATGTGGGCACAGCTGGATCTTGTAGGATCTTAATCACTCTTCCTCTTATTATCCTTTTCATTTCTTTTGCAGTCATCCTTTAATTTACAACAAAAAAAACAATTTATTCCTTTCATTCATAAATAAAAATAAGGAGCGGCATAATATTCAGAAATATATTTTCCCAGTTTACAGCATTGCACAATAAGTGCTTTTTATTAAAATTTTATTGGAATTGTTGTTTAGAATAGAGATGGGAAAATATGAAAAGAGGAAGCGAAATGTTAAATCTGATGAATCACTTTGAGAAAATTCACAAATTTCGCATTAAAAAACAAAATTCCTAAGTATTATTAATATTCTCATCATAAAATTTTTTTTAAATAAAACGACAAATCGTTATCGCCGCAAATAGTGCGAAAATTTTTGCAATCTGTAGAGTAGTATGTCGCTGTATTCTATTAATCCTTATGATCATAAAAATCTTTTTCACATCGGCAGTTTATTTCATAAACTGGGTGATATAGTGGACTTCACAGAGCACACCAACTGATAGGTTTTATAAGACTTTACTCGCACCAACAGCACCACGCCTTTTGTAGATAATTTTTATGGGCATTTTAATTTTCTTGATGGCCATTTTTTCGATCGTTTTGCTGCCACCAATTATCTCATCAATTCGCTTGCGAAGATCCTGAAAAGAAAAGGATGAGTTTGGCCTCTTTTAATGAGTTATATCTTCGTTGCAGGTGAATTGAGCGAATTGGATCATTCCAGGCTTCATTGAAAATGGACTGAAATTTCTCTCTTTTTATTCATTGTCTTTTACTGTTTTTTGGAAAAAAAACTGCTCATGCAATAAGTAATCATCACCCAATCGTCTTTTTTAATGTTTAGCATGAGCATTGTGCGCTAAAGGTACAATTTCGCATCATATTTCGCATTTTAAAATCCGAATGAGGGAAGCTTATCAGAAGTCTAATCGTTTTGTGTTTTAAAGAACCGAACTATCTCCACGAAATTAATTTTTTTTTTTTTTTGAGACGTTTGAGAACAAACATTGCGCAATGATGTAACCTTTTGAGAAATTCGAGGAACTGGCGCCTGCTTTACTATTTTGCCGTTCTTCCTTTCACCTAAAAACGGAGGAGGGCATGAATGAGGATAGGAGATATTTTTTCTTGACTGAAGAGGGTGTCTCTTACATCATTACCGCGCTTAGTGGTTTTTTGCCTCTTTTATGTGTTCAAGCACCACAGTCTTCGGTCTTGGATCATTAAAAGCAAAAATAGGCTAGCGGTTGAAACCTCGACCTATCTATGCTTCTACCTTTTATTGATTTTCTGGCGAAAACTTTTCCCTAATAGCTAATGGAACCAAAAAACTAAATACAATATGAGTAATGAATATCAATGGGTAATAATGGTATTAGAAAGATTCTTTTTGATATGATTAAAATGGTTCGTAACATGTTTAATTTCCTGTTTAAACGATTTAGCAATCAGAGCTGAGAGGATCTACGATATTTCTAAACGATGTGTCCGTATTCTTATGGTTTTTAGCTATAGTGTATTCTGGTTTACAAGTTTGATCCAATTAACATTTCTTGGTTCTAATAATTCAAAATGGGAATTCCTATAGATAACGTCCGCTACCAAATATCTGTTTTTTTGAAAGGCGCTCACCATTTCTGCTTAGGCTCATTCCAGTGGCTTGCTCGAAGAAGCTGATTTTATCAGAGAATCAGTTGATGCTAGAAATGAAGATAATTCGTCAGAATCAACCGGATTTTTAAAAGACAGGTTTATTCCTGCCCAGTATCAGCGCTCCGAAATTGTAGCAACTACTCACTGGGCTACACATCAAATCAAATGCCTTCCACTTATTAGCATAACTAACAAATAAAAACTACTAATCATTATAAGAAATTATTATTGTCAGAATAAAAAGTGCGTTTATAATAATTAATCGACCTGCTAAAAGTAGCGGCTGAAGTGCATTTGGTTTACTAACAGTATGAGTTTTGACACCATCTTTTCGCTTGCTGTTCACTAAATTCTTCATTTTTTGCTTGAGAATTTTATTTATGTTAGCGATTATTTGTGCCTAAATATATATTTCTTAAATTATTGTAAAATAAAAATGTAAAGTTAAAAAAGAAATTTAAAAAGATAAAAATATGAAGAGGAATAATTTATTCTAATTTCCAAAAAATCCAAATGAATCCGTCATAATTGTACCTTATTTGCTCCATTTTTAGCAGCAACAAAGATCTTTTTTAAAGCCGTTTTATCTGATCCATCGGCTTTAGCTTGAGCAGCGAAAGTAACAACAAGCAAAAAAAAAACCAAGTAAATTATGGTCGTCGAGTTTTCCATTCGCTCTTCTGAACTATTGATCATAGATAAGATTCGGAAATAATCAATGAAGTCGATGTCATGGGCATTTTAAAATGGTATTAAAAGGCCATTAAACTTTACGGTATTGAAGTGATCTTCTCTAGTCTTAAAAGTCCCATATTTACATTGTTTAATTTCTCTTTATTTGAAGATTTAAAAGAAAACTAATGAGCATTCTTTATAATTGTGTTTTATCTTGTCATGTCCATTTGGTCATAATTCAGCAATTGGCAAAATCACTAAGAGTTCCATTTGAAATATAGTCGAGCAGCGGCAGTGCGATAAGATAAGAAATCTCTAATCTTAGATCTTATTTGCATCATATTACTTTGGAACATCATTATAATTTCTTGCCATCTGCCCTTTTTCGATGGAGTTAGTTGGTGAATGCTAAATAAATGATTTATAACATCATATGATAAACAGTTTTTTATCATAATTCTCTACGTAATTCTCAATATAATTCTTTAAATGGAGATAGGATGGCTTAGTGGGTTGTTGCTCAATTGGGAGCGCCGATACTAAGGTTCTATTCCCAGCAGGAGTAAACCTGTCCAAAAATAGGGGTGATGCTGGCGACTCACCTATATTTCTGTCGCCAAGGGACTCTCTGGCATATTTGTCCAATGCGACAAGCCAGTGGAGCGAGCTTAACTAGTAATGGTAAAAACTCTTAAAAAAAACATAAAAATCTTTAAATATATGAGCGTAAAGGATTAAATACAATGAACACTATTTAAAACCAAACAAGAGCGAATTGTTCGAAAAAAGCTTTATTGTAATTTCGAAAAATCATAAAATGTTTGAAAAAGCAAAGTGAAAGAAAATTGAGCACTAAATAAATGGTCGTTATGGTTGATTAATTCGCTCAAATCATCATCATCTACCTACTATCTATCTGAACTCAAAATCGGTCACTGATTTTTTAGATTCGCTGAAATGACTCGTCCAGTCCAGTTTGTAAAGAAATTTTGAAATTGTGCCATATACCATTTTATAATACTGCACTGGATTTTTATTCTTTGTGCCCGTTTCCTCTCAATAATTATTGCTAGTTTACTACTGTTTGAACTAATTAATAATTGAACCATAACTATACCATAACTGTTATTTTTCTACGCATGTGGTGTGCAAAATGGTCGGAGAATATATACATAAATGAAAGTCTTCATGCGTTATAAATATTTCCAAAGCACCTGATGAAAATATATTAGCAAATGCTTTCCGCCTACAAATTCCTATCAAATATTTAGAAACGAGATAAACGTCTAATAATGTAAAAAAATCGCACTCCTTTAAATTTCAAAATCATTGAAGGAAGCTTTCAACAATGTAATAGGTGTAATAAAGCATCAAGAGCAGCGTGTTTGAATGCTATCTGCTTGGTCTGAGGGTAAGCTAGTTCGATTCTTGTCCCTTAGCTAAAATGAACCTGTCATTTAAAGTAGAGTACCAGAAGACTATTGTAGAAGTAGAATACTATTAGGAACAGATAAGATACTGCGATAACAATCTAGTCAGAGAACTCTCAATCTCCCAGGAGAGTAGAGAATCCGGGGTGAGGAGCCATGCTCCGATGGCTGAGAGAGGATTTAAAAAAAAATCTCTTTTTTCATGCTTGTCTACTTCTACGACATTTGGTTGATTGGCAAGTACTTGTTTGCCTATCTGGATTAGGAAGTCCTAAGCATTTTCGCCTTATTATTCTTTATCACTTTCTGAGGAATCTCCCATCCAGTCTTGGGCTGTCGGGAATCTGATCTACATACTCTTATCTCCAGTTAACACTAACTACTCGGGCGAAACGGTCTCATCCTAAAAGATTCAATAAAAGAATCAGTCCAAAGGTATTAGAAGAATAATAAAATATAATTCATTTGTATTGATATTTATAATGCGTATAAATTTATTTTATTTCGTTATTAACAAAATTGCTTTGGTATCATTCAATTAGAATTCCACTTCAACACATGATAAATGTCCAAAAAGCTTTCGAATTCCATCAACGGTCTTATAAATGCCAATAGAAAGAATTGTTTTATTTATTTGTTATTTCACGACTGCTTTTATCGTTAACACTGGACGATGGTCTCTGAAATAAAAAGTAAAATTTGCTGCATTAAAAACGTTTAATCTAAAGGTGACCACGTAGTGTTGGCGACCATTTACTTTCTGTTAATGCACCATCCTTGCAAAAAATTTCTAGCGCAGCTAGCTAACAGCCAGCTGGACTAGCTTTACCAAAAACGATATATACGTTAGCCACTCTCTTACTCAATCTGACGCTGAAAAATGTTACGTCATAGAGTGTTTCGATATCTTATCAGTAAAAAACTTTAAAAAATTTATTATCGAAATTTTGTGGTAATTTTCAATCAGATTCACGAATTGGCAGATAAATTTTCTTTTATAGTTAATATTTAATAAAAAGTTCATTAACTTTTATTAAATATAAACTTTTAAACTTTATAGATTTCGAAAAAATCTATCAGTTGACTGACTAAATTTTTTGGTTATTTGGTTTTGGTTACTCGTTCTCTTGCCAAATTTTTCTTAAAATATGCACCTGAATACAGTTATTTCTTTATTTTTGTTATTAAATAACTGTGTGTAATCATTCTTTATTAGTTGCCAAAAATCTTCTGTGAAGTTAAATTTCATTTTAATTTAAAAAATAATTACCCCACCAGTAACCAGCCATTTCGGCGCCTTTCTTCTTCAAATTCTTCATTTGCTGCTGTGAACTCTTTATATTTCTCTGGCGAAAGGAGTTTTTGTATATATTTATACATATAACCTTTGATAGTTCCTTCGTCAGCACCTTCCTTTCTTGCTTCAGTTATCAATTCGAATAAAGCTTTCTATAAACTTTAAAACCTTAATATTTTAATTCTATTGTCATGGAACACTACTATTTTTGTAAAATTCTTTCTTTTCCTGGATTTTTTGATCTTTGCAAAATTATTTGATTTCTTCTTTGCCTTTCATTCATTTTTTATTAGAACGAATATTCTTTGAAAATTTTTTCGAGTTTATTAGCCAAACAAATAAAATCTATGCGTGGTGATCGTTATTTAAACACTAATCTATCTGCCTATGCATATGAGAAAAAAAATAAGAAAATTTAATGATAAATTATTTTCTCTATCGTTAGCAAAAAATTTTTTTACAAAATACTAATAAATTAAGGAAAAAACCTGATCATCTTCCGTCAAATATATTGCATAAGGTGACATTGGACAGCTTCTTTTCATCCTCTTGATGAAAAGATTCAGTATTTCTGACTGAAAATCGCATATAAATTTATAAGAAGCAATCAGTTCTATTGAACAGACAATTCGCCAACAGGTAAATGATGGTCGCTTAAACAAATTTTCTAACGAATTTGGCTAAAAAACGATTTGGATTTTTATTTAGGCATCTACAAGGACAAAGATTTTCTTGTTCAGTATATTCACTTTGGCTTTATGGCAGTATTTGGCACAACTTTTGGTAGCAAAAGCTAAGTTTTCCGTAAAATTTTTCCGAAGGTCGCAAGAATATAAAGTGTCGCTAAATTTATGTCTGTTAACGTAGTCCGGTGAGACGGTTTGATAATCTCACAATAAGTACCGCCAAAGACCTATAATTTTTTTAGAATAAATTTTGTTTAAACTAAAAGTTTTTTGTTGTCGAAATGAATAACGGCAAATCAGTGAATGGCGTTAACGGCTTTTGCCAATCACTGTCAATCACTGTAATTTTATAAGGAATCAGCTAATTTTGATTTAAATAGTAATATTCTTCTGACAGCACAAAAAAAGATAATTTTAATAATACTGAAAGATCACTTGGTTATATTTCTTGTAATCTCGATCGAGCTTCCGGTAATCGAATTGATGTTTTTTTTCCTTTATTTCTGTCAAACTTTTTGTTCGACAATCTCGCACGAGGCTCATAAATATTACTAGCAAAAAAACATTGCATATTAAGGCCATAGTTCTGCAAAAAAAATAAAAATATTGATGGAAGTCAGATACTTTAGCTTACTTAATACTTTGTTATTATAAAGTTGTATTTGTTGAAATCCTTCAAAACCCTAGCTGAAGGAAATAATAAACTTCTGATTTCTCATCGTCGGTCAACCTTTCTAGTTTACTTGGTTCCTTTGATTACTAGGATCTCTTAGCGAGAGAGTCTCTTGGAAATATAAATCCACAGCGCCAGACTTCAATTTTACTGAAAGGTTTGTTCTCGTCAAAGAGACTGCAATTGAACCTATAAAGGCTTGCTCGAGCATAATCAAAGCAACATACTTGACCACCTTTGCCCAAGGTTTTTCGTTTGTGCAAAAAAATTTACTCAGTATCTTTAAAATAGCTAGTTATAATACTGCTTAGCAGAGGAAAATATGTGCTGTTTAATTAGAATATTTATATTAGAATATATTAAAATATTAATATATATCCGATAAAAAAGCATCAAATCACATTGAATAACGAAATTCGGCATTATAAATATGGAAGACTGCAAATTCCGTAGTTGAACATGGTTAATAACTGATCAAATGGCTTGAAGGAACGTCAAAGGGTTTGCTGAAGATTGAATGCATTCTAAGCCATGCTGATTAACATTAATATCTGCAAGAGGATTGGCTGGAAAATATCTTGACTATTGTGTGTTAGGTGGCTACTTTTCGATGTTAAGAAATCTTAATCGTGGCACATCGGTAGAAGCATACAGCACTTGTAATAAACCCCTGGTCCCTGTAATAGACTGAGAAAGTCTATGATATTTTTAATGATTTAAATTTATTGGAATAAAGGTTAGAAAAAGAAAAATATGGAGAATAACTGCGTAGCAGCAAACTAAATCACTCGGCTAAATTCACATTTTTATATGAGATTAATGCAACTTTTGGTCACGAAAAGTCAATTAATTACAAGTAGAACAATCACAAAAAGCCAGATTAATGGATGGTCATCGGGAATTTGTTTGCTTAAGCAAAGATGGGTGATGAGTGGATGAGAAAATAAATTACGTTATATTCAGCTCATCCGTTTCGATGATAGATCATCAGAAGTTTAGTTGGATTAGTTAAAAGTTTAGAAGGAATGAAAAATGTGAAAAGCCGCTTCATTAACAATTCAAAGATTTGCTTCAAAAACTGGAAGTTATGAAATATTTCATGAATTATTAACTATTTTAATATTAAATTTTACAATAAAAAAGTTCATAATTATTATAAATTCTTGTCACTGAGTCAATGTAAATACAGAACTAATTTCTACAGAAATACAGAACTAATAAATAATTTCTACAGAAATTATTTCCACTATCAATTTGAAAAATTGATTTATTTTTGCTTTTTAAACCTAAAATTATTTTATTGCTTGAATATTTACGATAAATAATTAATAAAAATCATTAAAAATTATTTTTATTGCATATATTTATTTTATCTGCATGCATTTGGTTGCATGAATATTATTATCAAGACCGTATGGATGCGAACTAATTTTATTTATTTATGCTATTTATTAGTTGTTCATTTTCATGAAATCTTCATAGTCTATCAATTATAAAGATTCTTCTATAAAGATTCAAGCTTAATCGGTTGCTAATAAGTGTTAAGGTTCGCCATTTCAAATGCTCGCTCAATTAGCTGTTCACGATAAATTTGTCATAAGAAAAGTCTTGGGAAATAGAAATTGTAGGTGCTTCTGTTTTCCAAAGCAATTTCTGTTAATGATTTGTAACTGAATAAATAAGAAATTACATGAAAATGAGAAAAAAAACAAAAAAAATAAAAATGTCGTTTTAGTAAATCCTTTTTTCAAGATTATTGAAAAAAAGCAAATTGGAAATAATTTTGAGAAATTTTTACATAAACAAATCTAAAATATGTCGTCGATTCCATTCCATACTATTTGACGACACCAAAATGAAAAGAAAAATCACTAATTTTTTTTATTTTTTTTTTAAATTTTTATCATTTAAAAGGTTTTAAATTTCCATTGATAAATACTGTGGGAAATAAAGAGTAGTCGGGTAAATAATGCTTCAGACTACTGAACTGAGAAGAAAGGCACTAAAATTCAATTTATGTTCACATTTGTCAGCATCTGTACTTCTATCATAATGTTAAGCAAATGACAAATATTTCTAACCGCTCTAACAACCAGCTGGGACAGCTTAATTAAAAATGACAAGTATTAACCACTGAGCGTCAACCTTGCTGGAAATTGGAAAAATATAATTCCTTAATCGTTAATTGCTAATTTTTATTGTTTTATTAAATATAAAAAAGCAGATAATCTCAATATTTACGATCTGAAGCGGTTTGATTTTTCGTTGCTTTGAAAATTACTCTCATCAAAAAATTGAAACGCTCAAAAATAATTTTTCTACGCATGGTTTATGCCGTGAAGGCATAGGCTTTCCAGTGGTCATTTTAGTTTACTCAATTTTTTTTAATTTTACAGCTGTAATAAGTGATAGTATCATTTCGGTAGTGAAATATTGGAAGTACGGTAAAATGAAACTAGTTGATGCACAATTACCATTTTATCAGAAACGTTATCGTATGCAGTTGCTTCATGGTTGTGCATCTTTTCTATACTAGTTTTTGTAAACGCTGATTATGGTGAAAAAAAGGGGTGATAGCGATACTGCGCAACATATGCGGTGTTACACTCAAAATTTTCATAATTGTGCAGTGCTATTTCTTCAGTAACACAGAGCTTTTCTGGAACTTCTTTTTCTCCATATGATTGGCCAATCTAGAGATATAAAAAGCCATTTCCGTTCGGTTGGAAATGAAATGAAAATTGGATTCTTATTTCAATTTTAGCTTTAAGTCGTTTCTATGTTTTTATTTATTTCTGTTTTAACATTATTCTTCTAATAATACAAAAAAGCGGTTGCATTAATGCAAAGTTTTCAACTTTAAAAATTGCATGGAAATTTTGAAAATTGTTTGTTAAATAATATTTAGATGCAATTTTCACCAATTATCACTGCGGTTCCCATTAAACTGGCTAATTTTTGAGTCTACTTTTATATTTTCGACGAATGCCATCTTCGTATAATCTGATCGTTGTAATCATCAATGTCTTTAACATATGCTGGAGACTGCTTCGGTTCACTTGGTATATCCTCTCGTGAATTGGAATTTGAATTCACTTCGTAATTTTCCCATTCCTGTTCATCGTTATGCGTTTCGAAATATTCATTGCCAAATTTTATAGCTGGAATATTTTGGTAGTTTTCTGTATTCGATTTTGGATTTATTGCATACCAGCCATTGGATGCACCTTTTGCTTTTGGTCGGTTGTATGACTGAACTTGATTATACTGATCAATAAGGGGAGCAAATTTCGGACATGAACAATATCCACCATCATCACCAGGAGGACCCACTGGTCCTGCCTGAAATGGTTTTTTAAAACTTTTTTCAAATGTTTAAACAATTATGTATTCAAAAAAAATTAATTAGATGATAGTGACCAATGAGGCACTCGATTTTTGCCCCAGATAAAAATAAAGTTATTATTTCAAGTTAAATCCGTGTGGTGCGAGGACTCCCTCTAAGGGGTTCTCCTGATTACTCTTTGGCGAAATGGTTAATGAGGTCATCCAAACCAGAAGTGGTGGGTGATAAAGATTGTAGTGAGATGTGATATGAGATTTTCACTAGGATATTGTGAATCTTTGATCGAACTGTATTACATTCTTTTAAATTTTAGAAATGAAAGTGAAGATGTGGCTTACCAAGCCAAATGGTCCAACTTCACCAGATAGACCTTTCGGTCCAGATTCACCAGGTGTTCCCATTTTTCCTGTGGCTCCTAATTTGCCTACTTTGCCTGGTGTTCCTGGAGGACCACGCCTGCCGCGCAGACCAGTAGGTCCTTTAGGACCAGGAAGATAATAATATTTGATTCCAGGAATGCCTGGTAAGCCCACTTCTCCTGGTGCACCTGGTTCACCTGAAAAAATTAGGATATATGGAAGATAAAGATGATGTGCAATTGAGCAAGCGATTTCCTTTTTTTGATAAAAATTTTAAAATGACGGTTACCACATGGTCCAGGATCCCCTGATTGCCCAGGCAATCCAGGCAATCCTATTAATCCTGCCGAACCAGGTTCTCCCGCTTCGCCATCTGATCCAGGGAGCCCTCTAGGTCCATCCGCACCAGGAGGGCCTTGTGGCCCCATTGGACAGGTTATAAAGCATCGTTCCTCATTTTCAAGCCAATCATTCATTGGTATGCCATCTTCGCCATTTTTTCCAGGTTCACCGGGTTCTAAGATGATTTTCACGTAATCGTGGAAAAGTGAGCGAACTGTGAAAAAAACTTCAGTAATTTTGAATCTGAATCAAAATTAATTAGCGTGATCCATGCCTCGCGTCATCAATCTTCGAGTTGGTTTAAATTGGTAATTTTTTTCTTACTAATCTAGCACTGTAGAATCTCGCTGAAATATTGTCATCATTTTCCACCATTTATGTGTTATGCTACCATTCTTACCTCCATCTATTCCTCTTTCTCCCGGTGGTCCTTTTGCTCCAACTTTGCAATTCCTTGGACGAGGGATACACTCTAAAAAAAAAATTTATCTTAAAGGATCAAACCGTGCAACTGAGCCGCACATTGTTGGAAATTAATGAAAATCTTAGTCATTTTGTTTACCATAGATGGTAATTCAAAATTCAAATAATCGTTTACCACATTTATGCTTCGCATATCGTTTTACCTTATTTGATTGTATTTCTCTAAAAAATATATTTTTTATTCGAATAGTTAATATATTTTTCCACGTTTCATTTGCCATTACCTAAAATTAAATTTTTATGAATTTGAATAAATAAAGCTAAAATGAATTAAATGTTTCGCTAATAAAGATTTTCATACAGATTTCCGAAATGCATTCAGATTAGCAAAACTGAACAATGGTCGGCCGATTTTTCGATAAAAAATTGTAGGTCCATTTTTTCATACATTACATTAGAGAGAATATTCTCTGTATTAAATTTATTTTAATCATCTTGATTTCATTTTTTTCTAAGCTCATTCATCATTTCTAGTTAATTAGATCGCTCGACTAGCTTGTCGGGCTTGCAAATTTCGCTAGAGAGTCACTTGACGATAGAAGCACAAGTTGTTGGAACTACTTGAATTTTTTTTTAAGACAGATTTACTCATGATGAGAATAGTCCGAACATCGTCTTCTAAATGAGAGCATCAACCCAACTAGCTGTGTGCAACGTTTTCCTGTAACCTTTTATCCTTTTGTATGAGGAAAGAGTAGGAAAGTAATCGTTTGAATGTTATACTAATCAAATCTCAAACTTCACTTCAGTCAGTTCTCAATTATCGTCAAACATTAGTAGTTAAACCTTTTTTTATTATTAATTGCTTTAGTTTGTTCCTTTTTGTGGTTTAAAGAATTCAGAATCATTAAGAGCAGTAAAAAAATTCTCAGTACTTATTAACCGAACTCAGTTTATATTTTGTTCAAAAATTTGTCTATTAAATACATGCTTCAGCAATAATTAACGATAGCATTATTCTTAATACTAACTTTAAAGTCAACGATTCCTCGATCGGCGTCAGAATAAATTTCATCGATTTGCTGGAGTATTTGAAATACGCTGATTATTGCTACGAGAATTGTGGTCGAACAGAAACAAAACAGTATGGTTGCACAAAAAATATTATTAGCCTTCATCGCTCCGTCCGTTTAATTACAAAAAAATGCTGCGAAAATTGCTAGACAAGAATGTTTCAGATTTAATTTTCACGCAGTCTCGATCAATTTACTACGAGGCAATCAGTTTCGACGATTTCACCGCTCTAAAAACAAAACTTGACGCTTTATGCAAAATTCGACATTTATTTAAAATCTTTTACAATTCGCCTTTTTTACTTAATATTTCTGGCTTGGCTGGCTGATAAGTTCAGATGCTTTCGCCAGCGAGTCAGCTGCATTGCACAAATATATAGTAATCAGATACAGTAATATATAGTAATTCATTTTTAATCATATATTTACTTTCACCGAGGAAATTCACAGAAATCAAATCCGTGATGCTCGAAACATGATTGATAACACTAGCCTCATGCTGATAATGAACAAAAAAGCAATAAAAAAAATGAAATAGGAAAAAATGGAACACTCGAAAGGATTAATTAACATCTACGATTTTTTCAGCTAGATAATTTGTAAATATTAATTGCTGCAAACAATCCAGCGATTTCCATTAGATTTGAAAAGATAAACGAATTATTTAATTTGTTAATATTAAAATAAGTTAAGTGGCGCTAAGTTAAGTCGCCTACTATTTCTGGTTAAACTGGTTACGCTGGTTATAATTAGCTATAATTTTTATCAGCGAATCATCCGGCATCGAAAATATCATAGTTCATCAGTACCATCGAATGGCAGGTTTACTGCCTCAAGGGTGGAAGAATAGGGATCTGAATCTCGCCTCTCAAAGATAATCTGAGCGAGGCTATTCACTCGCTAGCTCTGTTCTTCCTTTGTTAATTTGTTAATGAAATGAGCTTTTTTATATTTTATATGTTTGTCAAATAAGTGAATAATTGGGAATCATTATTTTCCAAAGAGTTTGTTCAACGACTTCATTGGTAATGATTGTCCTAGTTTCATTAATTAGTCGCAGTAATTATCCCATTCAAGTTTCATAAAATAAATTATAAATCGAGTAGTATAAACGTTTGTCTATTCGTGTTTAATTCAACGTTTATTTTAAGTATTTATCCATACTGCTTTTGTATTTGTTTGCGGGTTGAAAACCTTGCATCGAGGAATTTAAAGGAATTTAAGGAAATTAATTTTGCAGTAGCCAGTTATTGCCAAATGTTTCCCCTGCCTCGTTTTGCTATTTGAAGACATGCAGACTGTCGTATTGTAAATCGAAGAATATTGCTGCGTTAGGGTGGATCACGCTTATATTTATGAATTATGAATCTGAATTGCAGTCAACTGCGGGTAACAATCCTTGAACCGAATTTTTCAGAATTGTTGAAGACTTTCTGTTGTGTTCTAAATAGCGACAAAAACCAAAAAATGGTTCAAATGGCAGTGAATCTGATAGTAAAATAAAAACATTTAAAGCAATTTCGCCCATCCCTATTCAATACATTCAATGATTTAAACAGTTTAGAATATCAATAAAGTTTCTAAGTTATAAAAAGTGCGTAGGCTCACTCGATTCAGTAATCCCTCTAATTTTAGCTTGTAAACCCATTGGTCGATTGGTTGATATTTAGTCAGTTGAGGTTAAAAGATCAACTTTTTTCCCCATACATGTATGGATTAGGGTTGCCTAACTCGGAGCTCCAGAAAACTATTATTGTGAATCGTCTAACCCTTAGAACTCATTGAGAATTTTAACCAGTTGCTTCCAACTTCCACTGAACACTTTAATTTCACAAAAACAAATTCCACCAATTTTCTACTGCTTTTTTTATATTTTATAACAAAAATACGAAAATAAATAAACTTTTTGATTCATTTCTTAGATTAGTACTGAAAAAATCTTTACGATGTCATCATTATGTAATCGAAAGGGAAATTTACAGACAAATAAACAGGTTTAACATTTTTGATAGACTTAACCGCTCATTTGAATGGGTCTGTACGCCTTTATGGCGATCTTATCAACGCTATGCTTCGAACCTTAAATTTGCAAGAAAATTTAAATTATATTGATCCCAACTTATTCATGAGTAAAAAAACATTTTGATACATTGGCTAAACATGGCCTTTCAATAGTAAAAAAAATCATTGCGATTCATTTGGATACGAGAACTTGAGCGCAGGTTTCAAAATTTCTGGGAAAGTCGTCAATATTTTCGTATACTTGTAGCTCCTTTTTCAGTACACATTAATACACTATCTCCGAATTTTCAAATGAAATGCAAACCTGTTTTCTGACAATCACCTTGAAAACCCATTGTGCGATTTGTAGTTATTTTTATCGAATGAGATACTGATGAACTAATTTCAAAACGTGAATCAAATACCCCACTAGTTATGCTGCCAACTTATTATATCATTTTATTTTCAATAAAAAATATTCAATTTTTACATTTAATTCGATATATTTTGCACTATGTATTTTATGGTCGTACGCCACCCGTATAATAAATAGGTTTGCGGTCGAATTCATCAACATCCCCACTTTTCACATTACTTTAAAAAAATCGAATCTAAATGTTGACTGATATGAGCAACCCCATTCGTCGATAGTTCATGGCGAAAATCAGCCCATGCAGAAACTACCATGAAAATAACCAATGTAAAAGCCTTAGCATACATTCGATTTCTTAAAGAATAGTTCGCATATTATATTCCGTTTTCATCGTCTTTCGTGGTTTTTTCATGCTATAAAAGGAGAAACACTTTCTACCTCCGGAAAATTATCAATAATAAAAAAATGCAAGAAGCATCCCATATTTTTTGTAATCCAAGCTTGAATTTTATTTCTACTCCCAACGGACCAGGACCATCAGTCGAAATTTGAGTTTTAGCTTTCTAAAACTATTTCTTGTCTTCAAATCTGCTAAATGAATTGTTTATTAAATGCTTTTATTTGTTGTTCAGTTAATTATTGTTTTATGACGCTCATATATAGTAAAAATGTTTCAATCTCATTGGTAAATCCATTTTTTTGCAATACTGCAATAAAATATAGATTTACCCTTCCACGAATATAAAAATTTCAAATCTTTTTCTTTCCATTTTATTATCAATTGTTGTTTTTTATACATTATGAGTCGATTTAAACAAGGTCGATACGATAAACAGATTCAGCAGGAGCAAAATAACCTTCATATTCAACTATTTCAGGTGACAAATCACAATGGTAATGACCACCATCACCATGTTCACTATAACAATGTGTGTGTTCCATACGAAGTTTACGCTCTTCATTATTCGTTGAGTGAATTACACAGGCACAGATAACAGGAGCACTCATTTCAAAATATTTCAACCATTCTCTGTTGAGCTAAAATTGTGATAATTTAATTTAATCAATGTACACACTCTTGACGCAGACCCAATTTAATTTCTATTGTACTACTTATTATAATGACCTTGTTAACAAATGAGAGCCCAAACTAGAGGAAACGAGAAGAAAATGCGTAGAAAACGCAAATATTCCTGTATCTAAAATATTTCCGCAATGAAGCAGATATTTGACGGAAAATAATAATCGTCACAAAAGCAAAAGCACTGACAGATGATATAGCGCAAACCCTGAGTCGTATGACCCCAAAAAAATTGTTCCTCACTTTTGTGGAACATAGTTCTCTTTTTTCCCAACAAAAAAAGGAGGCAAGATAGAGAAATATTTAGTAACTCAGAACTGTGTTGAGAGTCATTTCGGCTCTTGCGTTCGACAGGATCACACTTGTCAGTAAAAAAACTAAGTGGTATTGATGACCCATCTGCAGTTCTACCGTCATTGACTCTCCAGCAAGGATTTCTAATCGTTTTATTATCCAGCGCAGCATGCTTAATTAGAAATGGTAAGCACTAACTACTTACATTCCTTTTTAATTTATTACAACATCAACACTTTAGAATTCAAAAAATATGTCAGTGACGAATTTTTAACAAGATCTCTCCCGAATATTAACTTAATAAATTTGTCCCACTAAAGTGCCGGGTTATCTAGCCTAAATATGCAATTTGCAATTGTAATACTTAGCCTGTACTTAATCTAAATGAAATTTAGAGATAGAGACAATATATATTGCAAGATTGAAGTGCTTTTCAATATATTTTCGCTAAGAAATCTCTCTACGTCTTAAATCTGAATATTAGGGTTTTACCTTACCTCATCAGCTGATTTCCAGCAATAATTCGGAGATGGAAAATTTGGCATAACATGCATTTTAATTTTACCAGCTTTCACCAAAAAGATTCCAGCAATGGAAACAAGATTTTTTCCGTAATAGGCACCAACAGTTCTTCGAACTGATTCGGGAAAATTGGTATCAGTTAACCTTTTCTTCACATGAATATGCACTGAAATTTTTGAAATATATAAAGAACATGATTTTAGTTCTATCTGAATACGATTTAATAATTTATCTTAAAATTAAGATCAAGTATCAGAAATGGTTCAATTATGCTCCTAACAATTTTAAGAAGTAGTATATTTGATGTAAAAAAACGAATAAAAATATACCAACGTCTGCAGGTTCATTTGCATTGCTTAATGCTAAATTCGCCATGAGTGAGAAATATGAAGAATTGGTAGTAGACAATTCATAAGCTTTATTATCTGCATTGATTTTTATAATTTTAGAAGCAATCTAAATCTCAATTTCTATTGTTTGTTTTAATTTTAAATAAGAAAGAAGTCCAGCATAATCTCAAGAAATTTGGCTGGAAGAATTCAGAAAATGCAAATTTTTAATGAAAATATTTAGTCAAACCACAGGGTTGCTCGGATTCACAAAGTTCGCATCAGCGACCATTTCGCAATTACTTCCAATAACGTGCCAGGGACCGGCACCTGGGCCGAACACAAAAGCATTTGGCATATCGCTTTTAGTGCATATGGCCTGAATATAATTTTCTCAACAAATAAAATCATATGAAGTAGAAAAATAAAATGTAAAGATAGCTGAGTATTTTTAGAAAATATCTTACTAAATCTGCAAAAGTTTAAAGCTCTCCATAATTTGAAACCTTCCTTTTTAAAATTTACTGGATGCTATTTCACTATAAAAACCAAATTTCGGTTCTTGTTTGCAGCTAGATGATTCAGGCATCTTCACTGTATCAAGCCTAACGAATTCTATTCAAGAAAACCTTTAGATCGAAAAATTTGTCACATTTTATGACCGGATAAATATTGCCAATACCTCCTACTTCCACAATACGCAAACCACTTCCAATTCCTGAACCTGTCATCAAGTACGGAGCTTGCCTAAAATCTGAAACTTGATATTTATGACTTAATTTCCGCATAAATAATAGTTTAAAAAGTACAAAACTGATAGATTAATTTTAAAAAACGTTTGCAATTTAACATTATTAAAATGGAATACATAATCAGATTTATATTACTTGGACTCTATTTAGATATCTACGAAATGTTAGAATGCCTTTGCTACCACTGATTTTCCAAAAAAGGTAAACATCTTACATATACCTGGGCATTTTACGATATCCACCTGAATCATTCCATAATATTCCTTTAATCCACGTCCAATTACAAAACATAATTCTTTTAAACATGGCTTGTTGATTTTATAAACATCTTTTAGATTATTCGAACAATCGATTAAGTTCATCCGAGAAAACTGTCTTGTCCGACCTGGTAATATATCAATATAACCAGAGAATATAAATGCTAAAAAAAATCTATTAAAAAAATTAAAACAGAATAAAAAAAAGGGATACCAACAAGTATTGGAGAGATGAATTCTAAATATATAGCATTATTCATTAATAATTTTGTATAATTTATTCATATGATCCATTCTTATGTTCCTTTTTTTTCTATGAACTGATGATTAAGTCCATTGGTTTGCGGGACCAAACAAATTTTGTTACGTGGGGATAGAAAATGAATCTCCAACACCACCCATCTTACGAGCCATGAAATCAGGTTTAATATTTTCGCTATCAAATTTCTATACTAAATTAATTTATGAATAAAATCAACCGTAAAAAATGATACTCTGAGGTGATTTGCGGCAGGGATTAAAAAGTGATCTTAGTTAACATCCACTTTAGAAAACAATCACAGCCCACTAGTTAACAAGTCCAACTTAGTGGTCGAAGTCCATCTTAGTTAGCACTTTAGCAATCCATATTTTAGCAGTAGCAAGATTAGCATTAGCCGAAGCTCAGTTTTAGGGTGGACACTATGATAATTAGTTCTACTAGTCTCGCACTTAAAAATCCACTGAATAAAGCTCCAAGGTTTTCCAAGGTCTGCAAAAATTTAACAAACACAAGGAAAAAGCAATTCCACCTACCCCTTAAAAATATTTTTAAAAAATTTAATAAGAACAATGGCAAAAAAGTTCAAAAACAATCGTTTCGATATTTATATTTTTAAACTTTCAGCTTTATGTATAATCAAAATTGATTGTTTGGGCATGAATGTTTTTCCTGTAAAACGAAAAAAAATGAGGTAAGCAATTTCTTTTGCCCAACCGAGCGTTGAGCGAGGAGACGTCGGAGGTTACAATTCTGGCAAAGCTGCAGCTTAGCTTCCATGCGGGTGGAATTTTATTGCTATTTCTGTTGTCTATAAAATATTGTCTGTCATAATTAAAGTGAGAGAAAAAAGTGAGTGCTTTTTTTTCGTCTAAAAACGTCTTTTTTTTCTCAAATGCGGCGAAAAAGTAGAAAATATTGAAAGAAAATGGAATAGCGACGTTCGTGAAAACTTTTGCTTTATGTGAATCAGTAACGCGGCGATTTTTTTTTTTTTGCTGAGCGGTCATTTCAAAAAATATTCTCGATTTATTTCTGTGAATTTATTTTTCATTTCTGATTACAATTCAGCTAAGTCTTCTTAAACTTTTAATTTTTTTTTACCGAAAAACGATTAAAATAAAACAAATTAAAATTAAATCAATTAAATTTTATAAATAATAAAATATATATATTTTATATATAGTTATATATGTCAACATTCTTTTTTTCAATTCCCTTTTTACTTTTATTTTTTTTAAGTTTCATTGTCTATTTTATTATATTCTTCAAATTTAATTTTTTTTGTCTATGGCAGGAGTAAACCTGCTATTGTGTCAAAAATCCGGGTGGCTGCTGGGGATCCACCTGTAACTCTATACCCAAGTGTCTCTATGGTGAAAGATTCAGATACACTTCAATTAACAGGGCATAGATCTGTGTTTGATGAACAATTATAAGATTTGTACGAAATCGCTTACTCCTAAAGAACTGATGCAGAGATAAGATTTTTTTCAAGAAATCGCAAACGGTGTTTTATTACTTAAAAAAAGATTTTTTGAATGAGTAAATTATATATCAACTTCGCTTTATTCTCTTCTTCAATTCTATTTGATAGCGTTGATACCCGTATAAAAACATCATTTTCGCTTGATAAATGCACATCAGTATCTTTCCTGCCAACAGATGGATTCATCTCAGATGATCTGGAATTTCAGCATGATAAACGGGCATAGGCCATACATACGGTCTTTTAGCGGTTTCCACTCAATCAAAGCGGAATGGGTCAGACATGACAATCGCCACGCCATTTTCCCAATTATTCGAAGCACCAGAGTGATATAGCCAGTATCTCTGCTCTGAACCACAATTAATAATTGCTCGAGACCCAAATTGAGGAAGACGGACCTCCGACAAGCAAGCGATATCCACACACGATACTTAGACAGGGTGTGGCAGTGATCGCTTGGCTTGCAACGTCCATAAGCGTTCTGACATTCCACGCTGATACGGCTAATACTTCGCCGCGTGCAGAGGGCTGTTCCCCTTAATAGAGCAATAACCCTGGCTTGCGAGCACATTTTATGCCAGCCTTGGGATCGCTTTAAGCCCAGATCCTATACTTATCGCATGTATATACCAAGCTCGTGTCATGCGCGTCGGAAGACGCGGATACCATATCAAGTGTATCTGACCATTTCACCATAGAGTCACTTGAACATAGAGTTACAGGTGGATCCCCAGCAGCCACCCGGATAAATTAAAAGTTTAAGAAGACTTAGCTGAATTGTAATCAGAAATGAAAAAATAAATTCAGGAATAAATCGAGAATATTTTTTGAAACGACCACTCAGCAAAAGAATTTTTTTTTTCATTTTAAATATCATGCTGAGCTCACGTCGGCGCAGGTCTGTGTATATGGGGAGTTGACAGATTCCTTCGAAATAAGAACAGGTGTCCGTCAGGGCTACGTCCTTTCCCCCACAATATTCAGCTGTGCGATAGACTGGATAATGGACATCGCTTGTCAGCACTCAAGAGGTTTCCGAATTAGTCCAGAGCATCGTATCCCTTTTTGCTGACAGTTATAACGAAATGCAAGTAATATTAAATAACGTGTCAGAAACTGCAGCAAGAATCGGACTCAGGATCAATGTAAATAAAACGAAAGTCTTTTCGTCATATATGCAAGAACCTGATAAAAAACCTCTTTTTGTAATAAATTCATTCCCGATTTCAAATACCTTGGGTCCACTCTAATACCAAATGGACAGGCAAAAGATGATATTACAACTCGGATCACGGCAGCCATAAATGCGTTCCTCCGGTTGACGAAACCTTTATGGAGTCGTCGTGAAATCATTATAAGAATGAAAGTCCGCATCTATATAGCCGTGATCTGTTCGATCTTTGCTATATGGTTCTGAGATATGGCCAGTGAGAGTGGAGGATATTATCTGCCTTTGACCACTCTTGTCTAAGGTACATATTACAGATCCGTCGAGCGGATAAGATATCGCATGATCGCATTCATCTTTGTTCAAACACCACTTGCAAAAATAATGTTATCACAGAGCGCCGCCTTCGCTGGTAAGGGCACATTCTTCGTCGACCACCACAGGAGTTGACGCATATTTCGTTATTTGCTAAACCGTGTGATGGTTGGCGTCAAAAGCGAGGTGGGCCAACCAAGACCTGGATTGATACGGTGAGAAAAGGTTATGAACGCATAGGTGGACCAGCAATATATGGACTTAGACGATGGAAAAGGGAATGGCTTCCATTACTGTCGATGATATCATCAGACCGCGCCGCTTGGAAGCATTTTACCTTTGTAATCGTTGGAGCCAGCCTAATCAATAATGGTGAGAGCGTTCCATATCAATTTGATTAGTTTTTCTCAGCTTTCAAATACAATATTCAGTTAATACCGAATACGATAAAAATAATGAAAAGCTTTTAATTTCTGAACTTTGCAACAATTTCTTGAGTTTTCAAAAATAAAAATTTTTTTACTGAAACAATTTTATATTTGATTTGAATAAAGTTTTATTACAATTAATATAAAAATTATTAAACATCTAACGATGACGATATTACCTGCTTAATACAAATTTTTTTCAAACAATCTGGTGTATTAAGTATGAGATCACTGGGTATATCAACATCTATTTTAATAAATATTTTCTTAACATTCGACAAAAAACGATTGAAATTAGAAAACAATTTAATATCATGGCAATTAGTAGGATTAGCAATGTATAAAGCAGCAGTTGAATGGTTGTATCCTGGACCATCATGATATATAATGAAATCACAGGCATACAATAAACCTGAATGTACGATCCAATCCTTGTTGCGATAATAACGATACACAACATATCTTTTGATAAATCGGGTACCATATCGCGAAAAGTAATAATTCCACAGTTCATGTGAGCTTATAGACCGAGATTTCAAAAATATTTTCAAAATTGACAACTCATGCGATAAATACATCGACTCTTCCATACTTAAATGAAGATTATTATTCCTAAGCTGGATACTTCGCCATAATTTCATCCTATAAACGAAGGCACAAAATTAAAATTTTTTTGAAAATCCATCAAAAACCATAACGGAGCATTTTTTCTTCATAACCGACTCTCCCCTACATAATATAATATTACAAAATAAATCTTTATTATTTTATTAATATCGAATACGAAAAAAAATAATGAAAATTACTGAAAATCAATTTTATTATTAAGAATAGGAAAATTAAGAAAAAATTCATCTCGTTTAAATATCCTTGAGATTCGTTTAAATAATAAAGAGTATAAAAAACTTTTGTTGAATGTCATCCTCTTCCTGATCAGCTGATGTAAAGCACGCTGGTTGTACAACATCATAGTGTCGCTCCTCCAAGAAATTTCCAAAAAAACCATGTTCATATAATTCAGCTGATTGCCTTCCCTCACGTATTATAACATAATCACCAACAAGTATGCCACTGTATTCACCATTTGGCAACAATATAGGTTTTCGATAATTTTTTGAAACACCTGTTCTTCTTTCAGAACACACTTGCATTTCCATTTAAAATTACTGAAAATTAAAAATTTGAAGAACATTTTTTTTAATAACCTAGTTTCAAAAATTCATATTTTTATCAAATAATTTAATAATTTCTCTCTTAAGTTTATTAACGGAAACTTAAAATAGTTCGAGCAAAAATTTAAATGAGCTTAATTTGCTGAAAGATGAGCTATGAAGTTTTGTTGCATACATCAGCCCACAAAGAATTATCCGCTTGCAAAGAAGCAAAGCTATAATTCAATAATGAAGACTGGTGAGGCCTTTAAATTTAATTTCATTCAAGATATGTCCGAACAATAGGTCTTTTCATACTAAAATATATTTTGATGAAACAATTGAAAAAGAACGAGACATTAAAATTAATCACCAAAAATCTTTAGAAAAAATTGAATAAATTTCATTCAATCTAAAAATATGATAAAGAAAAAAAATGAAATAAAATTCAGGCGATAACATTTTGCTTCCGAATAGTGATTTTAATATCAGCACCCAATCATCTGTGGAAAATAGATAAATGGGAAAACTAAAATCAAAAAAAAATTTCATTTGATGATCAAATTAAAGCAAGCCAGAATAGCAGAAGCATACGTAACAAACAATTAATAGAATTAATAAACAATTTTTTAACGAAACATGAAACATGCATTTCCAGATTTTATCTAAATATTTTTTATTGTTTCTGATATACACCTGAAATTCGAGAAAAAAAATTTCATGGAGCATATAAAGGATTTTTTCGATCGGGAATTTCTGATTTGCCTAAAATAACATGAATTTGATCGCAATAACGAGGAATCCTCCAACCTGATTAATTTGACATTATAATTAACATTCTTTGCCCAGCGAAACATACCCTCATATATTATCGTAGGGAAATATTGATAGTTCACAAACGAAGCAGATGCAAATCTATTTTTTGATAAAAATGCATCCACGCAACGATTCTAAAATGCAACATGAATATTTTCATCAAAAATTATCTTCAGAAATTCAAAGTTATTTTCAGTCTTACATACAATATTGAGCTTTGTCTTACTGTGGTCATTATTGGCAAAAAAAGTGAAAAAAAGTGAATTATAAGGCCAACACAACGTTATAAGAGCTCTAAAATAGGAAAAAACGTAAACATTAATATATTAATATAGTAAACATTAATATAGTGATGAAGATGAACGATATTCCATTTTAAACAACTAATGATATCTTACAGCTTATGCATTCAGCTGCTTCATTTCTGTTTGATAATAATGCGTGTAATCACTAACCAACTTTCATCTTCCCTTGATCTATGAATCTCTTAATCTGTTATCTATGAAAATTTATGAGTGATAAATGAAAAAATGCATTTGATCAACCATATATCAATTTTCAGCCATCAATTTTCACAAAAATTTTGAACTTAAAAAGCATTTTTGATAAGAAATTTGCGATCTCTAAACGATTTATGATGATCTTTTCCCCTTTGTTCAACCATTACTGTTGAAGCATATTTGAAGCATTTGAGAAACGATGCTCAAAAAATGCATTAAATGCACATCAACAATTTGACTCAGAAAATTTCTTTTTAAATTTTTGCAAAAGAATAGATCTAACATTCTTGAACAGGAGATATAAGAAAGAAAAAAGTTTCAAACAATTTCAACAGCAGTTTCGAAATTTCGCACAAAAAATTCACTGGAGTTCGAATAGCATTATTCCACAGAAAACCGACTGAAACGAGTAATTTTCATACAGAGACTGCAAAATGAATTCTGAAATCAACGCGAGAAAAGTACCATCAGTACCTTTTACAACTGTGAATTGCAAAGATGCTTCTTGGCTTTATTGATTTGTACTGTCTAACCTATTCAATACCAAATGACTATAAAGAATATTTTTTTCCTAAAAGCTCATTGTATAGTTATATAGTCACCCACTTCTCTTTCCAACATCGAAGTCCATACAGAGATTTGAATATAAGTCCGAAACAACAACTTCTGGCTGTATCAGCCCATATCTTGATTCAGTATCTTCTCTTTCAACACCATTGCGATTGGATAAGAACCTATTATTCGCCTGGCGTAAAATGCATTTTAGGCGAGAATGATCAAAGACAGATGTTTCTAAATATCTTCCATTTTCATTAGTCAAATTTCGCAGCGCCTACAAGACTGCAAGTATTACAACAAAATAGACGGGACCTTTCGTTTTGATGCTAATTTATCCCTTACTAGCTTATAACAGTACGAATATGTACGTGTGAGAGAATCAAATGCTCTTTCTAAATAAAAACTCATGCTGCCAGGCAATTCCCACTATAATAAATATATGTGCGAATTAGACTGGATTATAGACATCGTTTGCACATAAAAGGTGTGCAAATTCACCAAGAGAACAGCATTCATGGGTCCTGAAACAATTATGATGAATTATAACAGATTTAGAACATGAAACAAATCCATCACTGGTTAAGGCAATGTCGGGATGGATTTATCAAAATAAATAAATATTTTTCACTTAAATATTTTACTTCGCTTTTAAACCAAATGGCTAAACTAAAAACGAAACTGTGGCTTCATTTGTTTCGTTAAATATCTAAGAAATCACTGCGAAATGACCACAATTATTTGGCTGCCGTGCGCATAAACATATTATATGGCTATTTATTCTTATTATTATCCATTATATTTTACTACTACCTACTTTTTTATTATTATTTGACGGCTTATTATATATTTATTATTATATATATTGACCAATATCATTTAATAATGAGCAAAAACATAAAAATGATGTCCTCTCGGCTCCAATCCTTTTAAAAATTCTTCATCGCATTTTTCACTTTGAAAATTCTTAGTTATGTTTAGGCAAAGTCGGATTCCATGGAAAGCCTTCTGTTCGTGGTATCTCTTCCCCAGTTCGTTCCACGTACAAGCTTCATCTGGTGATTCGTCATTACATTACATTGGATAAGCCTAGGATAGGCGTATAATCATATATTATCTCTAGCATTCTTCTTCTAACAGCCCTCACCATTACTGGTTAGGCTGTTTGTATTGGCTACAAGGGTAAGGCGTTTCCAAGCTGCGCAATTTGACGCCATCGTCAACAGTAATAAAAGTCATTCCTTTTTCCATCGTCTAGGTCCATATATTGTTGGTCCACCTATACGTCCAAAATCTTTCCTGACCGCATCAGTCTGGGTCTTAATTGGCTCACTTCGCCTTTGACGCCACCCATCACAAGGTTTAGCAAATAGCGAAATATAGTGGACGACGGAGAATATGCCCTAACCAGCGAAGGCCGCGCTCTGCTCATTATTAATGCATTATTAATGCAGTCGTATTTGAAGGTGGATGCAATCATGTAATATTTTATTCGCTCGACGGACTCGTAAAATGTACCTTAGACAATAATGGTCAAAGGCAGCATTAGTCGCTCGTCATGACTTTTTCGATTTCTTCATGAATTGCTGTCGTAATTTCATTGCAGATCGCTTGCTTGATTCCATCGTTACTTCCTTTTTTGAATCTGCTCTTTGTTCACTTTTTATACTCCATTGCTCAATTAACGTCGATATTCAATTTTCATCGAAAACAACTTATCTGAAAGTGAAAGAATTATAATATATTTCAAAAAAATAAAAAAATTTTAAAAAATATTCAAAAATTCATTCAACGATTGCCTATAAAAAAATTAATTTGCTGAAAATAAAATGAACAGTTTACCTAGAATTAACAACATGTGCGATGCGAAAATATTTTATCCAAAAGAGAGCCAAAATTAAAAAATCACCAATGACTGGCAGCCAGGAACTACTGAATAAAATACTGAACAAAACGCTCAAAATTAATATTTTCATTTTTTTTGCTCCAAACTTCTGCTCGTATTTGTTAACATTGAGCCAATAGCTCGAGCTCGGAGTCCGAACTTGGAGCTCAGGCGCAAACTCACACTTGCAGCTCAGACCGGACTGAGAAGTTTTTAAATAAACAAATAAATAAATAAAACGCAAAAAAAAGATAAAAATGTTTGAATTTGAAAAGTTTAAAAAAAGTACGAACAATATAAAGCCGATAATATTGGCCGATTGCACCGCCCACCGCAGTTCGATACAAATAGTGAACTAGAAAAAAACTGCAATAACAACTTTGGCAATTCTAAGAAGGTTGACAATATTTTTAGTAAAAGTGTTGCCAAACGCAAACGCAAAACGAATTATAAAGCAAACGAATGGATAAGAAATGTGGTAAGTGACATGAAATTCTTCATGAAGAGTGGAGGTTAATTTTTAATTCGACGCATTATTTTTACGTGGGTAAATGCGATAGAAGTCGTTGTTGATAAATCGCTTAAAACGCTTGCTTAGTGCAAAAGACGAAACATAACGAACGTTTATAAATCAGTAGGGACGACGGCTGAAACAAAGAGCGAGAAAAACTGAAAACTTCCTCTTAAATAATTAATTTGCCTTTAACCTTACTTCTCGTTTACTAATTTTGGCGTTAAATTCCACACATTTCAAGCTATTATTGTAGATCTTCTTCCTTTTATTTTGATCAGGCAGATTCATTAAACGAATGCCTAACCCTCTCGCATTGACCAAATTATCAAAGTGCTGAATTACTTTATTCCGTGGAGAGAACTAACACCATGACGCATCATAATGTGGCAGGCAAATGCAATCATACTTACTCTCCACTGAATGATAACTTTTTGGTGAATTTAGCTCAGTTAAAAACCAATCTGCAAAAGGATTTCAATGCAAATGAAATCATCAAGAATTTTTATTATAAGAATATAGCAGAAAAAAAGAATAAATAATAAACGAAGTTAAAGTCTAAATATAATCGGAAAGCATAATTAAATAGGAACTAGGCACTACTAAAATCCATCTAACTCTTTGTCAAACTTGTCTGCAGATGTTAAATACAAATATAGCAAATGATCGGTCGAACATGCACTATGAATAACCAAACATCCACATAAATCAATGTTAGATGTACCATAGCAGAAGCGCTATTAACCAACCTCATCAATTATCACCATTGTAAAAGCAAAAATGATAAGAAATTAGTTACTACTGGTAAGAATTACCATTCCAGAGATGCTAAAAGTGGCGATAAAGAAACAGGAAAAATGGAACTTTTCCAATTATCGAAACAAAACTTCTATTGAAAATCTGAACTAGAAAACAGAACCGTTAGCAAAAAAAATCTCATGCTTGTCACAATCTTTCACTAGAAGACGAAAGAAAGATTTCTAATTTAATGAAAATTAACATTAAAGTATAAAATTTTTGAATGTTTAATTTTTAATCAAAATATAAAAGTTACCAATCATTAAGTTGAAACAGAAAGTAGGACAATCAGGAATTACAAAATATAATATAAACGGTTAAATAGTTTTAAAAATGAAGATAGTCAGCAATACAAAGTTAAAAAAATGCCAAAAAACAGACTCTACAAGACACCAAATAATCATTTTTAACGGAGCAATTCACTTATAACGATATAATTTGCATAGATTTACTCAAATGGACCATGTATGAGCCAAAAATAAAAATTAATCTGAATTTTACAACCATTAAATAGCAAAAGAATCAAAATAGAAAAGCTCCTCAAAAATGTGAATCAAAATGAGATGTAAATTCAGTGTTTTCCAGCAACATTTTCATTTTTATAAATCGTCATGCATAACACAAAAAAATTCCAAGAAAAACTAATTTATGGTAAAAAGTATAATCATTTAGCATCAAAGAAATATATAAAATCTACAACTTATTTATTGGAAAAAAAATGCGAAGAGAATTTATTTAAGAAAAAAAAGTAGAAAATTAACGGCAGATGTAGAATTATTATTAAAACTTGTTCAATCGAATTCCTTTCTCCTCTCATTTATTCCCCAACCACATGATTATTACAATGATAAGCAGCACGACAATTGCACACATTATAATGATCATCTTGATATTCTTCCACCAATATTTACGTTTTAATGTCGCGGCCGATTTTTCAAACTGCGATGCACCTTCCTGCAAATATATCATATGTTTTGCACTCTTCACAAGGATCCAGAGATTCTCTTTTTCCTCAAAGAATATGAGATATTCCCAAAAAAAAGTAAGGAAAAGCGTGGAGGCAATTATAAACCAAAAGATGATGAAGCGAATATACCACAACAATTATTCTGAGATGTGTGCAGATTTTGATATAATTAAAATTATTATATTATCCTGAAAAACCAGCGATTTTTGACAATTGAAAAACTGATATGGTGCTTAAAATGGAGATGCTAAAGAAATACATGATGCATGTTACCTGCAACGCATCTGCTCTATCGTCCAGCTGTGAAAGCTTCTGATCGCGTTCTAATACTTTTTCCACGTTAACCTGCAACGAACAATAGTTGAAAATTAGCTGCTTTGATTCTTCAACAGATGTTTATGGAGAATAAAGAATGATGAATAAAAGTATCTAATAAATTCCCTTCCAAAAATTACTTCCATAGCATACAGAAATTCTGTTTATCTAAACAATTTCTTTTAACATTTTTTATTTTCTTCCTTTACTGATATCCATCCTAAAGTGAACTCCAAGTAAATGATGTGAAGAATACTGGTATATTCTGGAGATTTTTTCGATAAGAGAAAAGTTAATTTAATAAAAAACATATTCCTGTAAAGAAACAACCATCATTTGCTAAGCTTTATGAATCACAAACTCCATCACATTAAATTTGCCAAATTTGCTCCGAATTTCTTTTGCTTGGCAAAAAAAGGAAGATTTTATTTCATCAGAAAACATCTTTAGGTTCAGCTTATTCTCAATACTATTCAAATCATCGTCACAAAAGAATTAGCCTAATATGATTGAATCTAAAAAAATCTACAATAACAAACAAAAAATTAAACTACTCTCAAATTTGGTTACCATAACTTTTTTGTTTATTATAGAAAAAATCGTTTTTTCGTCATTTTCATAGCCTAGCACATCAAGATTGAATCGAATAAATAGAAAATTTCAAAAAATCAACAAACCTTCATGATACCTACGACTTCATCAACTTGCGCTTGCGTCTGCTGAAGACGCTTGTTTGATGGACGAGGTCCTTGATTTCCAATACCAGGTGCACCTACAGTACCACTTTCTACTTTTCCCGCATCCATTGCACTGAAAAGAAAAAAAATTTATTTCTCAGAACAATTAAAAATTATCAACTGACAACGAATATTATGGTCAAAAAGCAACAAAATAATTTCGTAACAAATTAATACTAATAAGCGATTAAAAAAGTAGAAATCTTTACGAAATTCCGAAATCACGAGATTATTTCAATATATCGTGGAAAAGAATCCACTAAAATAAGATTTTAAAAATCGCATAATTCATAAATTTTCAGTGGTTTAAATTTGTACAGGAAATTATAATAAATAAAAAGGGTATTAACTGTAAAGGGTAACATATATTTAGAGTAATGCAATCATAAACTATTCGCAGTTTCCATGCTGATAAATTACTATTAGTTCACTAAACAATCTTTTCTGAAATATTTTCCCTCAAAAAAGAGGACTGCCCATAGTGATTTCGAAATTATAAAATTGAATCAATTATTTAGGTAATTTTAATTCAATAATATGCAAAGCTACAAATATTCTCATTCTGAAATATTCTCATTGCTGCGTAATATAAAAATCGTATCTAAACATTACATCCGTCTACCCACAATGCAAGCAATTCTTTCTCTTTATCAGTGATAAACCATTATTACGATTTATTATATTTCACTAACATGAAAAAAGAATACATAAATTGCTTAATTTACGCATTTCTGTATACTTTTAGAAGTTAAAGTTGATCACTGTTTTATATAATATGAAAAAAAGCAACAAACTTTTTTCTTTCAGTCTTCCTCTCGTAAAATGCAACAATATTTGGAGGATAACATTCATCATTTTTTGTTAGACCTTCTGCGCCAACAGTCACAATGATACGCCAACTTTGCCATAGAATCATTTAGGGAGAGATTTACAAACGGTTCCCAGCAGCGATCACATTACTGAATAACAGATTTAATCCTACCAGAAGTAGGAATCGAACCCTGATGTTCGAAGGTAATGCTAGCAGCATACAACCTGATCTTTCCGCTACTCCGAAAAATTTAATAACTGCTAATTATAATTCGAAATTAAATAGCACATTGTGCTTAGATATAGAAGTTTTAAGTGTTCAAAGCTTCACGAATAAATCAGAGTTTTCAATCTTTTGTATGTTTCAGGTTCAACTGATCAATAGAAGTCTTCTAAATCATACGCAACTATTTGAGAATATCTATAAATTCATAAAATGCGAGGCGCTGGCGACTCATCTGTACTTCTAGCGGAAAGAAAAAAAGGCACAAAACAAAGTACAATAGGAAATTGATCTGATATGAAAAGAATTTTTTTAACGAAGTCTTATTTCGTGAATTTATCATCGAAAATATTACCGCTTTACAGATTTTAATAACGCTGAATGCGCTCACCATTTCTATCTCTTACCACTGGCTTGCCAGACCGGACGAGTGCTGTCGCCCGCGGGCGGAAACACATGCGAATCGTCAGCGGACCTTTTTCACTCCGACGACGGGCAGAACGCCAGCGCCGGCATTCCGACATGCGAGCAACAACCCGTCGACTCGCAGGCTGCGAAATAAACGCCAATCAGTCACTAACAAACGAAACATCGAAATGACTATTTTTGAAAAAAATTATTTCTTCAGCAAATTAAAATACGAAAAATTTTCTCTATCATATTTCGTACAAAAAAATCGTTTTTTTCCGTTTATTTCTAAAGAAAATTTTCCATTAATTTTTAATTTGTGAATGAATAATTTGAAGTTTTTAATTTTTTGTTTTTGCCTATTTATTGATTAAAAAAATAAAGAAATGAACCCAGTACAAATTCCACATAAATCGATAGAAAATGCGACAACTAATAGAAAAATACATAAAGGGAATGCCGATAATTGTTGGCCATTAACCAAAAAAAGCTATCAACAATCTTTCGTGTTAGGTCCCTATGATTCAAAAATAAAAGCATAATAATTAGGTTAGGACGGAAAAATCTATTGCGCTCCTGATAATTTCTCGAATGATCGCTATTCGCTTTGTTGGAAATGATCATGCATGGCAAAGTCGATTAGGAAATGTCAAATGGGGTCGACCGTCCGCGTTAATAAGCTAGGGCCGTAAGCTAGGCCATTTTTTCCTGAAATTTTATCATTTATCTATGTTTCATGTTAATAAAGCTAAAATAGTCAAAGGCTGGAGAATTTTCGAGCTCATCGAACTATATTATGAACATCTATGCAAGAATATTCTTCCAAATTCATAGTTTCGCTGGCTCCACTGGATGTACCATTTCGCTAAAGAATGTAGGAATGGAAGTAAAGATAAAGAATAAGATAAAGATAAAGTAAAGATGTCTTCGGCACTATGCGAATTTCTGTTTTTATGATAAGCTGGTAGAGATATTGTTTTAGCACTTTTATTAATCTAGCGTAATTCGTTCCGAAGTTATTTTTCGCTTGAATTTCTTGAACTTTTATTGCTTTGAAATTTATTGCTTCGGTTGGCGGCAGTGGCTTTCTATTCCTTTAAGAGTTATCATAAAAATGAAATCCCAGTGATGACACCAGTATTTGCGTTCCCTAATGCACTATCTGCCATAAAGAACAACGGGTGAAGTGAGCCAAACAAGAAATACTATGGAATGATAGGAGGAGGAAAATCGCAGCAGTAATCGTATTAATTATTAATTTTAAAGCATTTAAGGGTTTCGACAAAAAATAAAGTAGGAAAGCAGCAAAAAAAACTAAAAATTTATGAATGCGTTAATACTTACAATTTATTTGTTAAAAAAACTCTTATTTAATTATCTTTTGAGCGCATTTTTTAATAATTATCCACGTGAATTTTTTCCTCCATCATCATGTGAAATATAATTCTTAACGAGAATTTTTCTTTTCAAAAATTATTTTTAAATTTAATTAAAAGAAATTTAGGCAGTAATTTAAGACATCAAAGAACTTAAAACTGCGAAGAAACGATCAAAGCAAGCAAAAACTACGAAAAATAATATCGAAGCAACAAAAATAAAATATGAAGGAAGAGAGTATTTAACTATTAAATAAAGTCAATAAGCCAGTAAAAATTAATAATTTATAAAAAATTTGGTTTCAGTTATAAAATTAATATTAATATTATTAATTATAGCCATAGCCATAAATATTATAGCCATTCGTGATTTTTCACATTTTCATTTAAATTTGGAATGGCTCTTTACGAAAATTTCGAGAAGGAAAGAACCTACTTTTTTGTTCAAAAAACTCTCGGATAAATAAGGCTCAAGTAAAATGATTCCTTAAAAGCCTTTTTAAAAAAAATGCATAAAATCTTAAATTGAGGTCGGCGCCACGCCACTTTGGAAAGCAAATCGTTGCTGATTCAGAGGCGACTCATCACGCAAAGATGCATCGGACCTTTGTTTTTACTGAAATTTTTATTTTATTAACCAACGTATCACTAAAATACATAATGCTCGGTGAGAACCTAAAAGCGCTGAAGAACATTGCAGTGGATTGCCAAATCCCCCAATGCAGCCTTTGCTTATGATTTTCATCACAGGGAAAGTCCTCCAAGTATTTTACTGTAAAACCTATAATTCAAAGCAAATTTCTTCAAAATAAATTAAAAGCAAAAAAATTATATTAAATTAAATAGAAAATTTTACAGAAATTTCTTCGGAATGAAAAAAAAAAATTAAAGCAGATGAATTCGCTATTTATGGAATGCGAATTTTGGATAGAATTTGGCCGCCTAAGGGAATATTTTGATCTTCACTAAGCGTATTTTATAAATGAACAAAAATTTTGGTTTTTGTAGAAAATTTCAATGGTAAATTTCAATTGATTGTTCGAAGATTGTTTCTTTATTTGTGAATTCTCTTTTCTTGAAATAAATTTTGCTTATTAATTTTGCAGTTACACACTATTTTTTCGATTCTTAATGTAAGAATATTCATTATTTATCAACATTTGACTCATTGCCGTGGAAGATAATCCATAGAAACGAAAGAGTTTATAAGCTGATATTTAAGCGTTGACGGCGATGCACTGTTTTTATCATTCCAGTCAGTAACCATCAGCAAAAGAGTGACAATAATGATATGAAAATTTGGCAAAAGACTTTCAGAACAATAGTGATTAGACAGCAATTAAAACCCGATCCAAAGTTGCATATCACTGGAAAATGTGAACCCATAAAAACGATTACATCAGATGTAAAATAGACGTAAAGAAATCGCATGAACGGATGGATGTTCTTTTAAAAATTAATAGATAAGCCTCTCAAATTCTTATAAGTTGGCAGTTACTTCTTAAAATAATAAGAGAATGAAGACCTGTGAGCTGCTTTGAAACAAAAAGCCTGTCTTATCGTCCATGAATTTTCCTGAACGCGGAATCTTACAGCATTTCTGAGATGAAAGTAATGACTATGGATTAGAATATAGCAATGAAGAAAATTATTTCTTTAAGAAACTAAATAAGCATAAGCAATTTCGAGAAATAAGGAGGAATATTTCGATAAAATGTAAAGAAGAAAGAAATGAAGAAACTTCGGGGAGACAAGTTTAAGACTATATGAGGCAATAAGGTGAAACGATTTATTGGAGTAGAGCAGCGTAATGGGCCTACGACAACGATGATGATGTAAGCTGTATACTAAGAGTCCCAACTAAAATATTAAATCGATTCGCTAACATACGTCAATCATTCGCTAGCCAACGATTCGCCCACAGATCGTATTATGAAAAAAAGGAGGACACCAGAATCTTTCATCGATTCATTGTTAGATGCATACCACGGCTGGCGTCTAAACGAAGGAATGTTTTTAAGGATAACATTATCACTTCGCAGTTATTTGAAAATGTATAACCAAATTGACCCAATTTTCTAAAATTACTCAACGAGCCTTTAATTTTAGCAAAATAAATATAAATCACAGTGAGCGAATTAAGCGAATATGAAAGGGAAATGTTTCGACACTTCAACGAAAAACTGAATGAATCTTATCACAATAGGGCTAAGCAGCGATGGCAAACAATAAGAAATAGGCATTTTATGAACAAAAAAAGTTGAGAAAAATCAACGGTTCGGCAAAAACAAACTTATAGGGCAATAAAAAAAGAATTCGCTGATAAGAAAAAAAAAATTCCATTACAATAAAGAAATTAATTTTATATATCACCGTCACATATATCATTTACACATCATTTTACAAATTAATTTTAATGTTTTTTAAATGCTCACCTTTACTCCCTCTACTTCTGACAGCGTGCCATAATTACTGGTTAGGCTCGCTTCATTGGCCACAACTGTGAGATATTTCTACTCCACCGTTTCCATTCCAAAATTGAAAACAATGGAAGTCATATATTTTTTCACTATACAAATCAACATATCACTAAGCCGCTGGATGTTCAAATCTCTCCTGGTTATATACAGGTCTTGATTGGTCCTTATTGTTTCCGACGCCATGTACAGTAGGGCTTTATCAAATAGCACAATATTTCTTTCAGTTCTTATGATAGAAGATGAAACCAAACCAGCACAGGATGTTTAATGGAAATGACATTTGAGCGAAATTGGATGCAAACCTCCATTTAAAGCATTCGATGGGCAGATAAGATGTATATAATTTAAAGCAGGAGTGATCAAAAAATTTTCTAAATAGCTTATTGATATCTTCTAATCTTATTGGCTATCTTTTGCATATGGCCATAAAATCAGATGACGCACTCTGCAGATAGGAACTATTGATAGTTGATTTTGAGGGGATCCCATAGTGATTTCGACAAACGAAAGAATGATGCATATGTGGCTAATATAAATGGTAAACTGGAATTTTATTTTTCGCTTTGCCATTTGATTTAAGAATGGATCTACGATATTTGAATCATCATTTTTTCAACTGGTAATGGCTTAATAAAATAACTTTTTAATAGAAGTCGAGAAAATCTCTTCATCGCTCTCTTATAGTTTATTTTTTTGCTGCTTCGTTCAGCTTGCAGCCTGTATCGCTATTGAATCACTCGCAAATAGAAATATGCAGATCCTTTTTTGATATTTCATCTCAAACGATCAAACCAATTTTTTTATCTGATTAAATTTTGTCAAGAATACAAGATAAAAGACTTCCAAGTGGTAATATTTTAAAATTTTCAACTTTATTGCTTAAATCGTTCAATAGAGGGTCTAAAAATAAATCTGAAAATGTCGAAATAATGAGAAAGATAGCAGTCAATATCGACGAAAAGTTCCATTTGCTCATGGAAAGTCAGAATATTGCTAAATTTTCATAAAAAATTTTTTTTGCAAACCTTACAAATATTTTAATCGGATTTAGATTATATATGCTAGTTTTGAAACTGCTAGTGGCTAATCGGCTTTATGCTAAATTAAATTAGAAATTTTTAGTCACTTTTACTCAAAATAAAATTGGATGGCTGGAAATCAGCTGAATCATTTCTTTGCGATCTTCACTTTGTTTTGGCCGACTCGATTTGCCATTAGAGTGATTTGCCATTAGCTTTACTTTGGATAGAATTAGATATTTAGCGCACAGTAGTAAAATTCGTGAGAAAACGCTTAGACGATTATTGAGTGAATTTCACACATCGAGAAAAAAAAACAACAGTATGGAAGGGATTTCGATAACATGAAAATGACGAAGGTAAAATAAGAAGAAAAATTAAAGTGTCAACGAGTTTAAAGAAGGAAAAAGCAAACAGAATGAGAATAGGCATTATTATTATTTCGCAAACGCATTTTTCCACTTTTGCATTGCAAAAAAACTTAATATTTTAAAAAATGGATTCAACGAAAAAATAGCGAAAAAAAAACTGCTATGAAATTAGAAATAGGAGAAGCAGAGCGCAGAATAGTTAAAAGCAAATAGTAAAAGCAGTCCATTTTCAAACAGAACCATTCACCGTACAAAAAGAATCGAACGGCTTAACCTGACTTCTCACTGACGACAAACTGATTTACCGGAAAAGCGCTTACTGTATTTCGCGCTAAGCCACTTTAATTTAAAGATTTGACCAAATTGACGCCTGACACGTACGGTATAAACATAAATGAGAAAGATACGGTATAACCATAAAAATGCATTTCGCTAATCAAATTTGATTTAATACGATCTGGAAGAAAGAGAATGAGATAAATCTAATCCGACAAAAATTTTTTATCGATTATATATTCGCCGATAATGGAGCTAATGAAATATCTGATCAAATAGATTCAATATAAGCGAATTAGCTCAATTCCAAGTTTTTTTTTTGCATTCAGCGTATATTGATTTGGGATCATGAATAATTAAATAACTTGAAATTACTTTCAAGGAAAATAAGCGATAAAACTCCTAAACTTTGTTTTGTATTTATAAATTACGAGATTTTGGTGATTTAACTGATTTTATGTCCAAAAACTAAATTAGTTGTCTGTTTCTATGTGCAATGAGAAAAGCGGCGTACAACTGTATATAATTCGCATGTAATTCTTTAAGGAACTAATTCCATTTCACTGCATCTGAGAACATCGCCAAATTTGTTCAGTCAATTAAACAATTGCCTGGCCAAAGTCATCTATTTCTAGCTAAATAATAAAGTAATAAACTATAAAGAAATAAATCATTTGAAAGCGAAACTATAAAGCTCAAATTATCGCGGACAATTTGGCATTTACGAATTTGTGGCTTTGGTAATTGTGCTGAATGGAAGCTTTACCATTCTAAAATCAAATGTAAATATCTATAAATATTTGACGACATATGATAAATTAGTTGGCGGAAGATTTTGGAAAAGTGAGTTGATATTGGCGATAACATTTGCGAGGCAGAGAATTAATTATACGAGCGTGGCTGACGAGCATATAAGATGGAACGGTATTTACGAGATAAAAAACAGTGCTTGTGAAGGATTCCTTAGCTTTTGAAGGCCAAAAGAATTATTTAAAAATAAATGTCAAGATACCACTTTATCTCGCAAATCCTCCAATTTTCTCGATTTCAATTTTTCACCCTAAAAAAAGCCACTAAAAATTGTCGTTTCTTGTATCGCCGAATGAAAGAATCTTATTCTTTATAAGTTTTATAATTGATTTTATATTATAATTAAAGAGTGTTTCCGCATTAACCTGATCAAATAATCACCCACTCCCTTATTCATTCATTTATCATTCTTAGATACCATCTTTTCCGCTTTCTAAGCCTACAACTCAATCAATGGCAATTTGTAAAAAGCAATTAGAGCTACTCATTTATATTTTTTGAGAAGCTTAATTCAATAACTCTCGCATTCGATTTTCATAGTTTTTTGTTTCCATTCATTAATGTCAAAGTCCATTTTTTAAAACAATAATTGAAGTGCAGTTAAAGAATCCGTAATTTATTTGCTTTATTAAAACAATCAATGGAATCTATTCTCGAAAAATTCATTCAAATAATTTCCCTTGCCAGTCGACCTCCGTTAATAAATTAGCTATCTAAACATTTTTTTATGCTTCATGCGTTTTTTTTGCCCAATCCGGAATTGTATTTGCTTCCACAAATTATAGGAACGAAAACGATTTATTATGACATCTTGCACATCTTATAATACAAATAAATTCAGCTAAATTCAATAATTTACAACGATAAAAACGGAATCTGGTCAAAAAAATTTGACAAATGTTTATCTCACCTAAATCTACGTTATATTCAAACATATCTTACGTAGCTATACTAGTCGCAATTTCAACCATACATTTCATTGTTATCAAAATTCACTAATCAAAAAATGTGGGATAGCGTCCAGCAATAAACTTCACTATTACTATTGTAAATCCAAAGGCATTTTCTAAATCAAGTAAAATAACCGCAAAAAAAATTAGCACAGAATTAAGAGATAAATGCAAGATATATGGAATATTTAGAGTTTGAGAAAAATAATTCCAAAAAATGTTAGTAAAATTAATGCCAAAAGAATTGAGCCAGTAAATTACATGTAGCGCAACAATAAAAAAATACTTTAAAAAATCTTAAAGGTTATCTGAATGGAAATAACCTTTGCTCCCTTATCACTTTCACTAATAGAATGCTCTCAAAGCGCTATATTTACAATCTCTTAATCTTTAGAATAATCCCGAATCACTTCTGCGAAGGAATCTGTGTGTATCACACCAACATTACGTGAGCGTATAATAATGACGAAACTAGCTAAAAAATAGAAAAAGATAAGCAATAACAATAGAAAAATTAGCTTTCTTTTTTCTTTAAAGTAGATTGGTTAAACAAAAGAAAAGATTTTGAAGGATAAAAGAGAAAATAAAATTAATTTGAAAGAAAAATAATTTGTACTTTCCTGACTTTTTCTCTGAACATGACTTTCCTGAACATGATTTAATAAGAGTCAATATTCACAATAAAAAAAGATAGGTAAATGGAGATAAAATAAAAAATGAAATACTGACATTATTTAGTAAAAAAGATGCAAAAAAGTAAGTTAGGCCAATTTCACCATCTTCAGACATTAAATTGTTGAATATTAAAACTCTTTTTTCTATATTATGAAGTAAGTAGTATATAAGGCTTTAGAATTAAATAAAATGCAATATTTATAAAATAAAAAAGAGAAGGATTAGCACCAATATTAATCACATTTTTATAAAATTATGTAGCCTAAGCATACTAATTCCTAAGAAACAAAATGCAATACTTCAGGGTTTCCTTTTATTTTTATTGCAATATTAGTAAGATGATTATTAGAAAAATTACGCATAAAATAAATAAGTTGAACTGTTTTGTTATTCAATAACCAAGTTTTGAGCATACTCATTTTAAATTTATGAATTGAATGATTGGAAAATGCATTAATAAAATGGATTATTTGGAGATCAAAATGATAAAATCATGCTCGACACGAGTTAATTGCAGCCTTTGGCCACGCAATTTTTGCTTCGTGCCTCTTATAAGCAAATAAATGATTTTTATGTGCTTGTCTTAACTGATATCGAATTATATCGGGGCATTCGTTTGCGAGAAGGCATGTTTCATATCCATCAACCAACAAATATCTGAAAATAATAATTATTTTAACAATAAATCATACAAATATTACTCAGATCTTTTTCATTTTTTTTTCACAACAAATGCGCCACAACAAATAATAAAGAGTGCAAAATGCAAGTAAGTCCACATAATACAGAAAATTATTATCAAAAATCATAATTCTTCAATTATTTTCTTGTATAATAATGTATTTTTCTATGCACTCTATTCATCAAATTATGGTCAATAAACTGAAATAAACTTACAATCCATGATCTTCTGGATTAGTTATTCCAAACTGGTGTGCAATTACGCGACACAGCTTTCCCGCTGTCATTTGCGGCACACCAGGAAATGTATGATAACGTATAGACCCATCTAATTCATCAGGTATTGCAACTCGCACAAATGCATCGGAGGTGGAAGAAAGCGGTTGACAAATGTTGTCTGCACCAATTGATGTGCTTGAACCTTTTTCTTTCTCCTAGAAAATGCAGTACAATGGAAAAAAAATTCGGAAATTCAAGTACGTATTCTAAAAAACTGTAACAAGAATGGACCGCTTACGCCTCTTCCAGATTCAAATCGCTGTTTAAATGTAAATGCGATTACTCGCGAAAAGAAAACTAAACACAATAAACAAACCAAAGTGCAGTTTTCCAGAGCTCCAAGTCTACGTATACTATCCGCATTTTTCAGCACATCTATTGCAGAAAATAAAGCAATCAAATAATAACTGGAATCACCATTTGTGAGAAGCTGCTTTGGCAGCAATTCCCACATATACCACGCTTCAACTTCACAACCAACAGTTGATGTTCGACCTAATATATACACCAACCAGCGCACCAATTCTAAAATAATTAAGAAATGTTGAACTTCATTTCATATGGAAAAAGAAAATTGTTAGAAGAAACATGATATACTTCACAAATTTGATAAGAATGATAAAAAAAACAGATTCTGTAGCTCAACAATGCAAATGTTAGGTCATCTGAAATTTCTGCGATGTTATATCTTTTTTTTCAAAAAAATTTGCGCTAAAAATGTTATGCAATATTCTGATTTTCCTTTCTGAATGCGAATGCTAAACGAATTTCGCTCATGTTAAAGATAAGCAATGTCGAGCAATTATTATTATTATCTTTATCTGTCTGTAATTATATCGAAGTACCATATTTCTTTCTACACTGTACTTCTTAGGTTAATATTTCACAGTTATTTTTTATTGAAATCTTTTTCGTATAATACACATCATACACATAACAGGGAAGCTTAAATTTTTTAAAAATTTCACTGAAAATCAACATTCTGATTCGAAATAAGCAATATGAGACTGAATATATTTTTGCCAAGTGAAAAAAAGTGAGACACCATGAGAATTTATTCCATTCGCTTAAACTCGGAACCCATAAGCAATAAGCTGCTAGAAAATAGTTTTAAGGTCGCCCATTTTCGAAAGTGGAGGAAGGATTTCGAGAAACAACCGGAAAATTTTCTGCAAAATCTTCCTTTCTGGCCCTCCCTAACTGCGCTGCTTTAATCGTTGCAGCTTTTGGACCAAAGTCTTTTTCATATAAATTCGAATCTGTATTTTTTCCAATCTATCACAAGAACTCGCATTTTCGAAAAACAAAACCCGTTGGAGCAAAAGACGCTTTTCTTCCATATTAGCAACCAAGAACCTTCACATCTCCAAACTTCCATTTTATCTGACGTTCAGTTTTCAAAAAGAAAATAAATAAATGATACATGCTCACCACTTCCAATTAGAATAGCCCTGTTAGCATTGTTGAATACAATTTTTTGCAATGGGTGGCTTTACGATAGAAATGCAGGTTAGCAGCCAGCATTATCTAAATTTTTTCTGACAAGTTTACTTTCAGGGAGGTCTTATGATAATTGTACTCATTACCCACTCTGCTACACATTTGCCAAGCCTTTTTTCTTTCACTGATATAGGCGACTCCAAATGGTGCCATATGAAATGGAAAAGTTTTATGCGGAATCTGCATAGGTTCTCTTGCACTGAACTTTCAACACCTCATCCAGGAATTGATCTAGAGAATTCAAGAGCCGATCACTACGTGAGCTAGACTGTCTTATCTGAAACAAAAAGAGAAGAAAGACTTGTCGAATCACTTATCTTCTGTTTGTTCTTTGGGCATATTGGATAAAAACTGTTCAAATATTTCGACTACTTTCATCGTTTGATGCTGTAGTTTAGGCTGGTAAACTGCTATCAGCCCAAAATCATGCACTCTTGGTGACTAAAACCATCTCGATAAGGGAAAAAAACAAAATTAGCTATCCATAATCATACTCAATGAAACGGAAAATCACAATATTATATACATGAATCGATCCTGTCAAAAAATATAGAGCCTCATACATCAAAAACTATGGGAATTTTTCGGATGAAATATAAAATAAACTATATAACTTATACCATCAGCGGGTGGCAACCGTTTAATTTTGCTCTCAGTTGTAATCGAATAATCAAAATTTTCTCCATCACCATTCGAACATTCATATAAATTCTGATTGCCAATAGCGATGAAAATGACTCGCAACAAATTTTCCAACTTTTTCAAGGGCGAATAGTGATGTTGCATTTTCCTTAAGCATATCTTGATTGCTTCCATTTTTTGAGTGCTCGGTGGAGTAAACTGAAAGAATTCAGTAAATAAAATAAAGAATGCCAAAATTACAAGCTGAATAAGAATGAACCTTAGAATTAAGTCCAAAACCGAGTTGTTCAGGAGTTAATTTCCTTACATATGCAATATTCTCTGATAGCGATTGCAACCAACCATTCTTAGAATGTTCACGAACCATTAAATGATATAGATGAGGTTTTACGGGGACTAAAATAAAGATTCAATACTTTTAAAATAAACTATTTTATTATTGAATTAGCAAGATGAAATAAAACTGTCTAGAAGCCAGTGTCTAATTATGACAACATAGAAGTACTCTTGCAAAAAATATATCTTCTAAAAATATTCAATACTGACGAAGATATATTAATGAAATAATTACATAGAACAATTTTATGAAGGACAGCTTCGAGAATTGCATCAATGTTCAAAAATTCATTTGCATTCAATCGCGAACGTTCCTTTTCAATTAATTCATGCAATTCACCTTCACCGTGTTTAACTAAATAATTTTTTATACCATTCAAGAACTGTCGAACATTTCGAATCACTACCTGTAAAAATCAAAAATTTTCAATTATAATTTAAATATGGATGGAAGAAATTTTATTGGACTGGAAAATTTTCTTTAGCATATTAAACCATCAAGAAACGAGCAACCATACATGTGAATTCCTTCACATGAGTAGTGTAAAACACAGTTTGATAGATGGAAAAAAAAAAGATTAACTATAATAATAAGTGAATTATCGTGAACAATAATAAATATAACAAACAATAACATCGATATATCGAAATATCGAGGAAATTTAAATAAACCAACCTGAGGATCGCATTCTTCAGCATCAAATGTGCATTCAATAAAACGTCGCAATGTTGCACCAAATACTGTACTTTCCTCCTGAGATAATCTGGAAAACAAATATTTTTAAAGTGGAATCTTACAGAACCAAAAGATTTATCAATGTGATGTTGTATTGACTTTTAATTCTTGAGCCTCAAAGAGGAAATCCATTTAGTTCTGCAAAATTTATTGAAAATCGAGTTTAATTGCAAACCTTTCAACATAATCTTGGATCCTCGTTTCAGGGTCAACACTCATACTGTTCCTCAACCGCGGTGGTGAAATTACTGGTGAAAGAGCTCGAATACTAGTTGGTATGTCATCAAGAGATTCCAAAAAGCTGCTTTCCAACTTTGAATAACGGGGCAAGACTCGTGGCAGCTTTAAACATCGAATCGATCAAAGTAAATGCAGAAATATTCGTAGACTTTTCTGGTTTTTTAAAAAGATTCCTATTTTGCTACAAATTACTACAGATTTTGGAAGAATTTTGGATAATGACTGACCGATTGAGCATTAAGAGTTTTATTATTGCCATTAGGAATGATCCGATCTGATAAATGACCACCATCACTTATGTTAACAAAAGAATTCGGAGCACCTTTATTACTTCCACAGGTACTAGTCTTACTGCAATATTTGCGATAAATATTTAGTAACTTTATTTCGGTCTTAAAAGATTGAATATTCAATACTTTCAATAATATATCATATAGACTTAACCTGCTCGATTCACTTAATGTTCGTGCTGTAAGGCTCTCGACACTTTCATCGGCGTTTCGCAAGATATTTGGTTGCATTTCATCCTTCTTTAGAACCGCTGATGAATTGGTAAATTTTGCAAAACTTCCATAATCCTCTCCAACTGCAAATTGAAACATTCATTCTCTGATAAAATGACTAATAAACGATTATCAATGCAGTGGAAAAGTGCAAAAAATATCTCAAAAAAATATTTACCCTCAAATTTCAAGAACCACCAGTGCATACTTATTAAATGTTATGTTAAAGAGCTAAGCTCAATTACCTTGACGAATTTCAGCATCATCATCGCCATCAGACATTTCCAAACAACAAGCAATTTCATCATCTAAATCTTCCTCCAGTATTGGTTCATCTATAATTAAAACGAAAATTTAACCAAATAGGTAAAAACAAATTCTAAATTGACGTAAATTTATATAATGCACACTGGCATTTACGTTGCCGATTGTGCCCATTCCATAATTACAACTACAATTTTTGATTTTTTTCAGAGATTCATTTTTTCTTTTTGGTTCCGCTCTGCTATTTTTTCCTGAGTTATTTCTAGAACTTTAAAAATTTCAAATAAACAATTAAGCAAAATTCTTTTAAATTTTAAAATAGAGTTTGAAAAAATCGAATGAATTATAAATTATATATATGTAAAAATATATATACGATAAAATTATAAATAAATGAAAAAAATAAAAATAAATTTAGTTTAGTTTAGTTTTTTCTAAAACTGGTCTTTCCCTTCATCTTCTATTTGACAAGAGTAACACTGCCACGATTTGAAAAACCCCAGAGGCTGCTGGGGACCCACCTCTAACCTTATCCTCCAATGACTCTACGGTGAAAGGTCTGGTCTGGTCGGAATCGCATGACACCTCCAGTCCCATGGTGCATGCGATAAATAGGCAATCCTGGTACAGTAAAACGAAAGATGAATAAGAAAATGCTGACAATGTATTTTCGAAGCTCGGAAAATTGCTCAAAAAATGTCAAGAGAAACGACTCTCTACACGTGCCGCTAGGTAGCCGTACCAGCCTAGAGCGCCAAAACGCTTATGAACATTGCAGATCAAGCGATCACTCTCCACATTCTTTTTTCTTGTAAATGTCGCCTGTTTGTAACAGATCTTCCTCACTTCGGATCTCGATAAAAAAGTCTAATTCTGAGTACAGACAATGTATCAATGGATATATCAATGGGATAACTCGGATAACTAGAAATGTTCAACCCACTCTGACTGAGTGGAAGCCATTAAGCGACTGTATGATCTATGCCCCTTTTAAAGGTAAGTTCTGCAATATCTTGGTCAATAGCGTTGATGCTCCAACTTGTCAACAGCGTTGATACTCCGACCTGTAGATGACCATAATAAAGATAAGTTCTATACGAAATTTCAAGTGCTAACAAAGTCCCTACCGAAACATGACATGGTCATAATCCGAGTAGACTGGAATGCGTGCGTAAGTCATGATGCCGCTGCCATGACCTCAACAATTGATAAATATCGCATCGGAATCTAGTGCGCCAATGGGGAATGTCTTCTTTGCTTTGCTAATTTTTGCTTCTCATTTCGTAGAAAATATCTAATCACATGGAACTCCCTGGATAACTAATACTCCAACTAGATTGGTTATATCTTTGCTTTGCTAATTTTTACTTCTCATTTCGTAGAAAACATCTAATCACATGTAACTCCCTGGATAACTAATACTCCAACTAGATTGGTTATATCTTAATCATTCGCTGTTGGAAGAGTTCCGTACTAGGACAGTCGTCCCCATCGCTACGCTGGAACTGGTAAGTTTCATGAATCGATGTTTTTGTTCGAGCCAAGATTCGCAAAAAACTGACAACTCACAAAAAATAGCGCTCATAATCTTTCAACTATCTTAAAAGATTCGAAAAAAACATCTCAGCGGTATAAATATCAATGACTTTTCTGGAACAATGGACGAACACTGGTCGAAGCTAAAGGAATGTTTTCAAATGTCAGCCACTCAGCCACTTCCACGCTAGGGCAGATTAATAGGAAGTAGGCTAATTAAGTATTGGAAGAAACTGTCCACTGCCTGAAAATACTGCCAAAAGCACAAATATCAGGTGTTTCTGACTATTGGGCGCCTCGAAGAATTGAAGAATTGCAGTGACGGTAGCATGACGGAAGAGACACTGCTACTGGAACAAAATGGCCTTGAGAAAAAAGACGGCTGCTCGACGAAGTGATAACAATAAAACAACTATAACTCAGTGAACGCTCAGGTAAAGGATAGTAATGGAGTGGTGTGACTGTTAAGAGTATTAAGTATCGCCTCATAAGGTGGAAGGAATTTTTCGAGGCATTTAACCACGACGCGCCATTTATTGTCCAGGAAATAGCTGATTTGTTCGTCGAACCATATGTTTACAACTGCCAGGAAACTCCAACAAAACTCCTGCAGATGGCCTCTGGCTTAAAATTTTTACATGGTTGCGAGAAGTGACCGGTGACAATGGAAGATATTAAGAAGTTATCTACTTATGACCATTCTTGTCCAAGTTACTAGCTCGCCAGCAGGTAAAATTTCACGTGACTGCATCCACTTTCACTCAAATATCATTTGTATTAACGTTGGTTAAGGACATTTTCATCGCTCACCACAGGATTTGATATATATTTCGCTTATATTCCGTTACCTGCAACAATGTGATGGATGGCAAAAGCGCGAGACCTGAACTGATACAGCCACGAAAAATTTTGAACATAAACGTAGATCATCAATATATGGACTTAGGATCCGAGATGACATCGAACAGTTTTGAAACGTCTTACTCATATCAGCCTAACCAGTAATGGTGAGGGCTTTTAAAAAAAGAAAAATTATTAAACCGTTGACTGTTAAAACTAGAAAATTAAGTGGGTAATTTACTGAAATAATTTGTAAGAGAATCGATGTTCTGTCGAGAATTTTTATATTAATTGGTATCTAAATGTATAAATTTTGTCATGACCATGAAAAATGGCAGACAAACCTATACAAGAGATATTGGGAAGATCGGACTGTTTTTTTATGGAATGTGGCTCATCGCCATAGTTGGCCAAATCGAGCAAATTCTCCCACACATTTGAGTCCCACGGTTCATTAAAAACTGTTCCAGCAATACTCACATTATCATCATCCTGCCCACTTCCACGATCTGAAAGCAACATAATATTTTCAAAATTTAACATCTATAAATATAAATTCAATTTGAAGCAGATCCATACATGCATCTAATATACTCAGCCAATTTCCATCCAAAATAAAAAAAATTACCATGTAAGTCGCTCCGTAGAATATTTGGTATTACACCAAGACATTCCGAAAGTTGGGCATATTCAGATGTACCCAAACCTGTTTCACGATCATCATTTGAAAGAGAGTTCTGATCTGGGCAACCAGATGTTGATGTTGAAGCTTGCTTGTGAAGTATGCGATAAGGTGAGGCTAATAAGATCATTTCATTCTTTTCACGTAATTTTTTTTTAAATTTCAGACCCTTAGCATAAACGACTGTTAATGAAAGCAGCATATTTTTCATCAATTAAGAATTTATAAAATTTTTACGAAAAATTTGATTTAGAAAACTAATAAATAAATACAAGGAATTATGAAATATAGAAAAAAACCACAAATTCATAGAAAAATATCAAATTTATAAACCAAAATTATGAAGATAAATTTTCTCACCAAAATTAATTGAATGTAACAAATCGAACAAAAGTATTATACATCTCAGATATATAGATATTAATTTAGTATTCTCAGATTAATAGAATTTACTATGATTTTGATTAATACAAAAAACATTTTCATTTATTTCTCAAAAGAGCTTACCGATAACAGTATCAGCTGTTGTCATTGAACGGGATGAATTGTTGGCAAAACCCCTGGACGAATGGAAGTCGGCGCTCTTCAATGAAGCGGCCTGAGGCGTTGGCCTTACCTGAAAAATTCAAATCTTAGCGAAAATTTTTTTCAAGCAGGATCGGCATCAATTTTTAAATTTAAACAAATAATTTACCGGAGAAAAAGTTTATTTATATCACTTTTGATAAATCTACGAAATTCACTACAGCTTTGTAGATCAACTTTCGTAGCAATAAAATCACAACTTTTTTCATGCAAAGTTTTTGCTTGCTGCAACTAAAAACGCAATTTCTACCAGTTTAGAAAAAGTTTTCACTACCTCATTCTGTCAATCTTTTAATTCTGTAACCGACCATTAATGAAAACATTCCAACAAAGAGTACTTAAAACTCTATGTGTATGACTTTTTTTGATAAAAGAATTCCTCCCAAAAAGAATAAGGCTTGAATCGCCAAAATGCTGAACAGCCTTCCTACTTCGTCCGAAACATAAACTTGCGATAACCAAATCTCCATTTTGAGCTAATCAACAGGTTGAAGACCGCAATAAAATTCAGGCATGAAATGACGAAACAAGGACAAAAATAGTTATGTCTATATTCTATTCACTCTTCCAAGTATTTTCAATATATTAGCAATCAAATATTTTGCTGCACTTCTTCGCTATATCTTCGAGATTTTAAAACTGCTGCAGAGAAGATGACCTTGAAAAAGTGACCTTAAAAATCAAGTGCATCCATCACCTGTACGACGAATAAATTTTCGAAATAATCGAAATGCAAGAACAAAACTACTTTTTGT